AAATGGAATAAACTTACCGATGATCAATGCAAATTGGCAATCATATCCGACATCAATCCATGAATTGAAAGTAATTTATCAAGTGCATGATGATATGAGTTGGGATTAAAAATATTGAGCTATCAATAGAACATGGGCGATTCAGACGTTGACGTAGGTATATTACGATAGTAAATAACTGTCAAATTAAAGCCTTGGAAAAAAATTGATATCGTCATTATAAAACATTGATTTCCATTTATTTATTCCATTTAAGATAATACTGGGAGGAGACATAGCATATAAAATGTTCCACCCAATCTTTCTTTTGATTGTTTTCTCTGTTAGATTAGATTATTTTATTTATCCATTGATTTTATTCATTTCTTTTTTTATTATCTAAAAAACGATCTATACTCTGCGGTAGATACAATTAGCGATTTCATTACCTTTTAACCTTAATTCTCATCTATTTGAATATCAACTTTGCTTGCAACCACCATCTTTCTCATATTGAAATCTCGTCACCTTTGGTATATACTTTTAATTTTTATATTATTCGCTACCCTGCCCCCTATTATTCACCATTTTATTGACACTATCGATGAATCGCATCAAACAATATTAATGGCATGACAATGATATTGATTTTAATCCTAATTGAAATCGGGTTTTACAGTAAAAATGAAAGAAAAATAGAACGGAAGGAATGGGGTAATCTATTATAAATACACTGATTCTATTTGACTAGACTACATTTACAAAACAAGCAAAGAAGAAAAGACCAGCCAAACTTGAAATTAGATTTTAGTGAGAGGTAATCAAAATTTTAGCTTGGATCGTCTGGACTATATGAGTATATAAGAATATCGATGATTTTCATCTTATGAAAAAATTAGATATTTCACCATAGCATGAATAGCCCAATTTATGCCCATTCCCTATAATGATAGAAATCAAGGATATATTAAAATAAAATAGTAATCTATTCCAATTAATTAAATTGCGTATTCTATTTTTCAATAATCTATTGAATACTAAATTAGACGCAATTTTCCTTTTATCTATTGTAATCTAATCTGTTATCATTCTCTGTTCATCATTTCACAACTTGCTACTTGACAGTTTAGTTAAAATGAGTCGTGGAAATTGCATTTAAAAAAGCAAAACAAGACAATCATGATGAAAATCGCTAATGAAGAGTACTATTTGTCGTGATGAGCAAGTTGTATCGGTATTTATACAAGATATTGGACTATAACAGTTTGAATAATACGATAACAACGAGAACATGAATAAATTAAAAATTGAATTACGTTCTAATTTTAAATTTAATTTTAGTTGTTGGCAATTGAATTGAAAAATAAATAGAGAGAACATTTTATTATATAACAAAAATTTCGACATTAGAATGGATTACTGCCTTCGAATTTAATGTAATGACTTCTCCACTGGGATACAAGATATTGTATGAATAAACCAAGTATATCATTAATTAACTAGATAATTCTTAAAACTCGCAGAATTCACGTCTATTAGACTTCGCGAACGGTATAAACTTATATTTTTTACTTTACAGCTATCTAGATTTCATTGATTTTGCTATACTATCACTGTATAAACTACCATCAACGAAAGTTGTTGACATTAATCCGGTATTGCAGAGTTGATAAGACCAGTTCAATTCTACATTCTTCATTTAAATCAATTTCTAATAGCAGACTGTTATGTTATTTGTTTGTTTACACAATCTTTTCTTATAAGCATCAACTCATGGTATTAATTCCTGAGGCTATCTACCAAGGTTATTTGGAGTCTACAAGACAATTGCTAACTTAGCAGCCAAACAAAAGCTTGAATTCGATCTCCATTAGGAATAACATTGAAGACGGAATTAGCAAGCCATATCTTTAAATATTAAATTTATCGTTACCATAGTACCATCCATAGCTATCAAACACTCAAGCAGATTATCCTCAATTAGATTACTATTATAGGAGTATGAGTAATTAAAAGGGAAAATATCAGTTTAACATTTGGGTCAGTCACTTTTTTACTTGATCATAATGTTGAAAGACCTTTATTTTGATATCTGTTGATGCGGTGATGATAATAAAAATAGAACTTCAAGATTGATATTTGGACTAGTTACTTCTCAAGTTGATCTAATAATTTCACAGGTATTATTATTAATATTTTACGAGAATATTTAAGCATTATCTTAAATTGATTACTAATATTAATGATAGAAATAATTACATTTCAAACTAATAGTATCCTCAAGATTAAATAAGTTAGAAAGAGAATAATGACGATTTACTGGAATACAAGAACAAGAAGTCGCCGCCGATTAAAATCATACATAATACCATCATGAGATACACGTGTAGTATTATATAATCATAAGGGATTGGTTGTGGTTATTTATGATTTTCAGTTAACTGTTCTACTAATTTAATTCAATCAAACGATGAGAAAAATACTCAAATTTCATATTAGGCTGTAATTCGTCTGTTCTAGAACATTATAAGATTCGTTATTATATTAATTTATATATTGCTGATTATTACTTGTACTAGTCCTTCAATTGGTTATAACCACTTTGCGTAACTAGTAAACTCCTATTAGTATTTATACTTCATACATAAAATAATGATCCATTATAGTGATGTACTGTACTTTTTGCTATCACTAAGTATAAAACAAACCAAAACACACCTTGATTTTATTTATTATCTATTATATCATGGTTGGGCAGTTTTAATAATCGAAAGCAATATGTCAAAATTACCTTTCATAGCTAAGCGAATTTAGATTATAGTCCAATTTATTACTGAAAAGAGACTAGAATTTGTGCGCATACATTTCTTATGCGATCAGATTTTAATAAATTTTCTTTCATTCATTGGATTTACTTAGCCGTATCCTTGACACAGTAGATCCTATCTGGAATATTAACTTTATTTAATATAATGAAATTTGAAATCGACTGAAATTCTGCAGAAGCATTAATTCACACTAAATATTCTATTAATACTCAAAATCGAATAAAAATTTTCAACGTCGATTAAAGCGATTACTGTGTCTGTATTCGGAGTTAATAACGACAACTGAATAAGAGCAGTTATAACTAAAATAAAAACGACAAATTATGCTTCGTAAATAAACGTAGGAAATTCGATAGCAAGATCTTCTAGATTAGGGTTAAATAAGCTAGCACGTAGCTATCGCAAAACGAGTTGCCAGATATTCCTTTCCGATTGATGTAAAGACATGCCAAACCTCTTGGCTTAGGTAATTAGGGACGGTAAAATATAGGTGAAAACAGGCGACCAATTAACGAAATTTTGAATAACCAATCGTAAAAGATTAACTAGATTTACAGTAACCATTGAAAGAGTTAATGCATGGGTGGCTAAACTAATTTATTGATTGTATAAGTAGATAAACAAAGTAATAATAAATTCAGGTAGCATAGATATTATTCATTTTTAGTACATTATTTTAGTGACTATAAAGAACAAATTATTCTTTAGAAATCAGTAAGCCAGTACTGTATAGGGATGATTTCTATCGAAGTCGCCATCTTCAGTTGATAACTATAGTTAATGAACAAGTCTTAGATATAAATCAATTTAAAAGTTCAACTTAAAATAATAATTTCTTTTCTTTAACTTTCAGTACTAGATGATAGATCAGCCATAAATAGAAAAATGATTAAAACACTTTCATTTACCTAAAAGATTGTTAAAATAGTAATTATATATTGCTAGAAGATAGTTCTAAATTTTTAAGAACAGTTACAATAATTGCTGATGACAAAATCTGATAAAAAATTTGCCAGAGTATGAAATGTAACGATAGAGAAGATGATATTCGTAGGCCCTAAATTTGTTTAATGTTCTATAATTTTATACTTCGGTTCATACTATATGTAAACCATCTAAGGTGTGGTACGGTATTGTTGTTTATCAAGTATATCTATCATTCAACCGGAACTTAAAGGCACCTATATCAGTTTTAACTTCCTAACATTGTAATCCAAGATATATAATGGTATATTCGCTAGTTTAGTAGATGATAATGGGTGATGTTGTCTAATCATATTGAATGTATCCCCAAAGATAATACTATACACCAACGAATAGTATAGAAATAAGGTGTTGTACCCTTGAGTTTGTAAGTAATTCAATTGTGACCCCAATACCGTTAGGATCTTAAGAATTTAAACAATACCTTCTAGAAGTTCCTAAGTGCAATTTTATTGATTGTATTCGATTGTCTATAGATTTTCATTTAAAATTGCCAGGTATACGTAATGAACAACGTTTTCGATAGCAATTAATGGATGAAATAATTTATTTAGCAATTACCGTTCTATTTGAAGTAATGAAATGGAATAGACATGAATACTTATCACTATTACCCTTACTATTATAATATGGTAACCAATCACGTTACTAATAGCTTTAGTCGATAACAAATTGAATTCATTACAATATTTATTTATTTTATTCCATTCTAGAAATAAAAGTCGTCATTAGAATCTGCATTGTTCCATCATTTCCTGTTGACGATTAGCATCATCATAATATGTATTTACTAGGGACAATATAAATGCCCTCATCATTTCTGCAATATGTAATTACAATTACGTTAAAAGGATAGATGCGCTATTTTTAACTACCTCCTCATTTTATTGATTTAATTTATCTGCCCACCTGACGAAGAATAGACCGCTTCATTACGCAAGCGTAGCATTTGCAAACAGTGGAAAACTACCATATTTTAAGCTATTATCCATGTGAAAAGCAAGATTATACTACGCTATCGTACGAATGTAAATCTTACAAATGATATAACAATAAAAGTAGCTTTGCCATTTAAGTCACTAATATGACATCAAATATTGAGACATCGAATTAGTAAATTCTACTGCCATAAAAATACCACATAGTCTTATTTAGATGAATAGAGTAGATTGCAAGTAGAGTGCAACAAAATGTAATACCGTAGTATAGTTATGAACTATCAGCAACGGCACTATTCTTTACAAACTCTTGGACATCGGTTATCTTATTAAAAGCTTTAGCTTTGCCTTGATAACGACCTTTTTTACCTCCCCCTTTACCCTGTAACCTTTCCGCAACACTGTAAATGCAATAAATATGTAAATTAGTGGTTACTAATAAATTTGCTCTCTAGGAACCTGATTCGTATAAAAGGAAAACTGAACAATACATTTCATAGTTCAAATATTTAAATCGTATAATACTATTGCCACGTAATGATCGTTAACGGCTTTACAGGGAAATATAAAAGGATTACCTAGGTCCAATCTTGTCGATTAGACTTGGCGGGCCAGTCAGTAGGAATTGTCCTCCCGTGCTATTTGATCCAACGGACAGGAAAATGATTGCATTCTGGCGTTGTAAACATTGGGTAGATCTGAGAATGAGATGTTTGGACAATTCAAGCAGAACTATGATTGATATCCTACCTTGTTTCTTATTTTGGAATTGATTACATTCAAAAAGTCCATATCTCCATCTTCCCTAGTAAATAATAAAGTAGAGCACGTATTAGCATCTATAGTATAGTAATTTTTTTTAAATTGAGTAACTATTTCATGAAGGTTATGAATAAACGTATTGCGTGGATCGACCTTGCTAGTCAATTTTTACTATCAATATCTATTACGAAACCGTAATTATTGAAGTGAATATTGGCATCTACAACCGTGATTCACTAAAAAATCAAAGATATCCAATTATTGGCATACCTATGGACGCACAGCACCAAATCGCTAGTATTGTTAAATTTCTCAGCTTCGAGAGTGGCAATTTCTCTGAGATAATTACGGGCCGCCTAATATTTAATCGTTAACTTACTATCTCAGTATCTATACATTTCTTTAATATTATACTAACGTTATTGGATAAAAATTAATATATCCTACTTTTTGTGAACTTTTGGCAGTCTTTTGTAATTTTTGAACTTGATCCACATGATCTTCTGGACCGCAGCTAATAGTAGTAATAATAATGTAATATAGCAGTTAGGACCAAGCGTTGGAAATATTGTATATAGTCATTTAAGCCTATTAGATAGAGATCAGGGTCTTTATTACCTCAGTATTTGAGTTAACTTTCTCTCCGTATTAATCATACTGCATAGAGTATTCATTACACGATTACCAGCAAGAAAATGAATCCTTGTACATCCTCGTGTGGGTTCAGTATGCAGTAACTTAATCATCTTTTGTTATTAAAGGTATTATTAGAATGGTTAAAATCAGCCATTACTGCACTATTTGAAATTATACATTTATCACTTTGAAGTATTAACAATAAGAAGAAAACAGGGAACAGCCTTCTTACTTGTAGATGACTTAAATTTGCTAGATGTGTACCACAGCATGTATTCGCATCAATATCTACCGTTAATATCATAATTTTAGCCGACATTAATTAAATCTTGGTCGTTCAAAATATAAATACAGGTACAAACATACTTTCAATTTCAACCACTCTAACAGGTCCAGCAAAATCATCTGGGATACCTCTACTGCGTATCTACGAATACGTAATAATTTTATAAAGTTTTGCCAAAAAAGTAGAGATGTTTTTCGACATTATTTTGTAACATTTTCATATCATTACTTTCTCCAATCCCGGATCGTCTTTTTCGTAGAGATGCACACTAACTGGAGTATTAGCTTTAATAGCTTTATTAATCTCTAGTTCTGCACAATCAATTTCCTCCTGAGTCATCGATTTACATGATAATTCTATGCTTGATTTAACTTTTCCTAGATTCCTTCACGGTTTAATTCGTGATACAGGTATTTCTAAAGTTAATGTTTGATTTTTACTGCTAAGCACCTAAGGTCAATGAGTAACTTACCATGAAAGAGTCTTATATCCATAACGATTTTCAAAAACTGCAGTTATTAAGTGCTGGCCTAAAATGATCAATTCGAGCAGGAATAGCAGAGGAACGAAAATGTCATGGAGGTTCATTATTGTATTTATTACAACCTTTCTATTTTGTATATGTATAGTAGGCCAATTAGTAAGATTCTTGCATGAACAATTATCTATCGTCCGCCGTTATGAATAGTCAAATATTTTGACTGAATCGATGCTAAATGGCAAATTTAACTTAATGAATTATACAGAAGATCATCACGGTCGATTTATAACGTTGTATGAAGTTAATGAATAAAATTGAAAGTAAGATATCACAAATAAATACTATAAAACTTACCATCTACTCTCATCTGCAATATAATGATTATACGTGTATGAATAGGATCAGCAGCAGACTAAACTACTACTAAAATTATTACACTATTTATATTTTGATGGAGTATTAATGCTATTACATACTAACCAGTATGCTGTTGCATATGATCGAATCTTCTATTCCAATCTACGACAATATGAGCATTGGCATCAACTTCTAATGATTTCTCAGTAAAGTGAACTGCCTTTGAGCCATCTCTACGAACGTCATGAACCGGCACTTCATTAATCTATTACAGTAATAGAAAGGAATGAAAGTTAAAAAGAGACTTTTAAACCAGTTCAAGATTAATTCTACTGCATATCCGATGTACAAAGAGTTAAGAAAACTAGAAGTTACCCAGATTTTGAATCAATTGAAGATTAATTCTACTACATATCCAGAGTACAAAGAGTTGGGAAAATTATTGGTAACGCCGACTTTGAACTGACTTAAGATTAATTCTATTACCTATTAGTGTACACCTAGAAGTAACGCCTAGGGTTGTTTACACTAAGCTTGTCTCTATTTTAATGTAGCATGTATAGCAGTTACACTTCAGAAATTGAAAAATCATTCAACATAAACGTTCTATTCCATCCTGATATCGAAAATACTTTTGTATTTTAAATCGGTAAGAGTTATTGGTACACCCTACGTAAGACACTCTTCTACCACAAATAAGCGTATCTCAATCGATTTTTTAGTACTTACTGTTCCACGATCATCCGGCTAAGCGCATAAACAGATTGAAAGGTGCATGGAGATACCATCATGTAAGTGAATAATATAGGATATAAACATAAGAAAGAATTTACCGTACAGACTCATCGTCTACTCATCGCTTACAAATCTATCGTACAGTATAATTCTAGAACATATCGGCATACAGTTGGCAGCAGAACATGATACATTATATCTATTTTTTTTTGAAATCTTCAAAGATTAGAAGAGTATATTACACTTCGATACAAGCATGCATAACCCTATCCAAATCAACTCTAAGAGCAACCTCGAGCTCGCACAATCACCGCTACAGCATAAGAGCGTTCAGTATATGAATATCATGACTAAAATACAGTATCATCCAATTTGAATGGTTTATCCTTTTTCTGGCATAAGAAAGACAAATTGTAAAGCTATGCTGAAATGGTTATGATAACTGTTGAACAACTTAAGCAAAAGTGATGACAGAACACGACGACTAAACTAGCGTCGATAAAATTGGCTAAAGAAGTATAAATTACATGCTATGGAGCAAAGAACAACCTTGTCATTTAACTGACCTGACCACCTCCGGCAGGAAAAAGGATTGTGTCTTCCAACACGACATCAAAGCCATTTTTGCCTTCTAGCTTTGCTGGTGTACAAGAAACAACTTTTGATTCAAACTGACGTAAGTAAGGACTTCGTTGGCATTCCCAGGCCATTTTATTAGCTGGAATGACGGTTGAAGGATGATTAAATGCGATCAAGCGTACACTGAGAAGAGATCTTGTGATTCGAAGGAAGTTATGCTGCCGTCGAACCAGCAGCATTCTACAGTTTCTGTCAACTACTGCACTACTACAGTGCTCAGTATCTCCTCACCATGGTGATTGGGATATCAGTTAGCGTGCGGTAATTCCACCAAACGGTACAAGGTACAGTATGGCGTGAAGTCGCAGTAACGATGTATCTCGACTTGCAGCAGGAGTATCCTGCAATGCTGCAGCAAAGACTTTTAAGGGATAGCAGCTAAACGATATTTCTACGGTAGTCATGGACTACAAAGTGCCCTAACTTGCCCCGAAGTATTCAGCACTCCATATTCTAGTAATGCTTAGTGCTGGATTACTTACGGTACCAAATCACTTCGACAGTATAAGCTTGCATAGACGGCAAAATGCACCAAGGTGGATTTTAGTAGCGAAAAAACTATCGTTATAGTAATTTAGTCTTATGATCTTATGATTGTATCTCTGAAAGATCAAGACTGTTTTTGCGTGTAGTAACAAACTAATTGGATAGAAGGCCATTAATACAGCACATAGAGTGGTTGCTTTCACTTTTCGATTTGCAATTTTTGTGGAGAATTTGAACTTTTTAGCTATTCTCAATTTATATCGGATTTACTACGTTGAAAATCTTTGCAGACAAAGTTAAACGGCTAGTGTTGAATATCTTGCCTTGAAAAACTCAGGATTACGGTTAGAGTTAGCGTTAGGCTTAGACTCCTGTAACCTTAATTATAGCAATAGGTTATTAATAGGTTAGAAGCTTTAATAATGGGATCAAATATTATTCAATGTACTCAAGTTTATTCATATTGCCGATGGCATAGCAATATGTAGAATAATTCGTAAATGTTTATAAGACATTTCATCAGGATAAATACAGAGATGTTTGAAGGAGTATTCTAAAAAGATGAATTACAGTATTGTGCACTGACGTATTGTGCACATTTGCTCAATTTCAGTCAGTTCACAAAGATGGAGAGACAACGTACATATAGGGTTCCCGGCATGTACAGTTAACTAACTATAGATTATCAATGGAAGAGTATTTACAAAAATAAATGGTATCAAAACCGATAGTAAAAATTTTCAGTCTACGCTATACCAGCAACTATCCAATTCTCATATTAAATTTGGTAAAAAATAGAAACTATCACTACATCATGAATTTTAAGAATCGAAAAGAAATCAATTAATTGTATGCATCATATAATGACATCACTTTTAAATTTTTCTGCAGCATTTTCATAGTAATATTCTGCCATGCATAAAATTCAATGAAAGTAGTTGCATCACTAGTCAAGTATCCATTATCCGAAAAGCGACCTCTGATAGAGCCCGAACTAAGCCAAGTAAATGGAGCAATAGCTGAACTTTTTATCATAATTTTATAAGTACTACTAGCACTTTTGGATTTTACAGTTACTTTTAATTTTGGATTTTTTAGTAATTCAGGATGCTTAAAAGCAGACAAATACAGCGAACTGGCAGCACCAACAGGTCTATGATGATTATCGTATAATTGCAGCGTAATTACACATTTTAAACGATTTGAACAATCGCCACTTTTCAGTAACGTCCTGGAATTTTTGTGGAATATCGGTTTCTGATGAAAGCAATATTTATAATAACAAAAGTAAGTTGCAGGTTAAAAGAGTAAGGACCAGTCTCCTAGTAATTCTACTGGAGAAATAATGTGTAGATTAATATCTAAGCTTACTGACGACAAAGGTTTGAGATTAACGGTTAAATTCCAAGCATGTAATGGCTTCATTGACGACCAAGTTCTTAGTGTCATTAAACCCAAACCATGGAAAGAGGACTTTATGTTGCAATAGGTAGATTTAATCAAATGATACTAAATCAAATAACTATTACTCCAATTATGGCAAGACAAGTACAGAAATAACGTACCTGATAATCATTCATTCCAAAAACGTGGATAATATCCTGATCTTCATAAATAGACAACGTTACAGGGGCAAAAAATTTCGCTGCATAATATTGCAACATTTTCCAACGCCCACCATATTCTAAGGAAGACCAAGATGGTGCTGGCCATATACTATTTAACTGCCAGTAAAGAGCACCCATAGTCATCCCTTTATTGCTAGAATCGAGTAAACTCCTTCTTCTTCTGTAATGTTCGGTTTCGACAGTGTAGCCGACAGCCTGAACTATCTACAATGAATAATTGAGTGACAGTGCGCGAGATAACATACGCTTATTAAAGAAAATACAATAAACCACCAACATAATAAATAGTCTACTATAAGTATCTCATAATGGCCATTAAGTACAGAAGAATCAATACTGCATACCTGAGTAAGAAAGATATAATCCTCAAAGCTTTTCTTGCTAGTGTTAGAACTCGGAAGAGTAAAATGCAAATTCATTTGTTGAAGCAATTGAGCTGTCCCTTGAGGATGGTGCTGACGATGCTCCATAAATGAACTGTTAAATTTCCAATCGGAAGGCTCGGAAACCTGTGACAATGCCTCAAATGAAGGATACGATTGAAATCCATATTCGGATGCAAAGCGAGGCGTTGGGTATGAAGACGTTTTCCAAATGTCTGAGCTATAATTGTAATAATGCACTACGTAGTAACAACCATAATATAGTATGTCAGATAGTCATAGAGAGGAAACTAATTTTTTATCTCAAAATTTTAATAAGACTGTTATTTGAAGTACTGCTATTACTAGTCTTACCGTCACCATAGTATGGATCTTGGGGATTAGTAGCTAACCAATCATCTTTTTCACTTTGTACACCATTTGAAGGAGACGAAGATAGGAATGGCCTGGATAGATCTTCACTGAGTACTATAGGACGTATTGTTTTTATATACAATTCTACGTAATTCTTCTTGTAAAGCGAGGGATTTTTATCGGTTCCATACCAATTTTGAGCTATAGCTACTTCGTTTTCATTGTTGCCTCCCCAAACAAAGATGGACGGATGATGATGTAATCTTCTAACCTAAAGGTGATTAGAATTTGATGATTACTCGTATCTCAGATGTTATCCAAGTCGAAGGCTAAAATCAATTAAAAGACCCCCAAAACAAGTCGAAATCAACCTACCTGATAAGTTATTTCATTCTTAATCGAATTTAAGAATTTACTATCCACAGGATACATTGAACAAGCGTACTTCAGCTCTTCCCAGACTAGTAATCCAAGCTCGTCAGCAATATCATAAAAAGCTTCATGTTGGTAGATCCCTAAGACCAATGTATCTCAGATTTCATTCTTATATACAATAACAACCGAAATATTAACATTACCGATGGATAATTATATACCTCCTCCCCAATTACGAACTACATTCATGTTTGCATCGATTGCAGACTGTAATAAATTTCTGATAACAGTAGGAGTAACACGACTTTCAAAAGAATCAGCGGGTATCCAATTAGCTCCCTTTAAAAAGATAGGCACATCGTTAATTTCAAAGAAGAAACCATATCCTTTCTTTAACTTTGGCTGTAGTAGTTTGGTTGTCCGAAAACCAAAACGCCTAGTAATGGAGGTAGTAGGTTGTGCATGACCATCTATTTGAAATTGAGCCTATTTAATAGATTAATGAACAATTACAGCTTGAAATTAATATCTCAAACCAATTTCAATTTTTGCTTATTATGGTGATATTAATAATAAAATTTACCTTCAAGGTATACATAGATTGATTTCCATAACCAATTGGCCACCATCTATTTACATTTCCATTGATTTTTGTAACAACATTGAGGACATAAGGATATTTAGATAAAGATACTGTCCACGTTTGTTGAGCAATTTTGAGTTTAGGTTTGATAGAAATTGTCAGTTTGCCAGTACCCTTAAAATTAGAACTGCTATAAAATACAACAGTTGTATTTAAAGTCCATTCCTTTTTCCCTGCATTTGGAGATACAAGTAAAGATTCGATTTAACATTATCAGGACGCTTTTATTGATTTCAAGAAATCTTGTCACTATTACGGCTATTACTATGACAATGAAAAGGTTTTCATTTCAGTATCAATTGAAAACATCAAGATTCGATTTAACGATTTCAAAGAAATCTTGTCACTATTACGGCTATTACTATCCCAATGAAAAGGTTTGCATTTCAGTATCCATTGAAAACAAATAATATCCATTCTCCCTTACCTTTATTGTATAGCGGAGAAATTTTAACATCTCTGATAATCGGGGAATTATAGCCTTGCAATTGAATGTCGCGCCATATTCCTTGTGTTATAAAAGCGGGACCCCAATCCCAACTGAAAGAACAGGGTTCTTTTCGAATAAAGTTGCGATGGCATTCGCCATGTTGAATTGCGGGAGGGCAATCAGGAGGAATATCGTCTTTGTAAGCCATACTTTGACTAGCAGCGTATGTTACAGCAGAAGTGAACTTTATAGCAATTGTATTTTTACCAGTGCGAAGAGCATGCTTGACGTCGAACACATATCTATAAAACATGTTGGTAGTTGTACCAACCACCTTATTATTGATAGCAACAGAAGCAACCGTGTCTAACCCATAACAGACCAATTCGATATTTTTGGATTGGATAAATCCTTTGGAGACTATTCATGGCATGTAATAATCATAATATTCAAATATACGGATATAATAAATTAGTGAATGAATAATGATGGATTACAGTACATTACGAGTATAGCAAAATCAATCACTGCAGGGAGCAATGTTGTAGCCTGTAGAGGAATACGTAGTATGTCCATGCATTACTTGGAGATATGGTTTACAAAGTCATCACTCTTTTGCCGTAATGTACGGTAGAATCATCTACTATAACAAGCCAATTGGATATTATTGGATGTGGATAAATTGTATGGAGACTACCCATTGCATGCAATTACATGACGAGCACAACATCAATCAATCAAAGCAAGTACCATAGTGTAGCCTGTAGAAGAATATTGACTTTTACCATACCGTCTAATCATGTAGTCTGATCAAACAAATGACTTACCAGTGAATTCTCTTACATAAGTCCAATTATCGAAGGCAATCCAACGATAGTTGACATCATTGTAGCCATAATATGGATTATCAATTTTCTTGGTTGCTATTAAATCGGTATGGATACAACCAGGTACCGTTCCATGGCCTTTTATGCTGCCGTTTGAGTTTTTGAATTGCCATGTTCCATGTAAATCTATCACTGATGTTCCCGTTGGAGTCCTCTTACAATCTGCACGCATAGGATAATCTATAGTAAGAAAAGTGAGTACCATAGCCAAGAACAACCATGTATATTTTACTGCCATGATTGAATCCTCGAGGATAATTGAGACGTCGAAAAGATCGATTTGATTCTTTGCTCAGCAAATGAGGAGGTAGTCAAGAGTATTTTGGAAGGTCAATCAATACTGTACGGTACTGTATAGCCTTCAAAGCAGATATTAAAAGATGATACCCTGAGTAGAGTCGCTATCGTTAATGCAAGGTACAACGACTATCCAATGGCGACTGCCAGAATATCCAGGATAGAGATGAATAATGTTGAATTGATGATGGAATCTTTTCTAACATGCCTGGATCCAGTAGCTGCATCCAAATAATCAATTGATGATATCATTCGCTGTCCAATAACAAGACCAAAGCTCCTTTGCAGTACCGTAGGTGAGATGAGTCACCTGACCAAGCGCGACTCTACACTGTACTCAGTGTACTGTAGTTTCGCCTACTGACCATTTTGGTAGCATGTTAGTGGCACAGTTGAATTTCCAAGACTTACTATGGTCTCATTCTACCAATCTCCTTTGGCCTATAGCTTGTGATACAGTACTGTACTGTAGAGATGAGTCTTTGCACTGTAGTCGGATGGACTCCCCAAGGACACAGTGGAAAGTTTGAAGGCTGACAACTAGACCTGAGTGACAACTGATCTTGTTCCAGTCCAGTCCAGTACTGTACAGTACAATGTACTGTACAATGTGCACTGTACAGTACTGTACAGTACACTAATCAAGTAACGACTCACGGCTACTAAATACTGTACAGTACTGCGTCTGCTCAAAAGCAATCCGTAGCAACTTTCACCTGGCAAATGTGAAGATCATACAGAAAACTTTTCTTCATACAGTGCTGTACTGTAGAGGTTTTTTTCTTACCTCTGTACTCTACTGTACTGTACATGTACTTACACTAATCAAGTAACGACTCACGGCTACAGAATACTGTACAGTTCTGTGTCTGCTCAAAAGTAATCTGTAGCAACTTTCACCTGGCAAATGTGAAGATCATACAGTACAGAAAACTTTTCTTCATACAGTACTGTACTGTAGAGGTTTTTTCTTACCTCTGTACTCTACAGTACAGTATAGGGTACAGTACAGTATAACACAGTACAGTACAGTACCCAGTAGCAGAAAATTACAGTATGTACACTTGTACAGTACAGTACTGTACTGTACAGTACTGTAGTCTTTGCTACTCTTGTACTGTACAGTGTACACTTGTACACTCAATGTACTGTACAGTACTGCACAGTACAGTAGTATTGCAACAGTATCATTTGGGAGTCCGTCCGACTACAGTGTCAAGATTCATCTCTACAGTGCAGTACTGTGGCCACTAGCGTACAGTACTGTACTGTACAGTACACAGTACCCGATCACGACAGTACTGTACTGTAGCTTGACCAGTCTTGCACTGTAGGTGGTGGATGGATAGTGGATGGACCAGGAGCGTGATGATGCAGCAATTGATCCATCCGACGGTAATACGATACACTCAAGTCGACAGTACTGTAAGCGCTATCGTTTTCAACGTGGATTGAGCGCACAAAAGGAATTGTTGGCCACTGGCTCGTTGACTTCCACTTTCCTCCATTCCTCTGTATTCGTTAGTCAACATGGCAGCTACCGAGCAGAAAAAACCTGATTTAGGATTACTTGAAGAAGATGATGAATTTGAAGAATTTCCCGCTGAAGGTTTGCAATAAATAGTGGTGCATGTGTTAGGTTATGGACATGATAGCATTGACAGCAGTCACATTAATTTGGATTCTATTTGCTGGTAGAATGGGATGAAAATGATGAAGATGAAGAGGATGAACATGTCTGGGAAGATAGTTGGGATGATGACAACATTGAAGATGATTTTTCCAATCAGTTACGGTAAGTCAACTACATCAATAACTTCAGGATGGCTACAATGATGTTGAAATGTGTTAAATGCATGATGCTTTTATTATCATGGCGTAGAGCCGAACTTGAGAAACATGGTCACAAGACAGGTGGTCAGTAATGGATAGACCGTTCTGCAGAGGGCTTCCAAACGCGCTGATGGAATCAATCATGCGCTTTCTATCTTGTCAATACTGTAACTTAGACTGTCATGTACAATGATCATATCTTTTCTATACTGTATCGTTTACTAATGTTTTTTTGGCCTCTTCATCAACCTTTCTTCCCTGTACTTTATCCATGACAATGTTGAAAATGGAATACCTATAATCTATCTGTACACTGTAATATCATCGTAGGCTTTTCAAATTTTATACTACATGCTTGTATTATCCATGCTACAATCAATACTAAAATGAGTAAATTGTTTGATGATTGACTTGATACATGCCAAATTGACAAGGCTTTCAATGGCATCAACAAGTTAAGACAAATATTTATTACCAACAGATGTAGGTCCGATGGGGCTATATTCCAATCTTTTGCAATAATCACGTTGATAGGGTGGTACTCAAGCGAATGGGCAATGGCATGGCTTGTTTCATGATAGCAATTGTAACCTCGCATAGACTTAATTCTTGTATGGGAAAGGCACAAAGCAATGATTGCACTTTACTTTCCGTTATGCAGCACTATATCCTGCTGCTAATAAACTTCCTATCTATTAGCCTATTCTATGGTTGACATCGATTCAAGATATACACTACAGCAACCAATCCACATTTCGGCCATCATTGGAACGTCAAAAAATCCGTGTATATCAATTGGATGGTGTAAAATCAAATGCTTTTGATACTACAATCTTCCTTGTTATTGGGATATGTTTGCGTATCGACGGAAGTATAACTTCATTTCAAGATATATAAGAATTCATGACAGATTGCCCACTATCGACGCAGATATTCATTGTTATATATTGTAGTCCTATCACATTATTAATATATCTTGTTTGCAATCATGTCAATAAAATCGGTTAACTTGTAAAATAGAGTAGGACAAAAAAATGAATCCACGATTATCATTTATTTATCGGCTGGTAAAGTAGGCTATTCATAGAAAATATTCAATCTGACGGGAGAGATTGATCTCCTTCAAATGGGCCGTATTTAGGGGCTACAACTTGAAATAATAAGACGACATTATCTACTTTGAACTAAACCAATTATAGTTAATTGAGTGTCAAATTAGCATGAAGAGAAAAACGTCAACGTGCTAGTAAGTAACCGCTCACAGGGTTGATGAACAACTAAAATATTGCAACAGTAAATACTGTAGTAAGAAAATGAAGGAATATTCAAGTCCAAAACTTGAACGCTATGCCTAAAAATTGTGGCAGACACAACTTCAAATAAGTAGCGTTACTGGAAGAAGAAATAAATTACTAGTAAATCATGATGGTCGTACAGGAGCTAATCTTACAACAATCTCTTGAAATGAACTTTAGGAACTGTAGAAAGCCTATAGGATTGAATAGTGATCATTTTATTATCAGTTCTTTGCAAATAGTTATAATTAACAAACACAGAGTGATCCAATAAATGGCATAGGGTAAACACTTCACAAATACAATGTCATTGCAGTCAATTTATCTACGCTCTCTAGTCGCAACGAGATGCAGCTAGCCTACGACTTCAATCGAAAATTGTTTTCATACATCCAATTATAACCCAGTCGTTGCAATAGAATAGAAAAATTTAGACATAGATTTCAAATTGAGAACGCTTTTTTTTGGTCACAGCGTCAATAAGAGTTTGTTCCGCTTTGATAAATGATGCATGTAAACATTTACCATGATAATTGATTGGAAATCTACGAAATACCAGCCAAATTATAAATCAGATCAAATTGTCAATATACAGTTTAAATTTAAGCTAGAACGATTAGAAAAGCTTACTTCTTTGCAATTTTAACGACAGGTTCGTCATTGGATATGCTGAGATCTTTCAATACAAGTACTATCTTTGTTGCTAATTCGATAACATGATGAGTTTGAATTAAGAAATCCCCTTTCTTCAGATGAGGCAATGTTTTATCCTGTACAACATAAATCATACGGAAATGATGCCAATTAAAAATTTTCTATTTCTCAAATTAATGCTGTAAAATGATTGATCATCAGTTTTCTTACCATTCTACATTGAATAACGCAAACTGTATCGTTATGAGGACTAAATAATAATGTAGCTAATTCGTGAAGTGGAATACGATATTTTAAGCTCAGTGTTTTAGAATCTAATATTATTATAGCAGCACCAGTAACAGCTAAAATTCTCGGTACACCCTGCAAAAAGTAATTCAAAAGGAGATTATAGATTAGAATCGGTTGCCTTCATTGAATAGTCTTGAAGAGGCAATCTTAAAATAAAATGATAGCTTTCCATGATGAAGAGATTCTCTTTTCATGAAACTCAAAGTACAAAAGGTTAAATTTATTCTATCTCCTAAGAAAATTATCGAATACTTAATTCGCGGATTGACTTTAATAGCGTTCTACGAGTACATCAATGTACTGCAGTATCAAAAAGCATTGATATTTAGTACATAGCTTTTATTTGATGACTTAGTCCACTTTAATTGCTCGATTATTACAGTAAATTAGCAAAGCTCTATTCGTAATTGAGCTGAACAACACAACATTTGCTACAGCAAACTCTTTATTGTGGATCTTAGCACGACATGAACAATTATTTCCGTTCTTTCTGATCTACGCGTATACGGTATAGCAACTGATTTCGGAATTGAAATGGAACTAGTTTAGCAATGCAATCAGCAATATAATGTTAAACTCGCCTCCCATTTTAATTAAACAGTATTAGTTAAGTTGATTCTCTCACCTTTCCATTAGCACGATGTAATTTAATAACAGTATCAGCCCAATGAACTTCTTTATCTTTATCATATCCTTTCGTAATCGTCTTCCACAGTGGATGCTTGCCTAAGCCGCAATAATCACCACGGAATGGTACCCCAACACTATATTCAAACCGAATATTAGTTGTATAAGAAGTAAATTATATATTTTAATTTTACAGCTAACTACAACAATTCTAATTGCCAAAGGTAGATAATTTACACAGTAATACAAAAATGGATGCATTGATGAGTAATCATTGACATTGGTAGTACTTACGTTTGGGAATAGTATTCCTTTTTATTATTGAAGAGTTGGCTAGCTAATAGTTTTTCCGAGTAGATTTCGCGCTGTTCTGGAGATAAACGACGGCGAAATCGAGCACACTAATCGATTCAAAAGGTAATAATATAATGTATACCGTGAATTATGCAGTAATTAGCAATAACCTAAACAAGGCTAAAGGATCACTTACTCGCCAAACATGATGCATTTCCCTTAATTGGTCAGAAATTTCTTCAAACATAGGACCGCAAGACGGCCAATTTTTCTCTATAGGCGATTCCGATGGTAACTCATCAATAACAGCTTTCAAAAATCGATAATTCTAGTTGGTAAGTTGGTAATAAGATAATATTAGAGGATATAATCTCTTTAGTTCAATATCGTAGTCTTTGTGTGCCGATATCGTAATGAAGTGAAAGTATTATTTTACCAAGCTTTGGCGCAAAAATCGGTATACTTTGGGCCCAGCAATAGAAGGAAATTTTTTACGATATTTCTTTCGAATCTAGAAATATCCAGATTTAAGTTACTGTTAGCCTTATCGTTTTTCTAAATTACTAGGTTAAGCATTCATTTAAAGTAAACATTTAAAAAATCGATATTTTGACAAGCCACTAATAAATTTTCACCTGCCAGCCTATATAATATGCACGAATAGTTGTTGAGGCATTGTTGCGTTTTCTTTCAAGTCTTAAAGCTCGAACAAGTTTTCTGGCCTAAATCGACATTAATATATAAAGAGACTAAATATGGTATATAATTCCTTGTATAAAAATGTTTTCTGAAACAACTCTTAACCTGCCAACCAAAGAAAAAAGTTCGAATCACATTAGCTGCCAAATTACGACGTTTTTCTTCTCGTAGTTTACGAGCAAGCTTTCTAGCCTACAATTTTAACAGAACGAGTTAGATTTATGGGCTATAAATTATCATCATAAATATTTATATTCTGGATTAAAAAATAAAAGTACTGACGATGAGTAGTCTACGTTAGTAAAAATATTGTAATGAATCTCTTACTGAAAACATAAACAGATCGAAACGAGAAATATCTATCTCCCTTCTTTTAACTCAAGCATTTACTAAGGTACCTGCCAGCCGAAGAAAAAAGTTCGAATGACATTGACAGCCAGTTTACGACGTTTTTCTTCGCGTAACAGTCGAGCCAACTTTCTTGCCTATGAAGTAAAAAAATAGCTGTTGGTTTAAATATTCGAACTTGAGCTAGCAAATATCCTCTTTAAAGACAGTAAATGACCTGTAATAGCTAGTTCTACTGACTAATAAATTTGTAATTCACTAACATCAAATAATACAGAGATAAGATACTATACAGGTTTACGAGCAATGTTGCGAAAGAAACTAGACATTTTAAGTAATGAACTCTTTAAATTATAAAATTTGCTATATGATTTAAGATTTTAGAGAGGAATGCAAACGAAATTGGAAAAATACAGCAGGTGAACAGATCGGAGTTAATAAACGGATAAAACAGTATAACTGCAAACGGTGGTTATGTTGTTCAGCAGTTTTAACACAACTTACTTTCCAGCCAAAATAAAATCTCCTAATGACTCCTTGTGCTATAGTACATTGCTTCTCATATTTCAATTTGCGGTATAGCTTTCTAGCCTGGTAGTAACAATATTATCGAAAGAAAAAATTACTTACGCCACCTATAGCATATATTTACTGATGACATTTTCAACAAAAAATAATGACATACTTTCCATCCATAAAAGAACTTGGTGATTATCCCTTGAGCCCATGTACATTTCTTCTCGTACAACATTGCTTTAAACAGTTTTCTCGCCTAGATGATAATGGCAGAATCAAATACAACAGGTGTTTCAAGTTAACGATAATCTAGTCGGAATTCAAGCTCGCAAATAACTACTGTACTACAAATCTTGTAAAAAGTCATATAGCTTATTTTGCAATCGATCAACATTACTACCTTCCACCCGCGACAGAATCGCTGAACCGCAATGGAGGCGAAACGAACACTTAGGAAACTTGCTCGTTCCTATGCATGTTCACATTTAGCCAAGCCAATCGCAAAATTAAAAGAGATAGTTAATTAGCATACAGGTACAGGATAGAATAATTTAAACAATCTCAGGAAACCATTTGCATAACTTACACGATAGCATCGCCAATTCGCTGAAATGGAAATTTGACTACGACGTAATCTTAAATACTATAAATTAAAAGCAATTGTATTTGACAATTAAAACCTCGACGTGCTTTATAATAGTATTTCAATATTAAGTATGGCATAATCGGATATTGTTCTCCTGAGTTTACATTCCATAGTAATTAGTAGTCATACTGAAATGATTTTTCATAAACTAACCCATTTTCTCAGATAGAAACCTCTAAATTTTGCTTGAATTTCTGTCGCTAAATCATACAATCGCATTCGTCTCCATTCTTCCATATTAAACAACTGTTTTAAAAAAACCAATAAGGCTTTCAATACATCAATATTTAGCTTAACATATTTTATCCTCAAGTTCTAAAGAATATTACGGTAATTAATTATCTAACAATAATTCATGAATATTTCTGTTTAGTATAAATTTGGGTAAAATACTTAAATAATATACGGTATTTTAGGAGCCATTACTTACTGTTCGTGGATTTCGAATGAATAATTTCGTCTTACCATAAGCGTATTCATTTGGTTCAATAGGTAATGACTATAAGAAGAAGTATTATTATAATAGAAGATTGGTTATTATGATATTCATTCTGCCTTTGTGTTTCTCTAATCGATTGTATACCTCACTGAATCATCGAAGCGATATTAAATTTTAATCTTTTGATACTGTATTTAATAGCATAAATTCTTATGACGATTCTGATTTTAAAATTGTTGTAATTGATAACTGAAGTTAATTATGAGCTACTGTAGAAGTTTAATTTTAAATTGATACTATAAGTTGCAGGTTACTTAGAAATTTTGTTTTTGATAGCGATTTTGGGCTTTTAAAACTCGACTAAGGCATAAAGTAAATCTATAACTTTGGCTTTAGTTAAAGCTGTAGAACCCAGACAATCCTATTATTTAGTAATTCTTACTTCAATCATCTCTTGCACTCCAGCTTTAGTATCACCTTCCCATCTTGGCCAAGTAGCCATCGACAACATCTTATATCTAATTAGCCAAATAATTAAAATCAAATTTCTGGTTATTCCATAGCAATATACGAATAAGTATTTCAACCATTGCCTTAATCGAATATCTTACGAGTATATATATATACATATACTTCAAAGTGACAAATATATTGTGATATGTTCAGTTGTTCTTGTATACCGGTATAAAATTTTGGCATAGGTTTGTCGGAAAGCATATCCAGCACGACGAACTCGTACATTCTCTAGTAAGCTAAAGATTTATTTATTAAGAAATTTCATTATATTGCAACTTGATCACACATTGATTTATTATTGACATATTTAAAGTCAAAATTACCCGAGATATTGGATCTGATGGCGAACAATAGAAATATCGAAATCTTCCGGAATTTGCTTATCATTAGGCTATTAATATAAAATAGCAGATAGTGTTTAAGATTTCTTCCGATATTTTAGAGATAAATTTGAAATACTATAATAATATTGCACTTATTATTATACGATATATACAGTATGTATTTAATACCTTTATACATCGAATATAGTTAGGAGTTTTAGCCAGAAGATTGACCATTAATTGTGCAACCGATTTCTATGCGGCAATGACACGTTAGTAGAAAGAAAAAATTGTAGGCGAATTCATCGCATATTTAAATCTACAAAATAGAAAGAAAGTATATTATCTTTTAATATCTATTATAAACCTTAAATTGAGAACCCGATGTTGGTGGTCTTTTACGAGAGGCTAATTTTGGATTACCCTCAATAAAGAGAAATTGCAGTAACGGATTTCCACTCGTATACATCGCTTGAGAAATATTGCGATGTAGATTATCATTGTTTTTATCGATGAAACCGTTAACATTGTAAGTTACCTAATCAAAAAATGAAAAAGTTAAGACCACTTGGCTCTAGTTCTCTTCTTAAGTCAATACTGCACACATATGTTAACTATTTTGCTGCAATTAGAATAGTCAAACTTACATTTCCTGCATAATGGACTAAGCGGAATGATTCTCGATCGAGAGTCGAATCACGAGAAAACTCTTTCATCGATTTACTTTGATAATGAGGATGTTTACTACATCGGTTATTTAACTTGTCAAGAAACGTCTTATCGCTAACCTATATTATATTATATTATAAAATTCTTTTAAATAATACGTATAGCAATAACCAGTCACCTTCGCATTACTTTCTGAACCAATAAATGCAATATTTTCATTTTTAATATATGTATTGATACAGGGTGAATCTTAAGCCTTAGTACGGATAATGTTGGTCTTGCTACAGGTAACTATCGATTTATGGGATCATATTTGACATTACGCAAGTAAGACATTTAATACTAGCAGGGTAATTTCAACTTTTTTAGCGTTCACGACAAATTATTATAAATAAGGTAAATAAAGTAGCCCATTAATTATTACTATTTGTACAATTACAATTTTCTTACCTTCCCAGGTCTAATACATTCTTCGTCCAACATTGATAAAATTCCATTATTCTGTTGAAATAAAATGAAATATACGTATATTAATGTGTTAGTTAACTTTATTTATTCCTCATAAATAAACAACTAAAATATTTTAATCTTCAAGAATTTAATACTGTACTGTAATACACATGATGTTTTTCTACCTTTTCTATTAAATCACAAATGATTTTATTGTTAAAATAATCGATATGGGTCCATGGCATGCCCTAGGTAAGTAAAATACATTTATAGTAAATTACGATAAAGGCTTGATCGTAGTATTAACTTATTGAGCAATAGTAAGGTTACGTATTGATATATTCTTACCTCATTTACGTATTCTTCTTGTTCTAATTTTAATGTCATTTCAATAAAAATTTGTTGTAGTTTCTCGTTGCAATAATTGATGATAAATTGTTCAAATGAATTATTCTACGTGGGGTAAAATTGAGTCAAGATTATTAGATATTAACTTGCTTTGACTGGATTAAATGCGTAAACTATTAAATAACAAAGAATTTTGCCAACTTGAAATATTTCGAATCCATAAATATCAAGAACTCCCATTACTTTCCTCGTTGCTGTTTCTTTTACCTGTAACAACGATCATAATCTTTCTTTTATATCGTATAAACTGTTGTACGATTCCCTACTGATGATATTGAGTATAAATCGTAGTTATGAAAAAATACGATATTGAAAACTAGCACATGGCATACCGTCAGTGATTCATTAACTTTATCTACAATCCATGAGAATAAACGACTGTAAATGGCTTTAGCAAGCGCATCTCGAGCATACCGTGCCTGTACGATAGAAAATGGCATTGAGTCGTTTATAATAAGTAAGACAATCTAATAATGTACAGGTAAAAAAATCTTTGCTACTAACTTGTGCAATTGTTAATGACGTTGTTACTTGTTCATATTTTGTTTCTACAAGCTTTTGAGTGATAGCATATTGGAATTGGCTAATTTTACAGTTTGTTAACTTTGAGACAATTTGTAGATCTACAAAGTAAATACAGTAGAAATAAATGAGAAAAAACTATTGGAATTTATAATCGTTTATAATAATTATTTATTTATTAAATCAAGTTGAGTTATAATATATTCGACTACGTAGTAATATAGGGGTTGTCTGTAGTTTTTTTGTAATTATATTAAACGTATTTGAGAATTGCTAATATATTCCTACCTCGATTTAAATTAATTTCACTGAATTCATTTCCACTCTCATCTTCCTTTTCACTCAACTGAAGATTTCCAATATGAAGTATTGCTGCAAGAAGTTGCAGTACATATTTGACCTCAATTGATTGAAAGCCAACTATTTCCATAGCTTGCTATAATGCAAAGATTGATCGTAGCAGTTAGTGCAGTGTCATTTCAGGATCTCAGAACAGCAACTGCTTCATGTGGGATTACTACAGCTTTACAGCTATAAACAATCAACTCACTAGAGTCTCCGTAAAATCATTTTCGTCAATTTCTGTTGCTACTGAATAAGGATTTATGTAGTTGTAATCTCGTATATCGTCCGTTAGATATAAATCATCTGAAATGGAAATTTTTAAAATTTAGATAATTTTAATATGATCTAATTTGTTAATGAAAAGTATAATTTAGGTATGCTTAAAAATATCTTTCTACATTGTATGGAAGGATAAAAGAGTACTTTACTGCACCTAAAATTTGTTCTGATGCTCCGACCAGTAATTGATAGAAAATATGAAAATTTCTCTCGCCATCAGCTTGAGATACAACACGAGACTATCAAAATGCTCACATTTAGTATTTTCATATGCATGTAGATTATCGTTGAGAAGTAAACAGCCACACTAAGTAGATTTTATCATTAAAATAACTACTTTAGTTCAAAATCCTACATATTATGATCTCCTTACCTTCTCTAAAAGATCTTTATAGTATTTTCCATTTCATATGGTAGTAGAAGCGAGAGGTCAAAGAAAAGTATAATAATTAATTTCGCTAATATCTAGGATTGATTTGACTAGCCAGAATATTCTAACTAGTCTGCCCTATAGCTAAACTTACAATTTGTAATAACACCTCCGACAGGATCTCCTTTAAAGTCGAATTCGATATCCATGTACTTTCCCTAAGGTAATGAAGTATTATTAGTCAACTGTACGAAAAGATGTGAGAAATAAATATAGCAGTACAGCGTATGCTTACAAAGCGAGATGAGTTGTTGTTTCGATGAGTTTTAGCATTTCCAAACGCTAAATGTAAAATTAGAAATTAGTTGAGAATTGAATTCATGACTAGTAGTATACAGGTACAATTCAATTACAACAAATCGAGTGCATCTAATATAGAACATTGATAAGGATTAAATTAGTTACTGGTAGTGGATGAGTATAATTCACTTAGGATACATGGACAATATCTAATTTTTCATAATACTGTAAGTACATGGTCTTTGCGGAATTTAGCGAGGGCTGCAGTATACTCATACTAATTTTAATGTTTAATTTACTATCTGGAAACTGTATAACAATTTATAACTGAATAATCGATTCTGTTTATGAACTTGATTAGCTTTTTCAATGTAGATGCTGTGAATAGCCCATCTATCTATCAGGATATACAGTAGACTATCAAATTTTGCTACTATTATTTTAAATAGACTCGTGTAAGTGACCGTAGCGTGTATATTATGCGACTAGATTATCAAGCTTTGAATGTAGAATTGCTAAACTAATTAGTAATTATTTAGATTGTACTTGAGTTAGCTCAAAAAGTTGTACCAGAAAAGGGTCTAATTGATAGTTAATATTATACGTAGGCAAGTAATTATAATTATAATGCTCTATATGCTCCGTTAACTATCAATTTATATCATTACTTAGCCGATATTTCTTACCTTCTAGTAGAGGATTGGTTTGAAGTAGTTGCTCTTTTACTAATTCAACATCTTTACTTTTTCCTGACACTGCAGCAATGTACTGCATGACTACCTTGGATGCTTCTATTAACGTTATTGAATACTGAGATTAGTCTACGCCAATTTATCAGCGATCCTTGCTTATATAGTACATCATTCACAGAATCAATTCTCCGATTCTTTTACGATAGTGATGGTCAATTTTTGTTAATTAACATAGTTACCTGTTTTGCCTGAACCACTTTCTCCACTAATAATCACACATTGGTCTTCGTCTCGATCTCGCAGTGCTCGATAAGCATTGTCAGCTATAGCATAACTAATAAAACATGTGATATTCACAAACTGATAATGCAGACACTGAAGTGCGTTATAAATAAGAGAAAGAGGTTATATGTATTGATTTGGATTATGTATCTCAGAATAAATAGAGGCTGTATTATTGCACTGGTCGAGAAATATTGTACTTAAAATGGGCGACTTTTAAATTGGTGTTAGCTGACAAGTAGATTAATCAATTTGTATCCTAAATTTCTTACATGTGAGGCTGAAGTTCGTATAGACTTTTGCCGCGATAGTTGAGAATTGTTTCGGATGTATAAATTGGCAATTTCTGATATGGGTTAACGGAGATGACTACATTTCCAATATATGTCTATAAAAGCAAAGTCAGGACGATGATTTAATAATTTCATAAACTTTATCCAAAGACCACATTCAAATTGGCGATAGCATGGAATAAGTTAAAATTTGATCGAATAGTCAAATTGATATTTTCAGCTACATATAGCATCATAAAACAGGAAATTATAGCAAATATCATTCTCTTTAGTTATTAAAGATATCCAAAAGAATAAAATCTAGCGATTCAATACGTCTTACATAAATTTGATTATCGTAATATCGCTGTTGCAAATTGAATAAAATAGCATTGTCGCTGACTTCATCTAATAAGATTAAATCAGGAACACCAGTCGTATCATCTAGGATGGATTCGTGAATTTCTTGATTGTCGTTATCCATCGTGATCCATGTACTGTATATAAGGCTAAAAAGTGTTCCAAGAGAGATATTAAGACGCTTATTATCATCAGTCGTAGGTCTCACTAAAAGCTAGTTATGCCAACAGAAGCATTAATATCATATAAGGGCCTTATTTTTGTGGAATAAATCAAGTTGGATCATTAAAATAAGGATATAGCTATTCTAAACAGCGAAGATTAATTTCAACAGGACAGTAAAGTTTAATTTTTGTACTGTAATATCCTTGAAGCAATGACAATCTAACTATAAAAACTGCAGCCGAATATTAATACCTGAAATATTACTTATGCAGAAGAAAATAAAAATTTACAGTTGTACCTCTAATTTCTTCGAATATTAGCAATAACAACGGATACATAAATATCATATGCATTTGCACTACGGTTACAGAATAAATAAATTTAGATTATTTTAATACTGTAATAAAGTCTAATTCTTTTATAACGCAAAAACCTTGAAGCAATGACAATCCTACTACAATAAATAAATATTCTTACCAAATTTTATTAACAGATGAAATTTTACTTATGCAGGAGCAAATAAATTTATAATTGGATCACTTATTTCTTCATATATGTATTAATATTACAGTCGCAGAATAAATGAATTTGGATAATTTAATACGATAATGAAGTCTAAAATTTTAAAATGCAATAGCTATAGTGCAATAGTAATCTTACTGCACACAGAAATAAGTAGATTTATTATTGGGTCTCTGATTTCTTTATTCATTTATGATAAAATGTTGTTGTAACCACAACAAAGCATTGTTCGCTACAAGAATCTTTGAGTATGAATAAATTTATAGATGGAATATTTTCTTTGCTTAATGAGCAGTCAATACGAATGAGTACTTGAGAAGCGATTAAATTGTCATAAAACTATCGCAAGGGGTTATGACGCTGAAGGGTTATGAAACTTGATTAAGCTCTACTTGCCCCTTTATTTCACTCATATGTTATTATTTTCTTTTGGAGTGGATTTATTGCAATCATCAGTTTTGTTACATACTAATTAGAAACAGTTAGCATATTGTAAGGTAATGGATAATCCAATTTAAGCTAAGCAGAATTGAACAGTACTATTATTGTTTATTACGATTGCTTCGCCTCTCATTTTTCTCGTTTATTTCTGTTTCTTTTATCGAATAGCTTATCTTGTAATTAATGATAAATCTTTTCTTAAAATAGCTAAATGGATACATTGTTATTTTATTAACTTTCGAACCTGCCCTGCTTTTGCCTTGCAGTAAGAATGATATTCAGATGGATTTCCCTAAACCTAGTAATGGCGCAAGTATACTCGTAATCCTAATTTGCTAGATAAAGATAGTCCTGCGAAAGCTTTAACGTTCTATCTGAATAAACTAAAGGTCCCATTAACTACTAGTAAAAATAAGTTATTAGTAGAGCCTATAAATTCGACTTATGTGATCGATTATCCTAATCGTTGTCGTTACGTCATCAGGTAAATGGTTCCTAAGTCACTTAATTCAAGTGGACCATTTCTTCAAAAAATAATACTATATTACGATGAAATTCCCCAATAGGCAAGACGAATTTTTATGCCACGTTAGAGGCTCTAAATTTTCTATATGTCTTGCTAACGAAGTAATGGTGTGGTATACTAAAAATAATGCTTTTACTAACTAATAGCAAATATTGGCAATTAAGAATGCTATGAATTCAACAGATTTAATCAATTAGCTAAATCCTTTTACTTTATTCTATGAAAGGGGTTTAAAGCTGTTTAATTTAGGCTTAAGTAAACTATTTGTTAATAAACTAACTTGACGATAAAACTATCCAATATACAAAATATTTTATGCGACATTAGAAGCTGTAAATTGCTAGGATTACGCGTTTTTGCTTACGCCCTTTGCTAGCTAAGGATCGCACAAGAAGACGTTGAATCTTAAAAAGGATAGGATTTAAGATTTTCTCGACTGAAAAACCATCGACTGTATTTACTTGGGTTTAACCTAAAATGATTGTGTGGTAAGATGCCATCTATCAAATCGCTCTCTAGATATGACGATGGGGTTATAGAAAGCAAATTAATTACCATGAGAATAATAGCATTTTAGTTTTCTACTTATCTTACCACTTATACTCTACTCAATATAAGAGGTTGTAGAGATTGGACATAGTGGTAGAATAGTATTTTTACAGCGATGAAAACCAAAAACGTAATAGCTCTGAAAATAGTATCATTTTATTTTTCTACTTATCTAGAGATCTATACTCTACTCAATATGGGAGAAAGTAGAGATTGGACATAAAGGTAGAATAGCATTTTTTCAGTGATGAAAATCAAAAAGGGTATAGCCATGAGAATAGTAACATTTTAGTTTCACTTGTCTAACCACCTATACTCTGCCCAGTATAGGAGGAAGTAGAAATTGGACGTTGCTTTAGAATAACATTTTTATGCAGCGACAGATGATCCATGGCTGATAGACTTTTACTTATGGTTCATTAAATCACAGTAATATTATGGTGTTGAGTAACAGTTAGAATAATTGATACACCAAGTGCTTAGTAAATATGTTATTTCCTTTTCGTAGCTATGAAAAATCAATCAACAGGAAGTTAATCTACAGTACGTCAACTAGTATTCATTTTGCTAAAGGTCGCTGCCGCTGTTTATATGTAGTTCGGTTCCCTGTCAATATCTTAGGATGGTAACCTAGTGAATTTTAAAAGTTATTTTATGACATAAAAGTGGAATAATATCCTGATATTGCCGAAAAGGTATAATAGGAATATTAAAAACAACGATACAGAATCTTATCCTTGACCTTATTAGAAGAGAGGGAGAAAATATTTGTGTGTACTTAAAGTCTAATAAATGTAATGTATTAAAGAGGGCGTTAACAAAATTTTCGATTGCTTAAGTGGAGTGAAAAGTCAGATTTTATCTTGTTTATCGATGATTTCGCTCACTGATTGCAATCAGGCACAACGAACACTCTATCTATCAGCAGAAAAATGATTCCAATAGTGAACAAAAATAGTGATTGTTTGGATATCTACCGATGAGCTATGGAAAATGAACTTGGATATTTTAAAAGTTCAAGAAGAAATCAACCAGCGTCATATTTAAGAATAGGAAATTTTCGGTAGAGGGGATGTTGAACTGTGATAAATGATCCAGTGTGGGATACAAGTAGAAGGCACGTGGAGATTATTAAAACTTAATTAATCAAGTTAAATGCTATGATAATTCGACGATTACAGCAAATTGATACTGTCTGTGAGTTAGCCATGATTCAAAATTGGACTGAACTAGCACAAATGGAATGATTTAAGGAGGGCTTACGATACGAGTACTGGTATATTGCAAGATTATCGGAATATTTCCATTCTCTCGTATGTTTAGTTTATAATTGGACTTAAAAAATCGATTTCTAAACCTTTCCGAATTAAAAGATGCTGTTCTAAGTGTTTTTAAGTCTATTTCATGATGCTAATGCAAATTTAAAGTGATCTCCATGTCCAATAACGATGGAATAGATGGAAATTATTATGTAAAACCTGTTTTCTCATTTTTTTCAGGAAATCGAACAAAACTACTCTAAAGATGATGTGAAATGTACAAATTGTCGATTAAAGAATAAAGAGCTCCACTGCTGATATATAATATTTAATCATGTTGCAGAAGATAAACTAGAGATTAGATATTTCACTAGCATAAAAATAATGTTGTAGTGTTCGAAGAAGGACAGATACGTTGTCGTCAATATTAGCCAATAAAGTACATTATCGTTATTAGAACATGTACAAAAATGTCCTTTTGATGCTATTCAGTTGAAGATATAAAGCGGGAAAAGGATATTGAAGAGTTTTAAGCAGTCCTGTTTAGTTGGAATTCAAGCCGTTGGAATTAAAACAACATAACCGACTTACCTTAGGTTATGTGCTTATTAATTGCATCCCAAAGTCAATGCAGCAAAGAAGAGGGAGAATGGAGAGAAAATTAGCCTCACTAGCTTCTTGTTAGTAGCCGGTAGAAGGGAAATAGATGAAATAGAAATAACCAATTTCCTCTACCAATATACCCAATGACAATTTTATATTTGTCTAAGTGTAACGGAAATAAGTATCTACTGATATCAGTAATAAGAGCGAAATGTGACTACTATCCTGGATCACCAACCATTCCAACAGTTGTTAATGGTGTTGTAGACTGTAAAGGATGTTAGCACTACCTCGCGTAGAACAATCGATTGGTCAATTTTGCTATTATTCTATTGAAATGATCGCGATAGAGGATTGATTTCAATAAGTTTTTATAATTAAAAATGGATCATGGCGGTCATGCCTAGTTGGAATTATTTAAATAAGAATCAAATTGGGCAAGTCTTTGTTATTTCACGTCGTTGTTTTACTACACATGGTCGCACCCATTACTTACTATTCTGATATATATTTAACTTATAAAGTGATTCATCAATAGCGCTGCTATTTATATTAGTCTGTTTAGGTATACACGGCATTGATTAACTCTGCTATATTTCCATAAGAAACAAGTTATTAGTAAATTGCATAGGCAATGAAAATTAGAATTGTAATGATAGCCTAGGAAGTTATATCGTTGTTTGCATCTCTATTAACTTGATTATTGTTGTTGTTGTTGCTTCAATACTGGACCACCATGCCATTTATCACTATAGCTGATCTGATCGTTGTTCTTCTTGTAGTCTAATCGATTAGTTAAATAGTTTACCCAGGTTTCAATTTATACTAGCTAATGCCATTTCGTGCTTTCTTTCTCCTAGTTTACTCCTCAAGATGAATCTACCAAAAAATTTTTCATGCTTCGATTTTACAGTATCCGATCTGATATTATCTCATTCATGAAAGAAAAAAATTGATAATGATCATCCAGTTATATCAATATATTATTCAACTAACCTTGCTCATTTTGTAGTTTGATTACTATGTAATAGCTATGTTTAATTAATGAAGGCAGTAATTCTATATTATCCGTCGAAAGAATCAATAAACTGATCCCGTTGACGTCAATTATGTTATTCCGTTCATTTTGTTCACTTTTAATCTTGGTTACTTCGTGATGGTCATCTTTAATGAAGGAAGAGAATAATCCTATATAATACCGTTGAAGAAAGAAATGGACTGCTTGTTTACTTACATCATAGTGTTGTTTCATTAATTTTGCTCATTTGGACTTTAAATATTATGTAGTATCGATAATCTATCCAATGACTAATGTCGAGATTAAATTGGAGAGTTTGCATATATTAAATTGTGGGATAGATTTCGAGGAATATTTGCTTGATAGCATAGTCAGTGATACTACAGTGCATTAGTTTAGTTACTTTACGATAGCCATATTTTATCTGCTGAAGGAACAAATAAACTAATCCTCCAATTCCATCACTGTATTATCCTATTAGTTTTGGCCATTGATAACTTGATTACTGCGTAATAGCTAGAAAGAATGAGAAAACTAGTCCTTTATTATCCGTTAAAGGAATAATCAACTGATCCTCCTATAAGATTACTCTAATGCGAATTCGCTTGCTCATTTGTAGTTTTGACTACTATATGACGGTCATGTTTAATTTATGAAGATACCAATTCGTATTACCCGCGGAAGGAATACATACAGTAAACGATTTTCTAGTTTCAAAATTATGAAGTATTGATATCTGTCTAACGACTAAATGCCAAGACTAGATTGGAGAGATTGTAGTTTGTATATACTAAACTGCGGATATATTTAGAGGGAATATACGTATTCGCTTGATAGATATACACAGTAAATGATACTACAGTAGTTTGGTTACTTTGCAATAGCTAGATTTTATCATCCATTGAAAGACTAAATGGATTAATTCTCCAGTTACATCACCGTGCTATTCCATTAATTTTGCTTATTTATAGTTTAAACATTATGCAGTATTGATATCTGTCTAATGACTAAATGCCAAGACTAGTTTGGCGAGATTATAGTTTGCATATATTAAATTGGGAGACACATTTAGTGGACAATACGAGCTTGGTAGTTATGCACACTTGTACAGTAAATGATACTACTGTAGTTTAGTGACTTTGCAATAGCTAAATCTTAATATCCATTAAAGGAATAAATGAATTAATCCTTCACCTATATTACTGTGTTATTCCATTAGTTTTGCTCATTTTTGGTTTAAATATTACGCGGTATTGATATCTGTTTAATGACTAAATGCAAAGACTCGATTGGAGAGATTCTAATTTACAGTTTAGTGTATAACACATATACTATATACAGTATACTAAACTATGGGATATATTTAGTGGACTATATGAGCTTTACGGCTATGCACAGTAAATGACATTATAGTACTTTGATTATCTTGTGGCAGCTAGATTTTATTATTCGTTAAAGGAATAAATGAATTAATCCTTCACTTACATCACTATGTTATTATATTAAGATTTGCGTATATTTTAGTTTAGTTTCAATATGACGTAGTGTTGATATCTGTCCAATAATTAAATACCAAGGCTAGATTAACAGCTATGTATAATGAATGGCAATACAGTAGTTTGGTTACTTTGCGATAACTAGATTTGATTATTCGTTAAAGGAATGAATGGATCAGTCCTCTACTTACATCACTACATTTTATAGTATTGAAGTTTATGATATCCTAATAGAAACTGAATTGGTAGCCACTAGCGAGTGCAAGTCTAGCGGCTAATAGGAGCTGCCATAGTATACAGTTTCTTTCATGATTGCTAGATACAGAGTTTACTATAGCAACACTCAACACTCTGATTGAACACTCCAGCAACATCGACTATACAGTAAATAGTTATTAGAATAATTAATTATACAGTATATAGTACTTAACGGGACTTTGGAATATACAGTACTATAGTATTATAGTGATTAATTAAAGAGTATACAAGTACTCAACAGGACTTAGAATACTACAATTAGTATACCTTTTACGATTGTGGAGAAATACAACTATACAAATATTAAATGCTCAAGAGAGCTAAATATTCACATAAAATTCTGCAAGCTAGATAAGGTGATTGGGGCTTGAACGGCTAGGTTTTGAGTGATGGCTACTTCCAAGTTATAAATAATTGAGACTAATTGATCCCTGGCCTAGATGATACAAATTCACTATCAGTTATTGGTTGTAAGTTAGTCTAAATCTCAACTGATTAACGAGCTCGTCGACAGCAAGGTAAGCAGGTCTTGATTGCATTCTGCTAAAGAAATAAAGTAGATTGGATTTGAGTAGAAGACCAAATTATTTATATACCCGTATTCGTAATTATTTCATACCCTATCTTAATGACGTGCTTATATCTATTTGCAGTAATAGTTTAACGATTGTAATTGATTTCTCCAGTTGTCATCGATTCTAGTCCGCACCTTGCTGATGTTTGCCCATAAACATTAATACGATTGGAATCAACAATTTATTCGTAACCGTTTGCTACGTTTGTATTTATCCGCTGATCGCTTTTCTAGATATCGTTAGGATAACAGATCGAGCTGTTCCTGAGTCCAGCAAGATGGGAGATACCAGTACCTATTTAGGATTCGATTTTAGTACCCAACAGGTTAGTGCGATACCTACTCGTAGAGATTCCCAAATCAATGGCTGTCCTACAAATTGCAATGAATATTCATTTATTTGCTGTTAATAACAGCAGTAACATAGCATACATGTATATGATAAGTATCGATAGTCTTAGTCTCCTTACAACGTATAATATTTCTTTCTGCATGATAAAATTATGATAATCCTTTTTCTTAGCAAGGTAGAATGACTAAACGCATTTCTTGATATTAAAAGCTTAAGGCAATTGCGATAGATTCAAAATTGACCGTAATCTGTCAATACAACGTAATTTATGATAAAGAATTATCCGAATTCAAGTAAGGACAAAGTGAAAATCACTTCAGGAGATATGCCTCATGTGTTGAATTGGTTAATTCATTATTACTAGTGCAAACTCCCGTTGCTTTACTGACGGTTTATGGATCCAGTGTAGTAAATGAATGCTAATTTGTATTTTTTATAGGACGAAAGGTGGAGTACATAAACATCCTGACAGAATTACAGTCACATCGCCATGCTTAATGTGGGTCAAGGTACGTAAATGAATTCTAAGGTCAAAGTATTTTGTCTAAGGATTACTTTCATAATAAAACTCCTTTTCGTATAAATGACTACTAAATCATGTCGTTACCTTTGCGATACCAACATAAGGGAATAAAAGATTTACCGTACTGTAGTGTACTTATTTCTATTCTCTTCATATGGTATTTACACTAAACATGATGGATAGGCACTTGATATTATCCTTCAAAAAATGAAAAACGATAACTTTGACTTTTCATCTGTTGTTAGCATCTGCGGTGCAGGTCAAGTAAGTGAACCTGTAGTACTAGAAATTTGTGGTGCATTTTTATTCCATGTCGATTCACGTTTAACTTAGTTTAACATCGTTCCGATTTCTTTGTGCAGTACATGTACATATACATAGTCGTAATACGACAATATAAGCCTAGAAATGAATCACTCAAACTTTGTTTTACCACAAGCCGATAAACCATTACCATAGAATACTTAATTCTAATTTTTTAATCAAGCAAGTTCTAATGATTCGTTAAAATATCCTATCGCTACTAGTCTAATAAACAACTGTAAATGTTATTCTAGCAACATGGCAGTGTATATTGGAAAAAAGGTGCTGGTGAAATATTAAATCATTTAGATGCTGCTCAGGGAACATTGGCATCGCAGCTAGAGGTTAAAATATACGGCTTATATATTAATGCATACAAGGCATGATATGCTAATAATCATTACTCTGACAATTTCATAAATATAGAATTGTTTGGCTTTACTGAATTCGCCTGTGTGGATGGACTCTAGCACAACTAAACAATGCTTGCAATTGGAAAGAGCGTTCAATGGACCACAAAATTTAGCAAATGTAACAGGCTCGAAGGCTTACGAACGCTTTACAGGTTGCCAGATTGCAAAAATCTTTCAGAACTTTCCTAATATTTATCAAGAATGTGAAGTGAGCGTTTTATTTATTATCGATGTATTCATAATCAATTGGCATTAATGTGAATAGAACAATTAGAGCATACAAATCTAGATTAGCTCTTATATCTTCCTCTTCAGCTTACAGTTTTGCAATATCTAATATTGCATTTACTAGAGAATATCTCTTGTTAGCAGCTTTGGCGCGAGTCTATTTCTTGGTAGATATGCTGCTATTGACTATTGTGATGGTGAGACTAAAATGACATTAAAGTAATCAATTTATTCGGTAGCAAATTAACATCTTGAAAATTAGGATCTGGAATGAATCTCATGGACATTTTCATGAAAAGATATTCAGATTGTGCTTTACAGGTACACCAATAGTCAAAATAAAGATTCAAATTGTATTTTGAGAATATATTGAATTTGGAGCTGTTAATTATTTTTGAAAATAGGCCTGTGCTCCTAACCTAAAAGAACTTCTAGGTGACCTAGTCAAACCTGGAACTAATTTGGTATGTCCTTTAATTTTTTATACCTTTGCTATAATATTGCATGATATTGCGTTCATTTCTCGATCGTAAAATATCAATTATAACCTTACGACTGAGGTTATTATATACAATATCTTTATTAGGGATGTATTTCGTCATATATGAGAGATAAATATGGCTTTTCATCTAACTGTAGAGTCAGTGCTTTTACAGGCGATAACCCAGGTCGTCAGATGAGTTGTAAACAGTCCTATAAACTTGCAATTAATCTACTGAAATACTGTTGATTTTAATAGATTCGCTAAATTTTAATTTTTTTTAATTAATTGAAAACTATTAATTCGCTTAATAATGGCTATAGCGTCTCTCGTTGGCATGAGGCTAAAGCAAGGAGATCTTGCGGTAAGTTTAAATTTACTTCCAGTATCTAAGTGTTCACGTATATTATTTGGTTAAACCCTTTATTATGACGAATTATCTGAAAATTATATACGAGTATAATCTAAAATGTCTATTTTCGTCAATGTTGAATGTATACGCGTATAGGAAAAGGGTAATACTAAAATTTTTACTCTAGATTTCGTTGGGAACCAGCGATACCGTTTTTATTTGGTTGGACAATCCTCAACCAGCTTTAGAAGGACACATATTTTGCAATCCGATATCAAGTGAAAGCTTTATGGCGTTATTGTGGTAGCTAGCACATAATTTTATGACGAATTGATCGTTTAGTTGTTGTAGTAGTAATAGTGCGCAGTGGTAGCACTTACTAGTTGAATTATTTGCAGTATGTGTACCGTATATTTATTTGCATGCATATATATCGAAAATTCATATTACTTGCATTGTATATCTATATAGTAAAAATTTACTTAATATGCCTGTTGTATTTACTATAATTTTTATATTATTTATTGGATTGAAAAATGCTCAATGGAAAGTTTCAAAAATGGCTCTTTAACTCGTGAATCGATTAAAAATGAACTTGGTATTGAGACTTGGGAGGTATGTCTGTAGTATTATAAACAATTGCCTAATAATCTATTATGATGTAGAAATTAAAGATATAGTAATCTTGCTTATTGCGGATTATTTGGTAGAAATTTGAGGAATTAATGGCTGATACGCCTCCCGGTAATAACGGAAATATAGGTAAAAATAAAAGTAATATTTAACAAAGACCCAACGTTGGATATATTTTATGATGCATTATTCTTTTTAAGGATTACAGTTACAAGTCAACTAATACTTACTGTAATTGATTAGGTATTTACTTCAAAGAAATGGAAATTACACCACCGAAAATAGGCTGCTATCGATATGACTGTAATGGTAACGAAGTAAGTTTGTAACCTAAACTATTTAACATTATGGTTCTAATAAAAACATTGATTTGGTAAAAGTATACCAATGTTAGTATCGTCTATTCCATGTAGATGCAAGATTTTGACTTAAAGACGGAAGTAAGAGCTTTAATTGAAGGTCAATTCATGGCCAAGAGAATGCACGCAGAAAATCTTGGATATGATATAGGTAAGACTAATATTATAAGAGGATTGACATTCTGAATTTATGTAGCTTTAATTTAAGGTACGTATGCTTAAGCAAATTTCTACTTTTAATAGATCTGACAAATTGTAATAGACTGATTTTACGGTGATATGTTTATTAGAAATTAGTAGAAGGCGTCTCATTGCGTAGTGATCGCTATCACTTTGATTGGTAAAAGATAGCGAGATGATTTTAACGTTGGGTGCGCATAATATTTAATTTTTAGGTAAATGTAATAGGATAATTGCCACTGGTGGGGCCTCCAGTAATAAAGCACTTTTACAGGTATTATCGCAGTGCAGTATACTTTACATCTTCCATTTGCTGCACATTTATATGCGCTGCCATAACAATGTATATCATTATGAGTAGTATTTAAGCCTATGCAAAAACTATTATTAGCGGATACTTATAAGCTATGTGTGCACACTTAAATGCATTAACTTCATCTGTAATAAGTTTAATCCGCTGACTTAGCACTTATCTTTTAATCTAGGTTTTATCGGACATTTTTAATAAGCCTATCTACGTTCAAAATATTAGCAACTCAGTTTCACTTGGTGGCGCTTATATGGCAAATTTTGGTTGGCTTACTTATTGTGTTGTAAAATTTATAGTTATTGGATCGTTTAGGAGTTTCTAGCATACTAAGGTTACCGAGTTATCACTGTGGTTTAATTGTCATTCGTTTTCTTGTTATCAAACAGCGATCAATTCTGAGTTACTTGAGGAATGGTTATTGTTAAGAGATAGTTACCGTCTTGCTGCAGAACCAAACCCAGCTACAATTACGGTTTGAAATTTATTTTACAACTATATCAAGAGTTTGTATCAAAGTTTGAAATAGTCATAATGGGAGAAATGTTAAAAGTAGCACGAGTCATTGATAACACTAACATTTGTCTATGTTAACCTTGACTAAGAAATTTCATTGCAGGCTTATTCAAAGTTACTGGAAAGTTACAGATGTTTGGAAGCAAAGATTCCTTCGAAATAATACTGACCGCTTCGTTATAGCTGCAAAATTATCACATGCATAATATTTGATTACGTACAGTATATCAGCTTTTATGAGCTGATCTACAGTAATAATATCAAGTAGAAAATATACGCGTAAATCATGTCTTGTCTACTGTAGATTGCTTTGTTTCTACAATCAGTAATCATAATTATAGTGGACTTGTGACAAGGTATGACATTCCTCCAAGAAATTAATGATTCAGCCCTTCATGGATATTTGGCTAGCCAAGGCGAACGATGAGAAGACTTTAATGAAATGATTTCAAAGTAATTTGATATTTTTAAGCGGAAGAATATTTATTAGTGACAGGTTCAAGGCCAGACAATCAAATTTAGTACACGCACAACAAGATAATTATCATCCATTGTTAATCATTTTTAAATCAATTTTTTATAAGTACAACAAATTGTGCGTCCTTTGATATACAGTAGGTGCCATAACAACATGGCTGATTTAAATTGACTACACACCAACGCATTCTTTCACAATGTACTATCATTACCAATAAAAGACATCATTTACCATCAAGTATATGTACTGCATTTATTGAAATGCGACAATTGTAGAGATAAATTAACTTCATTAGAATTCATTTGCATGCCGCTACTAACGTCAACGCAGCAAAGATCTGACGGTAAAAATATGATCGCGAAGCTATGCAATAATAAATCAGAATAACAATTCATTAATTATTAAATACATGTTGGATTTCTATTTAGAAATTCTAATCACTTGTACATCTGGAGAGCTTGGTATTGTATCTACAGCCGTGCGTGATCCAGTCGAAGACGGACAGTGAACAGTACACGTGTAAAATTTTGTATTTCAATTTTACACTATGTTTATTACCTAATATGATTTTAAGCTAACGCACCACTAGAGTGAACATCTCAAGTCGCTCATCAAGAGTGATGTAAGTTATGGAACTGTAGACAAGTAAATTTATAACTAAATAAGGGTTATTAACATAGGTATACATTAGCATCAAGTCAATTGGAATCCGGGTTGACTCGTTGATTCTACTGTATTGCAATTGAAATTGCAATCGGTATAAAATAGCAATGATATGGTAATCCAACTTTGACGCGCATACGCGTCTGTAAGGATAAGAAGTAATTTTTGAATTGCAATTGCTCATGAAAGAGTGAAAATTGACCGTAAGATAGGGTTAGCTAATTCAAGCTGTGGAATGATTGTTGATTTTACACACCAGCAGTTGGCGTATTGTTTGAATTTGCTTTTCCATCATTTGTATTTCAAGTTTCAAGCGGGCATTTTCAGTCTCGAGCGATTTTGCTGTAATAGAACGATAACGATCTTTGATTTTTTTGGCCTCTCTGGACTTTTTAGCTGATAAGTTATTTCGCTGGCGACGTTCATCATGCGACATCCGTTTTCTTGCTTTTGAAAGGTTAGCATGGAAATTGGAAATATCTTCACTGAGGCCTGATGAAAGATCTTCATCGCGGAAATCGACAAAAGCTTCTTCTTCTGTAGTTAAAGAATCAATGGATTGTGGCAATGTGGTGTTGCCAACTGTAGGTATAGAAGAAGACGAATTGCTGTGTCGATTTCCGTTGAATTCTATACGATATTGCAAAAATAATTTATATAGTGATGGAAATTAGTACATTACATGTTGAACAGGGTAAGAATGAATCATGTATTTTACCAACGATGTTTTTTTTTTTATTGACGCAATTTTTAACCATATGCCCCATATGCCCCACTCGCTAGGTATCAACCTGGCGATTTGATGTAAATTAATGTCAGAAAAAAAGATTGCATTGATGATTATAAAAACATTCATCTCTAGCATCATCATTGAAAATGGTTGCAATGATGATCATTATGGATATAATAATCATACATAATACAACCGTCTACTACAGTATTTAGTATTGGTTAGTCTATGGATGATTGAGAGTCATTGACTTACCACTGCTAAATATACCACGCGGAGTCACGAGCCGCAGGATCAAAACACTCTTCGTCGTCGATCATGTTGGCGGTGTAAATTTCTGGGCACATTTCATTCCATAGAAATTCTTCCATGGCTAGTCCTCCTCCACCTTTGTCGTCGAATCCCATGGCTTCATCGATATAATTTTGGTAATGGTAGTTTGCCATCATCTTACCCAGTAGTCCACCTTGCTAGCAAATACGAATGGTCGCGGTAGTAGTAGTCGAGATTGCAAATGAATTAGCTTGCAATAGCGCCAACAGAATGAAAACAAGTGGATTAAAAGCTGATGCAATTGACTTTATATGTGTGGGTTACAGTCCCAGTTGAGCACTGTAGGACGCAAGGACAGTGGTAGTAAGTACTCCACTTTACAGTACAAAGTCTGCAAAGCTTCTTTTGGCTGTACTGTAGACTGTAGGCTGTATTGCACGTCATGCTGTGCCTTCACTGTCCAGTACAATACAGTACATTGTACGGACCCGTTGTTGGATACGTTGTGAGATCTGATTTGCCGTAACACGTTAAGGTACATTATGAATAAACAATTGAACATGTCTGTTGAAAGAGGTTAGCCTGGAGAGAACAATCGGCGTTAACAAAAGTTGGCCTGACGCATTGTCTGTCCATACAGTCTGAGAGAATTGATTTATTTTTTCTACAGTACACTGTACTGTACAGTACAGTATTTCTCTGCCTTGCTGGATATGCAGATGTGTACCGTGCAGTACAGTGCTGCATACAATCCAATAGTGTGTAGTGTACTGTACACCGTAGTAAGTAGACTACTGTACTGTATCAGCAATTGAGCCTATCACTACTCTACAGTGTACACAGCTCGCTACAGTACAATGTACAGTCTACAAACGCCTGCGATTTTAACCTTTCAACATCGAGTTCACTAGTTCATTGTTGTTGTACTGTACACTATGTACTTACTATCAACAAAGAGTGATACACAACAATACTGATGGGTAAGGCTGGGGGCGTTCGAAACAATAGCAACAGTTGAAACTAGCAGAACTGGCTTTACCAGAACTGCTGTTTTTACTTTTGTTTTTTGGAAATAACTGTCGCTACAGTGTCAAGAATGCCAGTTGGTTTGTCGGCCGTACTGTGCCAACCTGATACTGACTCTGTATTCTACAGTACAAAATGGGTACAGTCAACGAGACGTACTGTACTGTACAGCATACTGGACAGTCCAGTATTTACAGTATTCACACTTCATCATAATAATAACCCTAATTCATTTGAGATTCCTGACTCATCGTGCCGCAATACGAATAGACACATCGACATTACTGTACAGTGTACACTACTATACTGTATGTCAAAGTTGCCAAGGTAAACGTTAAAAGTGGCATTTTTGTAGCCGATTGATACGTTCCTACTGTACACTGTACAGTATTGTAGTGTACAGTACAGTACATCAGTACGTACCGTAAATTGGACTGTGCAGTAAACCATTGTAACGTCCTGTACTGTAGATCAATCTTTGCACTGTACTGTACCAATTCCACTTCTTCTCACTTTTTGACACTACTGTACCGCCTCTTCATTAAAATTAAATCAACTTGTCCGGGAAAAATAGTAAAGTCAATGATTGATTCAAAATGCCGGACGTCGGTCCGGTATTTTCCAATCAATCAAAACATTCTATTATTCCTGTACTAGCTTATGCAGTTTAATATCAATGATATCAATCGCACAATTTACCGCAACCTGATCTACTGATGTATTGTACAGTACACTTTAGTGCAAAAAGAATGGTCAAACTGACCATTTTTCCCTTATTCTACAGTACTATCAGCGACTACTGTACTCAATTAAAATCGTACCCCCGGGGACGATTTTAATTGATTAATGAAGGAGTACTCGCTGCTACCATACCCTAAAACTGAAACCGTTTAGTATACCACACGCTACAAAACCAACCAAGCTTCGACCTACTTTATTTGCTGGACTTTGCATGACTATCGCGGATACAGCAGTACAATCAGAATATTTTCATTTTTTTCTCATCCAATCAAAACGCCTTTTGGAGAATTTTAATTCGATCGCCTGCAGTCCTGGCGGCAGTATAGTAATCTCATTGGATTATGGTTTTCCAGTGAATATCCGCCGCGAAGGCTGCGCGATCAAGCCGGTTTTGAATCATAATAAATAACAATAATAATAATAATAATAATAATATAATATTATTATTGATTGACAGTAATTAAGGACGGACTGTCACGAGAGTGCGCAATCCAAACTTTTCAACTCTGAAAATTGGAAAAGCAATTCTGCGCACTTCCAGTTTGATGCCATGGAAACAGTCCTCGGCTTGCAGCCACCATCAGACTACCGCGGTACTACTGTGATATCATGATAGAAACCTATTAACATACTAAAATGGATCTCATTGACTATAGAGTAATGTCTTGATCTAAACCTATTCACATAGGAAAATGGATATCATTGACTATAGACTACTGTAATTTCCATAAAATAAAATTACTGCCTTTCAACGCATTAGACGGTACAGTAGTTGGGGCTTGGCTGATACATAGGATGATATCCATTTTGCGCAATTTAGGCAATGGCTGCATTGATGTAGGTTGCTCGATAGCGTAGTACTTCAAGACGTATATGCGTATTGCTTCAATCATCACTAACGGTATTAATCGTACAAGGAGTTATTGAAAATTGAAATGGGCGATGCTATTTGATTTAAAAACTACAAAGCTGTAACGGTGATTAGGAAGTTCATCTACCAGTGACGAGATAGGCATACAAATGCACTCCAAGATAGACATAGATCAAAGTAACAGGTGTGAAATGAAGAACATTACGCCAACGAAACGATAATTAATACAAGCAAGAACTTGATAGATTAGTGGTGTAAAATTATTATTACAACATCTTCTATAGTAATTGAATAATAACCATTGCAAGAAATACCACAATTCATTTCATCAACCAAATTTCAATGGCTACAAACTCAGATCAGAATTCATTAAGGTTGCAATATCAAATATTGCAAGAGAAGCAGCAACAACGATTATTACGTTTACAACAAAGAAAAACCAACGAAAGTATTACAACCAGTCAAGAAGAAACCAATAAACGGCAGAGTAACGATAAAAATTCAAATCAGATTAACGGCCAATTATCATGGATGCCAGAAGAAAATTTAAATCTAAAGGTTAATATTACTAGTTAAAACTTTATTATGATAGGCTAGCATACTAATACACAGCATCTTCAACACAATTCGTAATGTTTATACTAGGATACCACTACTTGCTGATTACCTCTATACGTATACAGAACATAAATTTTAATAACGTTATTCACTATACACACAAAAATTCGATTAGATGATTGATTCAATTTTATAAGTTGAGTGTGCTTCATTAATAGCACGACTACAATTTTAGTTACATGTTATATGCCTCTGATATGCTGAAATTATCGATTCCGCAGCATGTTGTAAACAATTGACACAGACTATATACCTACACAATAATCAAATCATACATCCTTAAAGAATACACACTTGATAATTATTAAACACTAATTCACCCATCACAATCCTTAATCTAGTTGGAAGTTACTGATGAAGAGAACGATGATGATAGAACGGTCGAGTCTACGAATGACGATGAAATTACTGAATTAAAAGAAATAATCCGTGTATGTTCTTCTGAGAGTTTTATTATGATTTGATAAATATTTTAAATCTAGATCATGATTCAATCTAACTATATGGTCTTTAAGGCCGATGCTTAAATTTTGATTTGTTGACATGATTTCTTAGTTTTTATTTGAAAATTGATCAATGCTATATTATTTAATTACTGTACTAACGATATCAATACCATGTAATTGCAAAGCTAAAAATACCTTGTACGTGTAATAGGAACTTAAAGACGAGAATAGTCGATTTAGAAAATTAGTAAGGGAGAAAGATGGGGAACTAAATGTATTACGAAAGAACCTAGAAAATAGCAAATATGCATTAGCAGGTATATTCATGACTTCCCCTGCCAAATATAATAACATTACAACTTGTAGCTTATTAATTTATATCAATAAAATAGCATGCCCATATCATTATATGTAATGTACTAGCTAAGTATACAAGTAGATAAATAAGCAGAAAAAGCTTATATTTTTCGATAGCATTCACATTTTATGATGCTGTATATTAATAAAAGGTCGAGGTGCTGGCAGTGATACTGCAGCCAGTCGAATTGTCGAACTCTCGAAAAAAAATCGGGAGCTTTCATCACAAATTGGAATCGAAAAAACGCAATCCAAAGAACTAGCTAGAAAATTCGCTGAACTTAATCGTGAATTAGATCAATTAAAAAAAGTAAATCTGGATTTTCCAAACGATTTTAAAAATAAGAACGATGGGGATAATGAGGTATTTGTGATATTGGATTCATTGAATTTTTTCTGAATCATACATTTTGCTACGATAGTAACTAGCTTATTTTAACTACGTAACTCTTGCTGATTTTATCCACATTCTAGGATACACAAGAAGAGTTAGAAGTGACTAAGGAGAAATTAGCCCGTACTTCAACAAAATTAAACGAATACCGGTCCCAATGCCAATCGCAAAAGCAAGAATTAAAAACTATGCACAAGGTACACAACGTTCTTAAGTTTGATGCTTTATAACGTATCAATTGTCCTGTAAGTATACCGTAGCCGAAAAATGAGTCATGCAGAATAACTAAATTTCAAGTTAATTCATGATTCATTGAACTACTGAAGAAGCTGCGATAAATACTGTACTTTATATATATTTTTAAATTTTCTATTAAAGATCTTACTAACGATATTAAAAATCGCTTACGATTGTACGTATAGATCCTTATTAGCGAACTTGGTGATAATGTAAATATTAACAATCTACTAAATCGATCAAGCAATTGGAGAGGCAGGCAACAACAAATTATATCATTACAAGACAAGGTTTGCGAAATAGGATATACGAGTAGATGGATATTTTAGATTATTTTAGCTGGTCATGTAGTAATTTACTGAGAAGATGGGATTAAGGCCTTATTGGCATCATAGATAGCATGCATCCAGAATTAGAAAATTAGCTAGAGTTATGCTACAGTTAATACAGGAACAAGTAATATCCGGTTATATCAGTCGATTTATTAATTACTCTATCAATAAAAATTGAACCTTGATTTTAGCTCATCAATAAAATAATTAACTTCGGTATTGCTTGAGAGGGCTCACTAGTGATTTCATTTATTCATTACATAATCAGGTTACTGATTTGAAACAGCAAATTGCTGAAATGAATAAAAACGGAACCATAGGCAGAAGATCTGGTGCAACTTCCATTGCTATAAATGCCTTTCCAGTCGGGATTGATGCTAAGCATCAATCTACGATAAAGAAAATTGAAAAACAACGGAAAGAAAACCAAGAAGTAGTCTCTTAATTATGCATTTATCTGAATGATCATATTAATATTTTCAAATAAATGTAATGCATCCATTTCTTTGCTAAAGTTTTATCGTAATTTTATGACTAGAAAGCTACAATAGAATTGGAAAAATTAGAAGAAAGCTATAAGCAAATGCAACAAAAATACGAGGGCGTAAGAGCTAGAAATAAGATATTAAGTGAAGAATTAAAAGGAACTAAAGCGCAGATGGGAACACTGTTAGAGAAAGGCAAACATGACGATGAATTTATCGAAGTTTTGCTGGTTTGTATAGATTAAAGATTGGATAGAACTTACTGTACGATAACCTACTTTGAAAATTGTTGTTTGATTATATGACACACTTAGGATGCTGTACTAGCACTTAATTTTCATATATGTGTAGAGATATGAACTTTATGAAATGTATAATTTACCTACTGTACTGTATACCGGTACCTTTACCGTTAGGTAATTAAATACTTAATTGCACGGTCTTATTCATCAAGCCTTTTATACCATTAATTGATATAACTGGATGTAAACGCATGATTTATAAATCATAGAAATTATTTGTAGTATTTATGTGGCGTGATTATTATCCGAAATATATAGAAAGTACTTTCTGGTAACAGTATAAAGCTTTTTGTCCACATTCAATTTTAAAGCAGACTTATACTTTTCTATCCTTTTATCATAGAAAGAAAATAATAATTTAAAAGAGCATAAGACATCAGAATCTAAAATCCGTGGAAAAGAATTAGAAGATCTCCATCAGCTAACGTCACAACTAAAAGCAAAGTGTCATAACAAAGATGAGCGCATTAAGGCATTAGAAAGTACCATTGAAAAATTAAGACGAAATTCCGATCAACCAGATAACAATCCTAAACGTAAATTATTGCTTTAACGCTATATTTATCTTTTTAGCTCTTGCATCCTCACATTAGTATTGTTGCACGATAATCGGTAGCATTGTTATAAAATGTAAATGAATTGATTCTTTCTTAAACATGTGTTTAGCAATAAGTGGGAAAATGAGAACATTTAGCAGTAGCAGCAATAATAGTGACATTCCAAGTGGAATTTTGCCTACACCTCCTCCTCCACGACCAAGATCCGATTCGATTAATAGTGAGCATAGTCGACCTGATAGTCGATTGTATTCTCCAAAATCAAATCAATCTCAGGGTCGGTCAAAATTACCAGTTTCAGCTGGAACAAGGTAATTAAATCTTTTTTAGATTTATTGCTAAAAATTGCCCTGTTGATTTATAGAGCATCTCAGATTGAAATATATTAATGAGTACATAAATCGTGAATAAAATGTTTGATTGTGTCAATTTTAGTGAAATAAGCTAAAGATTTAAAATGTTAAATTTCACCCGGATTTATTACTGAAATTACCCGGTTGCTTTATAGAATATCTTAGATTATAATATGTTAATGAATATATAAATATGAATTATCTTTTGAATTTAGTTTTGTAGAAATTAAACAGAGATTGAATTGTAAAGTTATTGATTCATCTTTAGGAAAGATACTTCAAATCTTTACATGCAATTACAAGAGCATAAAGCATTAGCACAAACAACTTCCATCGAAAGGGATAGATTGACTGAACTGGTTAAAATATTGCAAGAGAGGTGAAATACTGCTTACTTAATTTATACTTTCACCCATTATTTATCAGGACTAGTAATATTTGGATTAGGCTACAATTAGATTAGATAGGCATGGACAGTTTGTATATGTTTATAAAAACGATACTATTCGGTAATGCAGCACATGTTTACCTCAACTTTTACAAAATTTCCTTCAAATTTAAGATTGATCGGAAATGTGATAGATTTAATATCAAAAGGTGTAGGGCTAATTGTTGAATGAGCCATTATGGTTTGAGTTACTGCACTTTATGATTTATTTCTTAATATTGATTGAAAAATTTGTCTGTTAACATAACCACGCTACGATTGTTATACAGAAGTTCAGTATCCAAGTTTTTCTTGTTTTGGAAATTGATATCGCTTAGTCATATTATATGTGGTGTGGATATTTCAGGATTAATGAGCTGACCAATAAAAATATCGAGATTGGAAATCAATTTCAAGATCAACGACGACAGAACGCCTTACTTGAAAAGGAATTAGACAAAACTCGTCGACTTAATCAGCAACAGGGTTTAAAATCAAGTGATACAAGGAAGAAAGCGCAGCGCCAATCATCTACAACTGATTTCGAGACTAAAATCGAAGAGTTAAATTCCAAGTAATTATAAACTTAAATAAATAAACCTTTGCAAACTAGCACAGAATTGATACTTTCACACGTTGGTATATTTATACTACAATCGATTAGTTAATGCTAATTGAATCATTGCGAAAGACCATACTACCACTACTACATAAATTGTCTTTTTCGTAAACAGCTTAGCTAACACATGCGATCATGATTTATATCCGTTGCCTTCCTGCTTATACGCATATATGATGTCAAATTCTATAATTTATTTTAGGTTAGAAATTCAGAGAGATGAAAATACTGCACTAAGAGAAACAATTCGCTCTATATCTAAAGGAAAGGATGAAGATTTGAAACTCTATCATCAAATGATGGAACAGACTAAAAAGATATTTCTGACAAGTTTAAGGGAATATAAAAAGTTGACAGCATAACCTGATATTAAATATAAAACTAACCTATTGTAATGTGATTATTAGAAAGTATTCAGATTACGATGTATTTTCAATCATTGATTTTTTGACTGTAAATTTGTATTATATCACAAGCATTTCATATGTATATGAGCAAATCCATAATAAGTTTTTGATTTTATTTCTCATATATCATATTGGTCTTCCCGAATTTATTTATAATTAATTGCCTAAGTTAGATGGTTTAGATTCTAAATATTACAAAACTTATCTTATGTGCACACCACTATTACATAAAAGTTTAGAGTATTTGGAAAATATAGTATAATCGCGGACCACGATGAAAGGTAACGGTTTATGCTGTAGGTAATTGTGAATTATACTGTAAATTCTTTTACTTAAATTAACTAGTTCAAGTTCACTAGTACAGCCAATGTATTTGTATATGTATTGAGACGAGGTTAATGTGATAATAATGTAGATTAAAAATTATTTCATATCCGAAGAAAATGATGACGCTTGATATCAAAGACTCAAAATACGTATGCATATATATAAGCATAAATGGTCATTTAACTACAACGTGTAAACAGCCAATTTACTAGAAGATTGTGTATATATCATTATTTTACTAGTATTTACTAGGATTATCAGAATATAACAGACAATATGAACTTTTGTACATGTGCAATTCTGCTTACTTGTAGACCTTTGCGCGTTCATAAGAATAAAAATTACTTTTTACTGACACAAACTGCTTGCTATTTGGTATGTAAGGGTATTATCTTGTGCATTAAAGAGTACTATTGTGGTATACATTCAGTTTGTACGAGTGCAATATTATTATACAATAGTAATAAATATAATGGAATGAATAAATGAGTAATTTAGCTTTGAAAAAAAGGCGGTAGAGGTCAATCTAGTAATCCTTAGCAATGCCGTTGTTAAAAGATTTTTTCACAATAATCATCGTGTCTGCAGATTAAAACATCACATTTACATCACAAGTACAGGGCAGGACAGTTTCAGGAAAGTGTGGGAAAATCTTTGAGATGATTATATCATCTCCGGATATACACAGATTATGACATGTAAAGGACACCAGAACTACTCAAGTCCATAAGAAATATCGTCAATCAAATCGTATTCATGCGATTGTACGTATGTCGCGCTACTAGTACTCTATTAACTTAAAATTGCACTTTTCCGTAGAATTTTCACGGATTTCGCTAGTTTTCATTCTTCTTCATTTTATTATTATTCTAGTATTAGGGGAATTTTGTTATTAGTAGTAAATATATAGATAAAAACTCCAAATAAATCGTGCTAAATCTCTATGATATTTTTTACTTATGAACTTGTCCAGTATCCACTTATTATGGATAACTAGATGCTTCTGGATATCTACCTACCGTAGTAGTCTATGGTATAATTAAGTATATCTAATAGCCCATGGTATCATTAGTATCTCTAATAGCTAATGCAATAATTCATATATCGAATAGCCCATGGTATATGGTATATACGCGTATCGATCTCGTAGTCCAATCACTGCCTAGTAGAAGTTGTATAGGATAGGGCGAGTCGTCCATCTGTCCACCGTCCATTCGCATCCATGTAAGATCCTGGTGAAGACGATGGTGTCTAAATTGTGTGTTGGGCAGTACTGTAAGGGTATGCTGTGGTGTTTTGCAATTTCCATTTTTATTCGTTCGCAAATCGTAAATAAAATCAACTCGCCTAATCCTACTCCAATCTGAAATCCACTGTCCATATTTCTTAAAATCAGTCGAGTATCGCGCATTCTACTGCACAGTTTGCACGATGTAATATACTGCCGCCTGCTCATGTTATGTTGGTGGCTACCCTTATGCTATTTCATGTATGGTTGCGTACTCGTATTGCAAGTATGAACACTACTGTAGTATAGTACAATGTCACGACAATGTACACAACAAATCCATCAGAGGTCAGAGAGCTCTGGTTGGATACTACCGGTGCACCGGTGCTTAGTTACCTTGAAATTGAGGGCGTAAACCCTACTGAAGAATAAACGTTCGACTACTTTACTCAATCTTTCCTTGAATGTTCAGCATTGTGCCAGGTAAATTGATTTTATAGCCATCTTATCATTTTGGATTGGTGTAAAATTAGTTGTCGACGAGGTAAATTATGCAAGTGATGTCGTTAAGTTTGATGGAAAGGAAAAATGGCAATGGCTTTTGCCAATGCTATCTTCCATTGCATAACCAATTCTTTTCTTCATGCAGTGACAAGCGTTTTTAGAAGAGCTTTCCCTCTTTCTTGCCTCGCTAAAAGTCCAACACAGAAAATTGTCTCTTTCCCTTCTTGGTATAGTAATCAATCAGCGAAAGAAATGAAGATTGATGTCATTCCAGCCTTACAGGATAATTATATGTATCTGTTAACCGATCCCAAAACCAATCAAGCTGCTATTGTTGATCCAGTCGAACCGGAAAAAGTAATGCCATAAGTTAAATTCTCTCAGTTAACATCGTATGCAGTAGACTGTCATTTGTTGTGACTGAATCAAGCCGCAATTATTATAGAATTATTACACGTAGTGAATACATTAAGATTGATCCCTAGTTATTAGTTAACGATCGAGTATGCGTATAGAACCATGTCTTAATCATTAAAGATCAGGTCTAAGATACAAATGATATTTGATACGTATCGCTAGAAGAATTCATCGGGTCACATTTATATTGCGCTGTTAAAAGTGTAGTATTACAGTGCAATACGCTTAATATACTTAATAGTAGATGAAATACATAAATTATGATTGTTCTTTAGCTATTATTTGGTACTTACCAATTCTTAATCACTAATGATTAGACCACTTCATGTTTTAATTGTTTATATATAATGCTATATTAAGTGCAATCCTACAGTAGAATACAGTACACTGACAATTAGCACACTTAATAGTAGATGAAATAGATGAATTAGGCTTGAACTTTAGCTATTTATTTAGTCCATCATCACTTCTGAACCCTAAAGATCGGGTCTAAGACGCAGATAATTAATTAACGTTTGTTACGAATCCGCTGATCTGATTCATCGCTTTATGCCTATGTTACTCTATATGAAGAGTAAGTACTGCAACACGCTTACTGTATTAGTATTCAGCGATTATTATTGGCCAGACACTATAACTGCAATTTACGATAAAATGAGCCTACTGCTCTGTAGTAGGAAGGAAGGACTAATAGTAGGCAAAGGTATAGCGCAACCTAATTTGGGCATTTCTCCTTTTTTTGACAGGTCTTAGCTGCAGTTAATAACAGGAAGGTCGATTTAACTACAGTAATAACCACTCATCATCATTGGTAAGAGCAACTGTATGCCTACTGTCGATGCTAAATCAGCTATAATAACAGTATTCTCGTCTAATGTGTGCGATCAACTTGGAATTTGTGATCATAATTATGTTATAAAACTTAACAATTTCCGTAAGTATGTGATTTATTAATTAGAGTAATCTTATTAATGTAGGGATCATGCCGGAGGTAATGATAAACTAGTCGGCATGGTTTCTAAGAAATTGAAGGTTTACGGGGGTGATGAAAGAATCGGTTCTTTGACTGAAAAACTTTCCGGCGGTGAAGAATTTAATGTAAGCTTGTTTGATAACTATTAGCATGATATTTTTAATGGCGTGATCTGACAAATTTCCTCCCATCTTACAGATTGGCTCTCTTGTTATCAAATCATTAGCAACGCCATGTCACACCTCTGGTCATATTTGCTATTTTGTATCTGATCCTAACAGTCAAGAATCTGCAGTTGTATTTACAGGTTGAAAACTATTAAGATTAAAAATTGTTGTAGTACTTTCTGAAATGAATCGAAAAGCATAACATCTGCTGATTTATATTTTTAGGAGATACACTCTTTGTAGGAGGATGTGGCCGCTTTTTTGAAGGAACACCAGCTCAGATGTATAATGCACTTTGTAATATTTTAGGAAAATTACCTTCCTCGACTGTACGTTAATTGAAAATTGACTTTTTATGGCTTATAGTTTTGATGAACAATGTAATATATTATTTTGGGTGAAATAACATTTAGTTTCTAATTTAATTAGAGGGTTTACTGTGGACATGAATACAGTGCTAGCAATTTAATATTTGCAATCCATGTAGAACCCGATAATGTAGACATTCAGAAGAAATTAGAATGGGTTAAGGTAAGATTTTTCTTCTTATCCGGATGGTAATAGTTCATCATTGATATTACTCTTTACATGCTTGTCTTTGACTTAATAAATCTAATCGAATGGTTAGAAACAACGTGCGAACAGATTAGTAACTGTCCCTTCAACAATAGCGGAGGAATTGTCTTATAATCCTTTTATGAGAGTCAAGTAAGAGATAACAGATTTGATTAACTAGTTCGTATGAGATAGGCTGATGTCATATAAATAAACTATAATTAATCGCTGTGAATTTATTAGTTCATTATATTATGAATAATAAGTTTACTCGAGCAGAATTAGTTGTTTGATTTACGAGACTAATCTATTAATCGTATGTATTTGAAATTAGCACTAATAATGTAAGAAAGCATACCGGAAAGAAGAGCGGAATCGAAGCTATGGGATACCTTCGCGAAGAAAAAAATAATTTTAAAGCGAAAGCTTAGCTTGATAGATTATAACCCTTATACTAACGAGAAAGTTGCTTTTTGCCACATAGTACCTAAGATAAATAAATTATCCTTATGATAGTAGAAATGAAGTTTACTGGAGATTACGTGATGGTATAACTTCTACTCCAAAGCTTTGAATTGAAAATTTAACATGTGATCCTGACGTCTGCTACTATGAAAGATTTTCACACACATCATTTTTATTTTATTCATCTTCTTCATATTATACTAAAAAATAAATTATTGTTTACAAACTTAAAATCAATATTGTATGATGTACTATTGAGAATGATTTTAATGCGAATTAACTCGCTGAAGAGGTAGAGATTTGTAATATTAAAAATTTCTAAAATGAGCAATCCAGACTCTCCGGTACTGCCTATCTGAGACAGATTATTTTCTCAATGCAAATATCTTTAAAAATAAGATCTAGTACATCTTTTTGCTTCGCTATTCCAGTCATACGATCAAGTTTTCTTAGTGTCAATGAATTTCTGAGTAGATAGAGATTGCAACGTTAAAACTGCTAAATTTTAAAATAGCCCGACATTGCTTATCAATGACAATTTATTTTCCGATACAAAAATCTCGGAAAATAACATCTAATATATCTTCTGTTCCGATATTCCCAGTAATACGACCAAGTTCTCTTAATGCAATTCTTAGTTCTTCAGCACCTAGCACTAGATCATGATCTTCTACAATAGCAACATACGGCAGTAGTTTTAGAAGTTATACGGCATTTAGGACTTTAATCAAATCGAAAGACTGAGAATATTAGTTTTGTGACACAAATGACATGCACACTAGCTTTCAAACTGTTGCAGATATAATATGCTCGGATGTATTGTTACAATAAATCTTTTTACTATTTGAATTTACCAAAACCGTCGTGAGCCATCCTTAAGTAAATTTCCAGCGAATTTAGCGCTTCCCTTAGATGAAATCTATGACGAGCCTGAGTTATGGAAGGGTTACCAACTACTGGATCTCCACAACTGTTATACAAAGGCATGTGTAATTAGGTATCTCACGGTAACTAAATACCATATTTTTAAGGAGATAATCTAAAAATTAAAACATCGTACATGTCTTTCATTTTTTGAGATAAGATATTTATGAAATCCTCAATTCCGTCGCCAGTTTCACAAGAAATTATACAAGCATTTACCTATTACGATAAACCTAGTATTAAAATTAACTGATCATTCATTGCTTTATATCAAAGATGTTAACAACATATTTACTATATGATGTACAGTCGATATGATAAAAATAAAATTTTGCTTATAGAAAATACCCCTTTAGTATTGAATGCTTCTTTCATCTGTACTGCTAAATTATTTGTTATTAAATCGGCCTTGTTTAAAATCATTAGATATTCGATATTTTCATCGAAATCTGCACTTGTGCTTTCGTCTACATTTGTGTTTAACATCCTCAAGGGTGATTCTAGCAAGCCATCAATATCAACGTGTTTATACTTTGAAAGATCGTGAACGATTAAAACAAAATCTGCAGCGGAAATTCTAGTGAATTCAAGAACATAGTTAAAAGAGCATGAATATAGCGATCACTAAAACAAGAATTTATCTACAACAGAAGTAAATAACGTACTTAGATTTAGCGCGTTTTATTCCTTCCTTCTCAACAGGGTCAATCGATTGACGGATGCCAGCCGTATCACTGTAGATGGTGTTATAAGTTTATTGATATGCAGATAAGGTAGTAAATGCCCACAAAATGCGATCTAATTACCTAAATAATACCGGATAACCGCCAATATTAACTGCAGTTTCGACAACATCCCTAGTGGTACCTTCAAGTGGAGACACGATAGCTGCCGGCCTTTGACCTAGCATAGACGAAAATGAATCTTCTCAACCTCATTTTAATTTATGCATGCAACCGTATACAGTACGAGTATAGTGGTGGCACATATATATTTCTATACTCCATGATCGTCTGCTACTGTACTTACAAAGTAAATTAAGCAGGCTACTTTTACCAACATTTGGGGGACCAGCTATAACAACATTAACTCCTGACCGGAGCTTTTCTCCTCTTCTTCCATCCTCTAAGTGATTTCGAACTTCTTTAGCAAGTTTATTGACGGAATTTTTTACTATTAATAAAGTTTGATATGTTTACTAGATCAATTCGATAAAGAAATCAAGCATTAATTATCTCAGCGTACAAGCTGTACTTTGATTGGGTCATAGGAGCAGTAGATCATACTGATTCTCTGTAAAGCTAATTCTTAACTTGGGTTTGATAAATTGTATAAAGTAGCAAATGCATACATAGGATGAGAATTATGACTTTCATACCATTAGTCAATATACCATCTTCTATTACGTCTTCAGAAAAGTCAATGGTAGCTTCAATATCAGCGACACTCTACGAATATTAAAATTTCTTTTACTGAATGATCGGTACGTTAGTTTCATATTGATTGAGCTTAGCTAAATAACGTGAATATCCGTTTTTTCGTCAACAAGCCACTACGGTTAATGTTACCTTCAAAAGAGTTTTACTCCATATCTTATATAATTGACTCAAATGACCCTGGAAAAAGGTAAGGCTTATACGTAATAGAATCAAATAAATAACATTAAGGAAAGAGTCTTACATCCATTTGTCTAAGTGCTTGCTTTCTTTGTGCTTCTGTTTGTGCATGAATTAGATCGGCTAATCCTTCTACTTCAGTCAAATCTAACTTTTCATTTTCAAAAGCTCTAATCGTTTCATTTGATGAGTTAAAATAGAAATATTAGATGCCAACAACCCTAACCAAGTTTCTGTAACTTAATTTAAATGGTGTTAGATGGCTGTGTCATCAACCTTCGAGTAAAATCGCCAGCCATTGCAGGATATAAACCATCAATCTCTGACAGAGAAGTTAAAATGCCCTCGACAACAGCTGAACCACCATGAACCTGAAATTCTGCAAGATCTTCACCAGTAAAGCTATTAGGCCCTGAAAATAATAAATTAATTTGAAACTATAATTACCGACATTATAAATGATTGATTTGAAATGTATTATGATTGTAGAACAGTCTCATCGTAACATCAAAATACAAGATTTTCGACCTGGAAACCATAAAATTAAGCCTTTATCAACAAGATCTCCTGTTGAAGGTTGATAAATTTTGCGTAAGGATGCATATCTGGGTTTTGGTAGATTATCGGATTTCGTCATCAATTTGACAGCCTAGCAATAGTACAGTAGTTGGACGATATTATTACAAAGTGTATGCAAAGTATATCAGAGTGCATAGACTTGATGTCTTATTCCTGCGCTATTAAATTACAAGCATGTACCATATTTTTGTTAAGGTTAGCTTGTCTATGAGCTAGTCTACAATAATGTAGTTATTGCATAATAAATTACTGTAAATTGCAAGTGAGCATGTGGAGCCAACACTCACAATACTTCATAGCATGAAAAATTTTTGGTTTACCTCAGAAGTCTCAGGTCCTGTTACTCTTATAACAGCAACACCTAGGTACGATAAAAGGCATTTACAGTATGGTTATTTAATATCGCTGTTATAACAATGTTAAAGTGTAATAAAGTGTTTGGTTTAGTTGTAGCTGTTAGTCCATTGCATATGCTTTGACTACTTATGGTGGTGATGCACTGGCATAATATGGTGATCAATTGCATCTGCAATTGTACTACCCAAATGTGTGAGTGTACGTACAGTAGTAGAAATATGCAATGATCTACGAATACATATCACTCGTATGCAAATGTGCTGTACAGTATAATAATGAAATTTTAGCTATGCATGTATGATTGTACGTCTTAGCTAATATGCAGCTGCAGTAGCAACATGCAAAGATCTATGAGTGCATAATACAGTACTCATATGTAAGTGTACAGTGTAGTAATGAAATTTTAGGTATGCATGTATGATTGTACGTCTTAGCTAATATGCAGCTGCAGTAGCAACATGCAAAGATCTATGAGTGCATAATACAGTACTCATATGTAAGTGTACAGTATAGTAATGAAATTTTAGGTATGCATGTATGATTGTACGTCTTAGCTCATATACAGCTGCAGTAGCAACATGCAAAGATCTACGAGTGCATAATACAGTACTCATATGTAAGTGTACAGTATAATAATGAAATTTTAGGTATGCATGTACGATTGTACGTCTTAGCTAATATGCAGCTGCAGTAGCAACATGCAAAGATCTACGAGAGCATAATACAGTACTCATATGTAAGTGTACAGTATAATAATGAAATTTTAGGTATGCATGTATGATTGTACGTCTTAGCTCATATACAGCTGCAGTAGCAACATGCAAAGATCTATGAGTGCATAATACAGTACTCATATGTAAGTGTACAGTATAATAATGAAATTTTAGGTATGCATGTATGATTGTACGTCTTATCTAATGTGCTGCTGCAGGTAGAAATACACAATGAACTATGGATGTATCATACTCCTATTATGGGAGTCCTATGCAAGTATCAATATGTACTGAAATTTTTTAGCTGAATCCATGTACTGTAAGATAACGCAAATGCGTATTCCGAGTCTGCTACAGCAGAAATACGCAATGATCTTCATTCGCTTAAGCAGAGCAATTTTACAGCGTTTCTTATCGTGTGTATTTCACTCTGTTAACATTATCTCTATCTCATCATCGATTACCTGATACGCCATGGCCTGAGGAGACTGCAAATACAGTACTGCGATATAAATCACTAGGACGATCACTGCATGACCGAATGCAAAACCTCACCATATTGCTAGCTTGCATCCAGCATCGGATTTTGCTTGTATTCATTGCTGGAAAGATTGTGGATACTACAGTCCTCTACACAGTATTCTATGCGCGTACAGTCTATTAATTATCTCTATCTGTTACCGACCTCATCGTTAAATAACATTTATTATAGACGAAATGGATCTCCATCGCTCGATAGCATCGTCAATAACGTTGAGTTCAACTGCAAGGGCTTTAACGCACTCCAGCACTGTACAGTATATCTTCTACAGTGTACAGTACTACGCTCTATTTGTTCGATTGTACTGTACAGTACTGTACGATGTAATACTAACTACTGTAGCGAATTGACTGTGATACAAACTACCCATTAGAATACGAATTATAGTAGAATGCATTTCAAGTCTCAACGGCGTACTTATATAAGCCGCCACTTTTCAATACGATAAAGAGAGAGAGAGAGTGGAGTTAGTAGTTAGTTTTACAATAACTTCAACTACGTCTTCAATTTCTTGTCTCTATGCTAAGTGAGAGTAGTACCAACTTTCAATACAGTTGTTAGTATTAGCTCTAGACAGTAATACACAACACTATGGTTGAGGGCATACTGTAGATTATAAAGGTTTGAATCGAACCAAACCGAACCGAACTCTGGTCTAGTTGAGGCTAGCAGATACAGAATGAAGTGTTTAAGTGTCACTCGAGTACAGTGTACAGTGTACAGTACAACCGCCGTACAGTGCTGTTCTGTACTGTACGATATTGAGTATCAAGGGCTAGGGTTCGAGCCAACAGCCGTAAGCGAGGCAGTAAACGAATGGTAAACATCGGATTCGTTACTATTGAATCAGCTTGGTTAGAACCTGGAAGGGCACTTTCATCGACATTAACAGATTCTTCAGCTCTTCTTCACCAATCTGTTTCTAGTTTCCACTCTGATTAAGAATGGATTCGGAAGTGAAATACCGTAAAGTATATCATGCACTGCTTCAGAGATGCTCTCAGATAGAAAATGTACGAAATATTCACCCAAATAGATAGGCAAAAGATTGAAATGAACAGTGTGGAGAGGATGTTCACTCTTCTAATGGATTCCTTTTTTTTTTGTCTTCTTCTTTAGTTCAATGAACGCTTAAGTTATCGACTTTTACAAAGCAGACGTGTTTTACTCCGGCTACGGCAACAGAGGCAGTAAGTTATACATATACAAGTATGAATGATCTAGGTCAGAATGCAATGTCATATAGAAATACTTCACTTAGAAGCGATGATTCTTAGCCAAAGATTGCAATCGTCGTACTTGCTTCCGACAAGAAATTGTTGACAATCACCCGTATCTACTGTAGTCCGATCGATATACGAATATCTTACTGTTTGTAAAGTTAATCATTTCTAACCATTTGATCTCGTCTATGCGATATAAAAATAGGACTAATTGTAGCTTAGAGATAGCTAGTTGTGATTTTCCTAGTTCAAAATAGTATTCTTACTCTACATTACATTCTTATAATACAGTGTTGAATGATGATGACACGGTACACTGTATATACAGTACGTATATTACCGCCAGTAAGATTGATATTATTGCAAAAAGTTATGATAAATTCAATTGATTTAAAACTGGCCATGATAGCCTATTGGGTATAAACCGTAATTTAGGATAGAATTCATATACTTTTATACTTTCATTTTACCATCAATAGAGCATATATTTGATGCATGTAAAACGATGGTGATAATAGCTGCAGCTAACCGCATTTTCTTGTTATAGGTTTCTTGTGAAACGTTTGGATGAACATCATGATAACTATGATAATATCGATGTCCTTTTACAGGTAAAACCAAATAACTTGTAAGCGAGTAATTTTGTGTAAATTACAAATAAACCTTGGTATTCAATACCAATACCTTCTTTAAAATTGAGTATAGGGCGTGAGCTAATTCTTATCTAACTACATCATTTTCCTCAATTTCGACATTTCTTTTTTACATGCTTCAATACTTCCGACAGTATCTCTGAACTCTTTTACTTAACAAGATCTCATTCTACAAATGATTTAGGAGAGAAAAAAGCGTATCGAGAAAATACTTGGTCACAGTGGGGACCTATTTGATGTCACGGATGGAATATCCAGTGAAGAAGAAACAAAAGGCAAAGTAAAGAAAGGTCATTATAATTTAGGTGATCCAATGAATGGTAAAATGTTAGCCAAGAAATTTAAGATTAAGGGTTATGCAAAGCAAGAAAAAGAAAGAGACCCTAACGCACCTAAGAAACCTGCCAACGCTTTCTTTCATTTCTGTCAAGAAAAGCGCAATTTACCGCAAGACGTTCAAAAAGAAGAAGCCGACTCCTCTGGCTATCATGATTTAACCAAATTTCTTAGTAATAAATGGAATTCATTGCCAAGTGCTGATAAAAAGGTATAGTTATTTGTCAGTATCTTTCATTAAATATTATGATATAGACCGTCTATTTCTGTGTTCAAGTCCGTAACATGCTCATACACCAACATATACAGGTATATTATGAAATGTACGAAAGAGATAAAAAACGATATGAAGAAGAATTGAAGATTTACAACAATAAAAAGGCTGATGGCGAAGCCGCGAAAACTTTAACTCCTTCTGAAGATACAAAAGAGAACATAGTAAATGAAATTGAGGTAAAAGAAGAGGAAACTACAAATGATCCTGATGAAAGTAAAGCTGAATTTGAAAGTCTATCAAATGAAGATCAGGACTCAAAGATGGAAGTAGAAGTGGATGATGATAGCGAACACATAAACAATGGAGACGATAATAATAATTTAGATGACGATTCTGAAGACGATTTCAAAACGACTACTGATGTCAATAATGATTACCAAGAATTTGCTGACACTGAATGTGACGTTGACAGGGAACAGTTGGATAGTAATTGCGATAGTGCTGAAGATGAAGATCAAGATGACTTAGAAAATTCAATAGACTAGAGTTTTCATTACGCTATTTTTTATAAATTCAACCGTCAACCACAAAAGGACAATCTATTGATTGCGTTAACCTGCCATCTATTGTGAACGCGTATATGTTTACAGTGCAGGGTACATTCTCAAAGCATCTTCTGGGTCTTATGCTTTCTTGGATTTCACAACACCCATTTATTAATATATCCTTCGAAATACTGTATGTTGACGTTAATCTCGATTTTCATTCTTGAAATTATCGTCATAACACTCTTGTATTATATATATAATAATAGCTTAACTTATAGCTTATGCCAATTAGGACAATCTAAGTGGCTTTAAAAGTCAGTAAAAAACGATGTACTGTATTATCAACCAGTGAGCCAAAACGAATAAAATGATACTCTCTTTATTCTCGATATTTTTCAACAAGCTAACCTTACAACGCAGTTTTATAGCATTTAGAACCAAACTGATTTATTTTACGTATTAATATTGTGCATTGTCAAATAGATTTTCACCGCGGATAAATATAGAATTATAATGATTAGTTTCAAAGCTACATAAATAGAGTTCAAAATAGGGTAGAGTTATGAATGACACAAATGGATACCTAAGGGATCTATTGGCTATGTATTGCAATTTTTTGGCAGATGTCTCGTAGTTTTGGATGCTGCACGGATATCTTTTCAGTATCTAACTCGGTTGCTTCAATAAGGTGGATAATCTAGAGCCAAATGAACGAGTATACCAGTACATCTTAGTTGTATGATGTCATATTTAAAGTAAAATAATAATACAATTTCCATTTCGTATCTTATAACAACTCGAGGACTATTATCAATATATTGAGGTACAGTACCTGTTCATTCTTATGCAATAAATGGCTTAGTGCGGAAAGACTATAATGAGCGGAAACCCAGTTTAGCTCATGATGCATCATCTCTATCAGAGCACTAGCACATTCAAAGCTAACTTCTTCACTTGGCTAAGAAGCGAGAAAAAACCATATTAGGGTAAATAGTAATGACAAAAGTTGTTACAAGCGAACTGAATAAAATACGAACATTAGCAATAGCGAAATTCAGAACAAGAGCACTGCCAATATTTTGTAGTTGAATGGATTCATCAAGTAGACAGGAAACTATTATAGATGTAACCAAATTTTCAGGGAAAACAAAGCCGTTAGAATTAACGGAATATTGCTTCTTTGACGTTAAATATTTTGCCCCATATGCTTTGGCTAGAACATTACATAGCTAAATACAAAATATTTTAAAGTAGGATATTAGAAATAAAAATTGAAGGTTTTCAATATTACGACTATCAACACTTAGAGGTATAAATTACACTAGTATACCATTTTGACAATTTCAACTTTCTCCTCCATTACAGTAACACTTGAAAATGCGTCAGCAACAACAAGAATTAAATTTTCTGAATAGGAGACAAATTGTAGCCATATTAATAAATAAAATGTTGTGTATTTTTACGATTATAGTATAGAAAGTAATAACATGCTCAACAGTAACCAAGTGCAACTATACGTACGTACCTACCTACTTTTACATTTCGTTAATGTAGTATAAATACTATACTCTGGTTTCAATAATTACTAAACAATCCCTCAATTTTAATGTACTTAATTACTTAATGTAGTAGTTATTTAGGTTATGATTTAATATGAACATATGTGCATATACTCGTATGTTGAATGTGTACCATAATTATCGCAAAATAACTGCAAAGAAGATTCCTTAGTTGCCAAATATTTTAAAACGGTTGCAGCGATTTTGGTTGATGTACTAGACGAGGTATTATCAATTCCAGAATTTGCCCTTGTTAAATTGGCTAAAACAGAATCAATCGCTGATATGTCAGCAGTTAAATTTTTTACGATAGTTTATTTTATGTTAAGTTCAAATTTGGATAATAACAGCTTATACTAACAAAGGCCAGGAATTAAGGCTTGCTTTACCAATTCTATTTCATTTTCCGTGGAATGGTTTTGATTTGTTAAGTAACGATCTAATCGTTCAACCACATCTGCATTATGATTCTCTAGCGATTCTTTTAATTGTTTTATACATGATTGAATCTAGAATTGATAAACATATATTTCAGTCTACTGTATGTAATTATTGAAAACATATCATTTATAGTATACTTTATCTAAATCTTCCGAAAAGATAACAGGAGCGGTGACAATCCCTCTATCAATTATAGAATAAATTTGCAATCAAGCCAATATTGCTATCTCCTCAATGAATTGACTTTAAACATGTATTATCATAAACTATATTATTAAGGGTTTCATTACTCTTGGGCACCGCTACTTGTCGATTCGCTGTGTCTACTTGTGCTTTTAGAGACCATATTTTGTTGATTACTAGATATTGATCCTGCAGGGAGCTGATTAGTAGGTTCAGCAGGACGCTGCAGAAGCTGTTGGGTATTCACGGGCGAACTAATCGGTACTCCACCACCCGGTCCATCATTCATAGAGCTCATAAATTGTCGTATCATACCACCAAAGGGTCTATTTGACGATAAGTTTACAATTATATCTACAAATTAATCTCCCAAGTGATTGTCAATATTTAATAAAAAAAACTGTAAACTATATGTTAGTGATCTTACGTGGATAAAACTTCACTAGGTAGATTGGTGATGTATGATGGAATAGAATTTCCGGTCAAAAATTGACCAACTTCGTTAGTGAACGTGTTACAATTGTGATTGAAAAGATCATATGTACCAAGCCTTTCAGAGATGAAAAAATATTGCAAAGTTAATCAAAAGTCATTTTTTAAAGAAATATAGTAATTATGGTAATGATAGTGTATTAGCAGTGGATAGCCTAGCAGATACCGACCTAAACCTTTCATTGCCAATTGTGGTTAAATATTCCATGAAGATGTCGGCATCAAGCTGAGATTCACCCAAATCGTGTTTGCGAAGCGGCTGACCTATAGCTGTCATACCCTGAAATTAATTGACAATAATGTCGAGTTAAAAAATTAATATTATAGATGTATACATTTTGAAATAGTATTTGTACATATAGAGTCATTAAGAGTCGGTCGAAATTAAAATTTACCGGAGCACAGTTTTCGATGCCACGGCTACTAAAGAAGTATTCGCGGCCAAAATGGACAATACTTGTATGCCTATCACAACAGATTTAATCTTAAATTTGAATGCAATGTTTCAAACCTATAAATTTATAATATCTGATAGACTTCCCAGAATGTACAGTAGTATTATTATATTAATGAGGTATTAATCTCTAAGCTATAAATATTATTTTACATATAACTGTTATACTCGCAAATATACCATACCATATGCCTTCAATGTGCCGACCTATGAATAAGAATAGAAATAAAACATTACTCGGTGATAAATTTTCGATCATTTTTTACTAGTTACTTGTGTATATTAAGCAATTGAATACCACGTAATCCTGTACATCACTTGGATGTAGCAAATGCAATATGCATACCTATTAACCTGTCTACAGCATAGGTTTTAAATACTGTAATCAATTTTTTATTCAATGACTATACTGCGTACGATGATCGATGTAATTTACGTATCTAATTTATAACCTAACTGGTCTATTATTCTATAGATTTCTGTAGTTGATATAATACTAACGGTCAACATATTATTGTAGAACCATTCTCAGAATGCATGGCATATCCATATCAATGAATAGATAAGATTGATTGTGGAATAATTGTTGTGACATGACAATGGTGTAATTTTAAAGGTATTATTTTTGACTGTATCCTATACCATCAACCATGCATTTATATATTATAATTATTGTTGCTAGGTATGCATTTGTTGCGATGCCCGTTACATGTACTAACCTAACATAGCCAGCGACATTTGGTTTGCAAGGCCGAATGATAAGTCATATATATAGACTTGTACCAATGGCATAGTGAATCAGGCAATCGATTAAGTTGCTTCTAATCCTAATTGGATGTCAACATTAGTATCCATATCCACAAATTTTCAAATGATGCAGTTCTTTAATATAATTACTGTAATCTAATCTATTCACGATCATACTTACCAAGAATGCCTATGCAAGAAATCACTATCGAGTAAAATCTGACATAATTATCGGGAACTACTCATGCTATGGTACATTTGGTAGGGTTACATTTATGATTACTTGCTAGTATCTACGCAGCACTATTAATGCAGTTGAAGATTTATTCAATTCTAAGTGTTCTCTCAGCTGTAGACGAATATTTATTTTGTATTCCATTACATAACTATTGTTATGACTTGTGAGTAATTTCTATCTTTGTCAGTCATCATTAATTTCACTACTGCGATTTTTTTTATATATTAGTATAATATAATTTATTGCTTGTCTATCTCGGGGATGATTACGATCGGTGTAAATGTTGCAAATGAAATGTTGACACGCAGTTCCTATTGCAAACTAAAGTGGAAGAGCATAGTCACTAGACGTACATATAGATTCCATACTATAGAGCACTTCTGCTTTGCACGTACGTAGTATTTCAAATTGAAGGTTTAGTTTGTCTAACTAGAACGTTTCGATGCTAAATTGAAAGCTGTTTACCATACCATGTACAATCGTATATTGTACATAGTACTTATATAAACAATTTTCATATGGAGTACTGTACAGTACTGTATATGTTTATACAATGTATCGTCGATGCGAAGCCTGTACTACAGCCATATCACGATACGGAATTGCTGAAGGCTAATCAAAATGAATGAGTTGTATGAATTATATTTATTTAACTAACAAGCTTGTCATAATGACATTGCTATCGTGTATGGGATCCATTTTACAGCTCAAGTTGATCAAATTTTTCCAAATTTCGAATTGCAATAGCCAATTGTTTCTGGAAAGTCGACAATTTGGAACTGAGTGACAAGTACAGTACTGTACGTAGTACAAGTATTTATCGAAGCTTAGTTATTTTATAAAAACTCTCATAACCACCAGACTTGGAAGATGTTGGGGAAGATATTAATCAATGAATTGATTGATGGATTGATTTACAGTTAATATTATGCTATGGCTATATGCCGTTATCGTAGCAGGTATTATATGATCAATCAATGACTTTAGCTAACAATAAGGTCAATCTTTGTTGAAACTACTAGAATCTTGATTGGTCCAGTTGCTATTAAAGGTACTACTCAATCCACGACTGCATCTCTACTGCAGACTGTCAATTGTTGTTGACTGCTTACTAAACCAGTGAATAATACACGGTGATGATATATACAGTACTATCGTTCATTGAAAATTCTCTTGGGCAACACTCAAGTCTACTACTATCCGCTTTCTTCGCCCAAATACTACTACTGTATTTGGGCTAATAAACTTACCAATCTAGAGAGAATTCACTAGTAGGCCCCAAGGCAGAAGAAACGAAATGTCGAGCTGAATGAAGTTGAATGGAGTGAGCAAGAAGCGACCCAGTCTTAACTTAATATACGAGTATACTGTGCTGTAGACTGAGTATACAGTACAGTTGATGCGCTTCAAGGATGACCTCATTATTGTTCGAGAAAGTTGAGTCGTCAGTCACACGTAAGCAATATTTTGTCGGGCTTGGAGCTCGGTTGGACGCTGGCTGGACACTGGACAGTCGTGTGTAAGACTTAGTACTACTAGTATTGTACTATCTCAACTGTGTAGCTTGTCGGCCTTGGAGCTCGGTTGGACGCTGGCTGGACACTGGACTGTCGTGTGTAATACTTCGTAGTGTTCTACCATCTCAACTGTGTAGTTTGTCGGGCTTGGAGCTCGGTTGGACGCTGGCTGGACACTGGACAGACGTGTGTAAGACTTAGTACTATCTCAACTGCGTATACGAAATTCTCAACTGTGTAGTTTGTCGGGCTTGGAGCTCGGTTGGACGCTGGCTGGACACTGGACAGTCGTGTGTAAGACTTAGTACTATTGTACTATCTCAACTGCGTATACGAAATTCTCAACTGTGTAGTTTGTCGGCCTTGGAGCTCGGTTGGACGCTGGCTGGACACTGGACAGACGTGTGTAAGACTTAGTACTATTGTACTATCTCAACTGCGTATACGAAATTCTCAACTGTGTAGTTTGTCGGCCTTGGAGCTCGGTTGGACGCTGGCTGGACACTGGACAGTCGTGTGTAAGACTTAGTACTATTGTACTATCTCAACTGCGTATACGAAATTCTCAACTGTGTAGTTTGTCGGCCTTGGAGCTCGGTTGGACGCTGGCTGGACACTGGACAGTCGTGTGTAAGACTTAGTACTATTGTAGTATCTCAACTGCGTATACGAAATTCTCAACTGTGTAGTTTGTCGGCCTTGGAGCTCGGTTGGACGCTGGCTGGACACTGGACAGTCCGGTGTCAGACTTAGTAGGGTTCTACTATCTCTACTGGGTACAGTACTGTAGTGTCACACTAGTTGCGTATGTGTTGCGGCCAATGTGTTCAATGAACTTCAATCGCACCATGTACCGTGTACGCATGACAAATACATACTGGATTATGACCGGATATCATCGATTGTGTCCGTTGACGTTGTGGACAATACTAATCGATACTGTGTCTGTTGTCAGAGTGTACTACAGTATGAAGTTAGTTTGTGCTCGAATGCTGATGATACCTTGGCACATTGGTGACGTTGTAGTAAGTAGAATATTGCAATGGATCTTCTATGCATTCTACACTACTCCATGGACTACTTGACTGATTGCAGAATTGATTCTGTCTGTCCACTAAAATTGAGAAGGTTCTAGTCTTTCATGATGAATTACTGTACCTCTCTTGTTAGGAACTTTTTCCTTCTCTTGACAGTAAAAATAATGGAGCAATCTCTCATGTCCTGTAGTGAGCTGTTGTAGTAGAGGTAAAAGAAAGAAAGAAAACTTACTCCAGTTACACCTGATTACAATTGAGTCATAAACTACTAGAAATGACTACACTACTACATCGTCATTTCTAGTAGTTGATGGCTTAGTTTACGTTGGAGATCTTTTACAATTTCAAATTTCAATACCGAAAGCAAGGCAAAGCAGAAAATGTTTTTTTCCTTCAAATTGATGCAATGTGGTGGAATGCAATATGCTAACTGCACCAGCTACAGATTGTACAGACAGCTGGACACATCAACCGTACGGGAGGACGTTGGAAATAAGCAGACAGCTCGTGTACTGTATATATACTGTACAGTACAGTACACTACATACAGTACAGTATGGGCGGTAGGATAGCGAATTGTACACTATACACCAGTGCTCAAGCGTCTCCGATCCATATGAGAAAATCGTGACCAAGTGAAACCACCACCACTCAGACAGGCAGACTGCTCAGCACGACGACAGGAGAGGCATAACGAGGCTTCCATTGCTGCAACGCATTCAATCATTTCCTAGTGGTCAATGAAGTTTATCGACGGTAATCAGACAAGCAAGAAAGAGGGAGTTTATTATCCTCTTTCTAAACAACCAGGGTTGTCCACTTCCTTGCTTTATAATGGCAGTAAATTTATTGGAAGTCAAAAAAGCAAAGGCAATAGCTACGATGTGGAGATTATTCTGCAAGTACGTGATTACAGCCAATTGCAATAACAGTCATCAATATTTCCATGATACTACCATCATGAAGTTGTTCCTTAGCAAACGATGATCCAAAATTCTACAGTAGTATTCATTTTTGAAATCGTATTCAAGTATACTTACAATTTTACTCTTGATGGCAGTTTATGTTGAAGTCAAAAAAGACTTGTTTATCTTGTTATGGTAGCGTAGTGGAAAATCGTATCGCTCTTATGTCGATAATCATAACCATGTAATGTGACACAAATTCGGTCATGAATACAGTAGACGAGTGTTGTAGATAGATCACTCTTCTAACCTGTGTACGATGCCTAGTTTCTAAACTACCTTTGCATTCCAACTTGCCTCTTTTAGAACGTAGATATGGAGAATTCTTTCATATGTGGCTACTTGACGATTAAGAACTTAACTGATGTAAGTGATACGACAAAATTACCTTGACGTCCTCCAATATTGATTGCTATATTAATGACTACCCATAATAAATTCAACAATTAAAATACGTATAATCATAATACTCTTCAGTACTGTAGTACAAGTTTAGGTAAATGTAATCATGCGTTAAATGGATCTGCATACCTTGCAGATTAGATAAAACTGCTGTGTTACTGTATTGTATAGTAGTAATTACATCAGAAGATAAACTGTGTTAAGATTACCAAAAGAGGGTTAGGAGATAAGACAAGGCAATTTTTACGCAGTACAGAGTCCAGTATGCGCCAACTACAGAACTAAGTATCAATCATAACAAGATAGGTTTTACTCTACAGACTACAGTACATGTACAATATTTCTTTAGCTAGTCTAGAATATTGGTTCAGAAAGTGCAGGCAAACAACATTATACTTGTGTAAACTGTTCAGCACCACTAAACCATCTAATTATCGAGTCCTTTATCGGTACATCTTCTAACGATGATGCTGAAACGATGCATAAAAGAGATATGTGTATCCTACCAAGCCAGTATTTACCTTATTGTCACTTACGTATGCTTGCTAGGAATACCCTTATCTGACAACTTTTTTTGATGGAGAAATAATCGGCAAAAAGTATCCTTTTCATACTCGAAAATGGGTAAGATATAAATACTACATTACATATTTATAGTGTAGTTGATTCGTAAATACAAGCATTCCTTAGCTGATTGTAGCGTTATACTACCGTATTGGTTAATCTTAATCCTAAATATGGATTTTGTTGCTATCACATCATCGACGTATTGCGAAATTTGTTGATCAATCATTATTGTTGTTCCTATGCAATCTATGTTATTACAAAATTCGCATTTGGACTCTATCGAGTACTTAATGCTATGGTTAACTAGTATATCAGTTTTCTATGCGATATGCAAACATTAGCATCACCGATTACTACAACATGTCACTTTAACCACCTTAAAGTATAGTTCCTAACACGTAGATAAAAGCAAGTGCTTGAGAACGACTTTGTTCATTCACCTATTTTAATTGGATTATTCATAGGATGCTGATGAAGATGTCGATCGGAAACACTGGGTAAAAGATTTTGCATTCTTTTCTGCAGTAATGATGTAGAAAAAGTGTTTACACTGATACCCAAGTCGTTGACTTTAGAATGTGTCTTATGTTTTTCGATCTAGGACAAATTTTCTCCCTTTCTTCAGTTTTCTAAAAATTTTAACTCTGATGATTTTAATTACGACGAATTAGCTAACTTGGGCTGTGTATTTATGCGTTGGAAGGTTAGCATGAGCAGGCTTGTGATGCAATAGCCAAATATTCTTCTAAAATGCCAAAATATCAACAGTTGTCATTGCTGTTACACTGCAGTATATGACGCAGATAGAAACATGTTTAATATCGATAGAATAATAGTCCGTTTGGATAACTTCCATATAGATCCACAACTTGACTAGTGGATAAAATTCTTGAAAACTAATTGGTACCAATTTATGCTATATTGCTAGGAACATTTCTTGGTACCAGATCACACAGTCAGAGATATTAACGGAGCCTCATTTGCCGGATTTTATTATATTTGCTTCGAGAAGTCAAAAGCAAAGATTGAAGGATACTACTACCATCGAAATTCGGAACGGTAAAAATATACAAATGATATTGTTCGTTCTTCCCTTATGTCATTATGATAATTTCTCTACTTTTTAAATCAATAGGTTTCAATCTCTCAGTTTGACACACGTGGCTGCAGATAATACTACAGTATATCAGTTCCGATAAAAAATTATATGTATATAATTTAAAATTGTACACTTATTGTATACCTTACCTAATTCTATTACTGTATTCTTTGTTAATAAACGGTTTGTATAGCAGAAAGCTTTTTCATAAAGTACATGTTCGCAGTTGAACTGTGATATCTAAATATTTTACTTTGAATCTTTACGATCATACTGCGTGTCAACTGCTACATCTTGACGATTTTTTTTGGAGCAATACATCAATAGCTGTAATTTCTTTTCATTATCTTAACGTAATCAGATACCACTTTACTAGCATGTTTTATCGGTAACAGTAATGGCCATTACTAGCTTTGTGAACAAATATGCATTTATAGCTTCTAGTTAACTAGTTTTTTCTAAAAATTATTCAATGCAACAGTTGCATGCTTTATTGCATAACATCGTACAGTAGTATTTTGTGCATTCAACTTCTAAAATCTTTATTGAAAGTGATATCAAACATGGGCACAATATTTGTAATAAACATTAGAATAAATGCAGTGCTAATATTTGCAAATAAAATGATGTGATATTTCTTTATAATATGTTAAGAACTTATGTTCCATTTTATTATACAGGAAGTCTATAATTGTGGTTAATAGTCATACAGTATAACAGTTATATACGTGCAGAAAGTAGAATATAGTGTAAACCTTAGATAAGGCTGATGTTTTAATAATTCTAATAGTTATATAAGATTGATGTTGCAAATCGATGAAATCAGCATGCGATCCAATCCATTCAATTTACCATCCATTTTCATACTAAATCTTTAGTTTTTACTGCTTTTCAAATTGCAATATTTCATATGAAATAGTCTGCTGAAAAGATAGTCTTATACGCTTAATTTTGAAAAAATTTAGTAAATCTAACTACTACTGCTACTAGACTTAGCCCTACGACAGAATACTCGACTTAAACCGGGAAAGATTTCTCCCTGAATCGTACCATAATCCACGCATTCACCATCTACAGTAATAATTCCAGGGCTAGTTATCGGTTCTAAACGAAAGGCTTTGCAAGGAAATACCTCCACGCAGCTCATGCCTAGATGGCCTGCTTCTTTCTGTTTAGATAATATCTTTAGCATGGTTTTTCTGTTGCAAGTTGAATCGATAGTTTGTAAGTGTATAATGCCATCGTTTAGCCGAGATGTGGGAGCAACAAAGTTGTCTGTTGATAAATATGGCAAGTAGATTGCACCAAACAGAACCATATCATCTTCGACTGTTTCCCAAGTAGAAGGCAAAGATTCATTTATTGGTGGCAATATCGATTTCGGGCCTGCCTTAGACTCAGTATTATTGGTTGCTCCCGCGGTAGCTGTATCATTTGTCTGAGAATATAGTAAATGATGAAATCATGTTAATTACATAGATGGCGATCTCTGATTGTTTATTAGATTTTTAAGGATGAAAGAAATTCGACATTACACCTTAAATTACCTGGTTAGCGTTATTAGATGATGTATTACCAGTATCTTCTAAGTAATGTAATAAAAGTAAAAAAGTATATCCATAGGAGTAAGTAACACTAATCACATAATACGCTAGTAATGGCCTATAATATTCATCGTAGTAAAAATGTATTTAAGGATAAAAATTAGAGTGAACATTGAGTAATTTTTTGATTACCTTTCATTGGATTAGGTAGATATTGAAATTTACCATGATAATATTTTAATTTCGTTAAATGCTTTACTGTGCCTAAAACGAATCTTGCCGTGCCCAATTTTCTAAATTTTTCAGTACCTATGTCAACATCGGAAAGTAAACCCCATCCAACTGATAGAAAAGAGTATCGTTGATCTTTGAGTGTTGTAATGGAGACTAAATCCAATTTAGTAGTATATCTCTTGATTATCATAAACATGGCGCTTGTTATACTGGTAGGTTCTCTAGTAAACATGATTTCATTGATACAGAAAACAATAAATGCTCAATTAGGGTAAAGGATATTAATGCATACCAAGTAGCAGGCAGAAGCTTAAATTGTACAGTTTAAATGAGTTGTTACAAATATGAGAAAGGTAATTACAATGTTATACACTCTTATACGAATAAATAACATTTACAGTGCATGTACTGTATGCACTTAAAGAGCTGCAATTTAGAATGGCTTTATGACAATACAACTCGATATGTCAATAATCTACGAGTATGTGGAGTTACTTAAAAAGAATTATGAATTACTATACTTACTTGGATTCATATAAAATCGATTGGTATAAGGCATTTCCTGATCCACCAGGTAATGCACCGATCGGTAGCTTAATTGCATGCTCCCAGTCTTCCCTGCTCATTAATCCATTAATAACCTTGATTGTAATCAGATCGATTTAAATCAACAATTTTAGATCAAGTTATGGCATAAATATTGCTAGACTAGCAGCTATCATATTGTAATATAATAATATGCGTATTTAAGCAGATTATGAGTGATTACTTCATGGATTAACCCATCACCAGAGACAATAATGATCCCATCGACTTGATTTAATTTCATTTCCTTTACATAATCATAAGCATGACCTTGCCTTTCTGAAATATCACGGTGGGACCACATTATTATTTTATTCATCAATATCGTCATTAGTCTACAAACACTATGTATTGGATACTATGCATCATATCTAAGTTATATCGTAAATTAACAACGCTATTACTGATATTACTTTATCTATCAACAGTGGTCATTGTGCTGCTGCATCCATAGTGCTTGTATTGTGCAAGATTGATCATTGATTTGTAGTGCAGTACATTGTAGCGGTATTATCATTATTCTAAATATGATATACCTGTTGTGATTAAAGTGTATTCGGCTTCAGCTTCTCTTAACATCCTCTTAGGGGCATTTTTAAAGATCTTACGTGACTTTCCTGTACCACTTTTAGGATTCACGAAAATAACGTAACGGTACTCTGGTGGATATTGATTTGTTCCCAGTTCTAAATTTTAAGATTTTAGACAAATTCGAGGTTATGATATCATTTACAATGTGTTTGGTGATTAGTCAGTGTACAATGGATTAGCCATGAACAGAGATTTTTTCAAAGGATAGTAAGCTAATAGAAGGTAGCTTCACGAAACTACAGTTAAGTTCTATTATCAATACTGCGCTGCATACTCGTACAGACTAATCAAAACGATAAAAAAGATTGTTTGCTGGTTGAAATGTATCAGTGATCCAGTCACGCATAGCAATGCAAAAAAGTCTTCTAGTATCAGTATAGTAGTATCATCGATTGTAATTTGGGATGAAGTTTGCATTCGTTATATCATATCCATCTCTCTTGATGTAAACTTTATTGGTAGTCGTACTATATTACTCAATACGGTGATAGCGATTGTAGCCTAGCCTGAACAAGTCTGCATTGCAGCAGATCAACTTTATAACGATCGTAGTCGTACTATATGACTCAAGATGACGACGGCGATGGTAGACTAGTATTAACAAGTCTGCATTGTAACAGCTTCAATGTGATCAAGTTCATTACTTTGGTCAAAGCAAGCTTTCATCGCTACATGGAACAAATGACATCAGTTTACATGAAGGAATTGTAGACTACTATTAACAAGTCTGCATGTGTAACAGCTTCAATGTGATCAAGTTCATTACTTTGGTCAAAGCAAGCTTTCATGTCTACATGGAACAAATGATTTCAGTCTACATGAAGGAATTGTACAAACCGTGGCTAAAATCGATACCATGTAGCCGGCATAAAATAGCAACACGCCATAAGTTAGCAGTATCTTGATTGTGGCGGACATTATCATTTTTATTGATTCTAAAACATGTTGAAGTGCGACGGCGTTTTTTACCGCTGTCTTTCAGAGGATAGGAATAAATGGTCAAGTATGCAAAGACGTCATCTTTACTGCTCTTTTTTTTCCTTCTACCAGTATGACAACCAATCGCGTCTGTAAACTGGACAGATCCTTCCATGAGGACAGATTGATCATCAGGTGTATCGACTTGACGATATTCAATGTGGGAAGGATATAAATCAACAACACAATCAATGGTTTTCTTGCTAATTTTCAGCTTGAAAACATCATGAAGTATAGGGACATCAACGCTATGCACATGATCCTCCATGACGATCTCATCCAATAGGTAGCAGGTAGTTGGCAGTATACTATCAACAAGCAGGGATGGACGATTAAATTGCAAAATGTTCAAGCGATCAACACACTCAGCAGTGATTTCCTGCGATAATCATCAATGACTGTACAGTAGACAACAGCGGAATAATCCCTTCCGATCGTTGCTAGCTGAATAAACTTTGGAGATCCACTCTACTTAGCTGCAGTAATCTAATGCAGTTTCTCAATCTTTTCCGTTCGTTGGGTTAACTCATGCCTCAGGATTCACTTTCAATCTTGCAAGGGTTAGTTGAGTTGCAATTGCAGGTGAGACGCGTTTGATTGAGCGTGAGGTCAAGCGAACAATGGGTAGCTTCATATCAACATATTGTGCGTGGTGCAATGGCGAGTGACTCACTGCTACGGTACAGCATTACAGTACTTACAGTACAGTACAGTACAGTATGTGGTGCCTTGACGGTTGACACGACATTCGTAAGAGATGACTTTGGTTGACAGTATAGTACAAGTGACTCACTGCTACGGTGCTGAATTACAGTACAGTATGTGGTGCCTTGACGGTTGACACGACATTCGTAAGAGATGACTTTGGTTGACAGTATAGTACAAGTGACTCACTGCTACGGTACTGAATTACAGTACAGTATGTGGTGCCTTGACGGTTGACACGACATTCGTAAGAGATGACTTTGGTTGACAGTATAGTACTGTACAAGTGACTCACTGCTACGGTACTGAATTACAGTACAGTACGTGGTGACTTGACGGTTGACACGACATTTGTAAGAGATGACTTTGGTTGACAGTATTGTACAATGTACAGTGTACATTGTACAGTACTGTCAACCAAAGTCATTTCTATGTGTACTGTACAGTGTACACTGTACAAGTGACTCACTGCTACGGTACTGAATTACAGTGCAGTATGTGGTGACTTGGTAGTTGACACGACATTCATTAAGAAATGACATTGGTCGATACCTTCAGTACAGTACAAGTGACTCACTGCTACGGTACTGAATTACAGTATGTGGTGACTTGACAGTTGACACGACATTCATAAGGAATGACTTTGGTCGACAGTACAGTACAAGTGACTCACTGCTACGGTACTGAATTACAGTATGTGGTGACTTGACAGTTGACACGACATTCATTAAGAAATGACTTTGGTCGATACCTTCAGTACAGTATCTGTCTCCAAAGCTACAGTGTACTGTACAGTACAACACTGTACTGTACAATATCCACTGCTTTGGGCTGTACTGTACTGTACAGTACGTACTGTACCGGGTCACAGTGGTAAGTACTGTGTTCTACAGTACTTCACCAGCGGACTGCATTGTACAGCGCATACTGCTGTTCGTGATAATAGACAACAACAGGCTACTGTATGTGGCTGAAGTGGTGAACGGAACGCAAAATGGAACACTGCTAGCAGCACCAAGCGCAAGGCACCAATCACCGACAACGAGAAAGAAAAGCGAGAACGACACATCAGAGTGCTGTACTGAGTGTACTGGACCGTACTGACTGGACTGCCAAGCTGCTATACTGTACTGTACTTGTATTCTGTATAGTATAAAAGCAACAGCCGATAGCAAACGCCTTAACCAATCGACGACACATGGCTGCTCGATTTATTCCACCAGAAATTCCTGACAACCCCAATGGCTGGGGGCCTTACAGTGTTCCAAATGAGTTCCAAGAAATTCCTTACCAGCCTTTTGCTAAGAGCGATCGACTTGGAAAGGTAAGTGAACAAATAAGAATAGTTTACGCTACCGCTTTACAATGTCAATGGTAGTACGCTTTCGATACTTGAGTAGCGTAGATCTTAGCAGACTGGCGCGACATGAATATCAATGTCCTATGCGTGCCTGGCGTGCTATAAATCACGATATACTAGGAGAGTACTGTGGAGAGTGTCCATGGATATCAACAGTCAAGAAAAAATGAAACTATTTCTATTCTACAACATGTAAAGTAATCGATATCCAAAGAGACAATCCAATAGATTGGACTACAGGCACACTTTAAAAACTATTTTACTCTATTACTCAACTTGAAAGTCGCGGTCGAGGGCTAATAACAATGTCCTCGATATCATGACATACCTCACTGCAAGGTAGCGATTAATCTAGTGCAGTAGAATACTCATGTATCGATGGGACTCTTGCTTATATATTACTGCTTTGAAGATTGGAATTGTACTTGTTGATATTCACAAATACATCGATGTAGATAGAAGACGTAGTGACAATTCCCTGGATTAATGAATTATAATACATAGAAAGGAAAGTGATTGGATTGCTTCGACAAAATGTATTAGTAGTGTTGTAATCGTTTCACCCCGTAGCCAGTCGAATTTCCAACTCGGTTTTGCCACGACACCTTTTACGAACTTGGTGTAAATAATCATACGAGAAAATAGCAAACCATGTGCATGACATTTCATTCACTTGTCACGAGATGAACTAACTGATCCTCACTCAACCTTGTAATACCCGTACAGTGGTACAGTAGTTCATAAAATCTTATGATATTGGACCGTAAATGATAAAAATATCAAAGTGTTAAAGATAGAATGAATAGCATCTTGATGAAGGCAGTAATGTAATTATACATTTTCACAAATAGATAGCAGATTGGAATGCTGTAGGTACCTCTCAAGATAAGAAAACGAAAGGTAAAAAAAAGAAATATAAACTTATATAGTATCAGTGCCTCATCTTCACGTCAGGCAATATATTCCATTGATTTGATACTGCAGAAAATAGATAAAATTGAAGGCATTACAATACATATAGGCGTATTGATGAGAAATCGATCCAATTTATCTTCACCTGCTTTTAAAATTTAGATAAATATGCGGCACACTTTGGAGCTGGAGGCTCTGCGTATAGCTACTACCATGATCAAGATGATACCTTCAAATTAGTTGATACAAATACTAGGAAGGACAAGCATGGACATCGCCGGTATATGTACAATAGACAGGTATAATAATCGATTGACTTGCAATGAAAATCAAATTTCTATTTATCTACCAATTTATAGTACTGTATTTTATTGCATCCGTACACGTCCGTCAATATTTGTATAGAATGATAGACACACAGTAAAATGACTTAAAAATCTTTTTATATTAATAACTATCAAACTCTTTGCACTTTTATTACTCACGTCAATTAGCGATACAATCGTCGGCAGGTCTACAACACTCATGGCAATCGTGACAGGTAATGAATACTGTAATTTCGTTAAATACAGTTTCCTTTTCAAAACATCAGCTCACTTAGTACGTTTACATCCTACACTTGTGAGACCATTTTCCAATAAAATTGCATGCATAAAGAAACGATTAATTTGTAGAGTTGTCACGTACCAATTTCCATGTGAAGGCCCCTAACGATTATTAATCTTCAATTTTCTTTGCTTAGGGACAATCGTCAACGCAAGAAACAAAAACACTATTATTCATACGGCCGCGGCCACCACCAAGTTAGTGGACTATTTGTGAATTTAGCACTAGGAAATTGTTAACAGTACTACGTTATTAAGTTATCTACTCAAAATCCAACAGCAACCGCAAGCTAAACATCGCACAGCTTCCGTAGAAGTACTTTATAACTGGAAAGAATTTGACGAAATATCATTCGCTCAGTTGAGTAAGCTCAATTTACCCGACGTTGGCCAACCGGAAGACCTGTAAGGATAGTGTGTTTACACGACAGCAGACCGTTATGAGCTGATACTAATTTTAACATAATAATATTGTATAGGTAATTAATATTCCTATTCTAAACTAATCCAATTGTTGGTGCTATTCTTCTATTTAAGTTACTGTTGCGGTTCTATGGAATACTATGACAAGTCTTACGATCGAGTAAATGTAAGAAACGAAAAGCCCTTGTTACCAGTCAATCGAACTTTTCATAAAGTAACTACAACGGATGATCCAATTATTCGCAAGGTTAGTCGTAGATACGAATTAACCGCTATACGTTTATCGTAAATTATCAATTCCGTCGCTGTGGCTACGGGAGATATCTGAGTACAAAGCCAAATGGATACAATCTCTTATGCACCTTCTTGATTCTCATAAATTTTATAATTTTGTCCTATATTCACGTTTAGCTAACTTCGAAAGGGAATGTTTTTGCTACGGATGCTATAATTGCGACCTTGATGACTTGCTCGAGATCCGTCTACCCCTGGGATATCGTTGCTCATGTATGAAAACTTGTAACACTAATATTTAGTAGCAGTGATATCTGGTTTTTATTGTGAGACATTTTTACTTTTATTACTTAGCGCGTACGTGATAAACTTTTCCTTGACAAGCGCGATGATTCGGGGTTTGGTTAGTAATTGTTCTTAGCATTTTTCTTAGGCTAACAATTATTATATTACAAGGATTACAATTGACGCCGACCCCATTTAAAATAGACACTATTATTCTGATTTTATTATCTTAAAATAGACTTGTTAACTGTTAATGAAACCTCGTACGATCCGCCTCCAGATGATGAAGACGGAATAAACTCTGCACAAAGTCTAGCACTTGAGGCAACAATAATTAATCAACATTTCTCACAACAAGTTCTTAAGAAGGTGCGTAAAATTTCTGATTTAATGGAAAGTAGTAGCTGCCGGCGTTAAATTGGAGCTAATTTCATTTAGGGGGAGCGATTTGAATTTGATAAGCCTAACCCATTTGTGCAAGAGGAAGAGGACAGCGATGTTGCTTCCGTTGGCTATAGGTACTTTCTTTCGTTGTAATGAGGTCTTCCTTGTGCATTTAAAAATAATTCTTCCTGTAAATATGATAGGTATCGTAAATGGGTATTAAAGAAAGATGATGCAGCTGCTATCGAATTGATAGTCAGATGCGAGCATGACGCTGTATGGGTTACTGCTAGCAGCGAGCCAACATTTATGAATATTAAAGCTTTAAATGAATACGATCCACAAGTAATAAAAGCAGAATGTTTTCATATCCATTGCCGGATTATGTCTAAACGAAGATAATTCTATTTTTACAGTTCAGTAAGATAGATTGGCGTAAAAAGTTAGATACTCAACGAGGTGCAGTTCTTGCGGCAGAACTTAAGAATAATAGCTATAAGCTAACCAAATGGACTGCTAGCGCAATACTAGCTGGATCACAAATTCTTAAATTTGGGTATGTTATGCACAAGGGAATTGATCCTGATTGAGTAGGTAGTGACTGAGAGTTCAGTGCGATTAAAAGATTATCCTATTTCTTTTCCTAGTTACGTTTCTCGTGTCAATCCAGCCAGTACCTCAAAACATGTAGTTCTTGGAACACAACAATATTCATCTGTAGAATTTGCGTCGCAAATAAATTTACAAATGGACAATGCTTGGGGTATCCTTCGAGTAATTATTGATACTTTGATGTCATACAGTGAAGGCAAATATGTTATTTTGAAAGATCCGAATAAGGTAACGAGTCATTTAATGTTATGATTGTATCGAAATTCCTATTTGAGGTCTATGCTACGATTAACTTATTGTAACATCAATTTGGTTAGCCTATGATTCGTTTATATTCTGTGCCTGAAAACACCTTCGAAGATGAAGATGGTGATGATTATTCCGAAAATGAAGGTAAGTTTTTAGGGTATAACTAAATTTCTAATTGTTACTCTCGGTTTACGGTTTCATTATTTTATTGGACAAAGATGACGATGACGAAGAGGACGATGATGATGATGATGGTGAAAAGAAATAAAATTTGCTTCTAGCTGTTCTTCTTGAAGCTATTTCTTGCAATTGTTTTTTATGGGTGTGAATATTCATGGGAAATTGGAAATGCTGCAATTTTTTTCACTATATGTGTTAATTACTGTAACAGATTATGTTCTGCGGGTGGACTTATAGCCCATAATTGTTGTAATAGAAATTATAATTGACTAATAAATCGGAATATCAGCGTTCGGGAAAGAGTAATTTCCGATATTAATAATTGCATTTTACTGCATAAACTACAGTTATATGAGTCTAGTACTTGCGTCCTACCTAACGATTTATTGCTGTACTGTATCTGTTACCTATGGTAAAGAGCAAGCTAAGGTAAAGTTTGCTTAAATTTTAGCAGTATTTCAAGTTATGCCTATTAGTCATGGACATGTTTAATACTGTACTTTGGGCAGTACTACCTAACGATTTATTACTGTACTGTATCTGTTACCTATGGTAAAGAGCAAGCTAAGGTAAAAAGTTTGCTTAATTTTAGCAGTATTTCAAGTTATGCCTATTAGCCAAGGACATTTTTAATACTGTACTTTGGGCAGTATTTCAGTAGCCCCTATCCATTACTCTTGATGTATTTGAGCCAGTTTTATGCAGTACTGCTGTACTTCAGGCAGCCTTGATTCAGTCTATTTCATAATTTGGAAATTTTTGCAAATGACTAGATCCTAGCTGACAACTCTACCGTATACCGCCGCACTTAGCATAGTAGAATTTTAGTAATTTTTCATGACAATCTGGAAGTTGTCCTACTATAGCAGGGATTACTCGCTCTCTCACTAGCCCCTGAATGTAGCCTACTGTCCCGTCCAGCTACAGTACCCCGACTGCCTTAGTACAGTGTTTGTACTGTACGTAGCACATTGGGTACAGTACTGTATGATGTTCCGTTGGTACCGTACTGAAGCCAATCATAAAATACAGCAAACCCTCTTCGACCATCTCAACTACGAGTGATTGATTCTGCAAGATACTTCTTGATTCCTTGAAGGGTAGATATTGGCCGATAAAGTTTGCTATTTTCCACAAAACTATACCGAGTGATTGATTCTGCAAGATACCGAGTGCTTCCTTGAAGGGCAGATATTGGCCGATAAAAGAAATTTTGCTATTTTCCACTCAATTATACCGAGTGATTGATTCTGCAAGATACCAAGTGATTCCTTGAAGGGCAAATATTTGGCCGATAAAAGTTTGCTATTTTTTACAAGACAGAATTTAAAAATTAGGTAATTGTGATGCATCATTTGGATTGATTACGGAACAGATTAATGCCGTACATGATATATGTGTAGGAAAGTCATTACTGCCAATCTCCGTAGTAGAAGTATTATGATTACTTTAACGGTATCAGAGAACGTTATAGTATAACTTAGCAAGACACAAGAATTAGTCAGCTACCGAGCTACGTCTACAGTACACTAAGATGGTCGAGTTGAAATGAAGTGTAAATTAGTCATGAAATGACTCTATGTACGCGTATGGTAGTCTAGTTCAACAGTGAAAAAGCAAAATGTGTATACTTGAAGAAGCATCAATTCATTGCTAATATGTCCTTTCTTTTTGATGTCGTAAAATGATCAATTAAAGTAGAACAAGGAAGTTATTGATAAGCATGTCTGCAAATGATCCGATTGATATGTCCCTTGATGATTATATTGCTCAAAAGAAAGTGAAATCATCGAAAAATGGCAAAAAGAAAGGAAATCAAGTCAAAAGTACTGGCAAGCAATCTCGTGCAAAAGGAGGGAAAAATAATCAAGTGATCGTCGATGCAAGACAGAAACTGTCGAGACCGAACGAAAGAAGTACTAATAATCAAAATTCAAGGAACAAGTTTCAACGCTCGGCTCCCTTCGATGCCAGGCAAATGATTCAAGACAACCGTGGTGGAATGAAACAGAAGGCACCTCGAAGGCAGGATTACGATGCTAGTAATAATTTACGCCGAGCTAGGAGACAAGTATGAAATTTATTTTCTTATCATTTTTTCCCTTCCATGTGCTTCAAAAGTTTTACTGACTTAATTTAGTAATATGGTAAACACTGCACTCTCCATTACTTAATATGTCTATAAAAAGTGGTAGCTCTTCCAGCTAAACCAGTATCTACAGTACGGTCTAAGCAAGTACGAAGTACTGTATAAGTAAATTAAATAACTAAATATGGGATAATAGCATGTACTTCAATAGACAACCACTGTGATCAACCGGTTTGGTACAAGATTACAGTTAGTTTAACAGGCTAGACTTAGCACACTAGTGAAAGCTATACCAATCGTCAGTTAAGTTAACATTAGTTTATCTTTAATCTATATGCTTAATATGATTTCTTATAAGCATTGCTATCCACTCAGTCGAAATGTACGCATGTTATAGGAATAATGAATTCGCCACTCGTTTAGTTTACAATCAGATAGAATATACTATACAATACTTTAGTTGTCAGTCTAGACTTTATACGTACGAGTATATCTTAAGATAGTCTTTCCCGCATACGACTCTGAAATTGGATGATATATCTCCAGCATTTCTAAAACTAAATATGCATTATATTATGAAAATGACGTCAATGAAATCTTCACGTATGAGAATCTAAGGAAGATGACTGCAAACGTTGATTTAATTTTCTCCATCTGAATGAATTGCTCGTTAAGATATAAAGTTATTATTTCCCCGATACTACTGTAATGATGCATACGAATAGCAAAAGTAACTGCAATGAATATTATTGTTGTTAACCATGCAGCATTAGCCATCTTCAAGCTGATATTGTGCAGTTCATTATCAAAAAATTAATCATCTATCTCTACCTTTTATGACAATAGACAGTGCAGTACATTCCGTAAATATCTTATTGTATCTATAATCCAATACATAGTTGATGTTAAAATGAAGTACTACCAATTTTTTAGTCTATAGACAATGATCGAAAGCGTCAAAGATCTTCTCTTATAGAGGAAAAACGTAAGAAGGCTTCTGAACGTAATCGGAAAGAAGGATCTCTATTCATCACGTTGCGCAATGAAAGAACAAGTAATCCTGCTGCAAAGAATCCAATTAAAGTAATTAAAAATTATTTCTTGTTTTTGTGAATACTTAATGATATATTATTAATGAAAATTGATGTCAGCTAATATCTGAATTTTACTTGCACTAGTTTAATTCCTCTACCACAAGCGCTAGTACTAAGAATATTATAAAAGATAGAGTACCTAACAAGACAATCTTTGGTAGTAGTGGTACCATAAATAGTAGCAAAGCTATTACTTCAAAGAGTGCTAAGGTTGACAAAAGTAGCTTGATATCGCCGGCATCGCTTAAAGTTACAATATTTAACGATTTACCGGAGGTACGATCTACTTGTTATATTATTTCGTTAGCGTCTCATGTAAATGTAGTTTTTATGATGGGATTAACAATAGCTTCAACATTTGCGCATAATTTATAGCAAACGCCGAAAAAACCCGTAGAACATGTGGTGGTTGTTAGCAATCTATATTATACCGTCACCGAAGATGATATTAAGGTATGTTGTTAATTTGCGTTACCTGCAGTATTAGTAAGCACATTATGATAATGCTCGATCATACTATGAATAGTATGATTATTCAGCAGACTACATCATGCGCTAGCTTGATTGAAAGCATGGAATGTTGTTCGTTAGCACATAAACTACTTGCTATTCACACTGTCTGATTAATTATATGCAAACTTAGGAATTATTTGGAGCTATTGGTAGATTACGATCTGCTAGACTCAATACTAATGGTATTGCCGAAGTTGTCTATGTCAATGAAAGCGATGCTATTAAGGCTGTTTCCAGTTATCATAACCGGAGCTTAGACGGTATTTAATACGTGTTTAACCCCATGAATTTCTAATTAATGCAAATTAGCGTTTTCTATTATAGAAATATAACAGAAATTAAGATATCTTCTTATCGATACAATACACTCTATAATAAAATGACAATGTAATTTTTTTAATTGCGTAGGATATCCAATGCATTGCAAGCTAGTTACGGACCATGATTACGCACAGCGTGGCAATTAAAACTCTTCAAACGTAGTAAGATCAATCGAGCATTTTTTATGTAATATGTGTCTGTTAAATATGATCACTCACTCTTATTAAAAATTACGCCGTGTACCGATAACAAGCCTTGCTATTGATGTGGATGGACAACTTTCCTTACCTGATTTTAAGTATTCAATCATTCTGAATTATTTGATATTCTCTTTACTGTTACTGGAAAAATTCGAAATGATATAGCCAGTTTGATTGAAACAGTTGCTTTCTAAAATTTTAATAATTTTATGTTTATGTAGTTTTAAAATTGTTTAGTAATTATATTGTTGAATAAAGTTAATGCAGTAGTATAGGCCAGATAGTATACTGGCTGTTTAGATGTAAGTGTATATTATATTAATATATACTATTTAAATGATCTACGCACTGCATTATTTCTAATAGTGATTCTGTCATTAGGTACTTTGCTTAGAATTTATATCTAATATCATTTACGTTAAACTTTCTACGCTTGTATCTAAATATTTCGATAGATGGCGATACCATTATGTAGTAATGCAGTAAAGGATTTTGTTCCTTGTTAATATATGACGGAGTAATAAAGTAAATGCTATTATTGTAGAGTATCATTGTATTTAGTGTAAGGTAGCATAAAGTATTAGATTCTAAATTAGCTATAACATTTACAGTTTAAAAGTTGAAGGGTATGATGGAGACTTGAGATTATTTGTTATTCTCTCGTGAGTCCAGTCGAACATGTGATTTATTTTAGTAGTCAAGTTTAAAAGATACAATTGACTATATAAATGTTGATTTGCATAGTAATTGGTCTTATCTCTAGTAGTCTGTGCTTGACAAAAAAGTATTGAACCGGATAAAACTTTTTTTATTCACTGTCAGTTCATATTATTTAGACTTTTATTACTGTGTTGAAATGGAAAGGGCGGTTTTTGTTATGTTTAGTAATCGTAAGTGCTGCTTTATTAGCAAGATACCGAGAACAGTACCATCTTGTTTTGATTGTTGTGTAGTTTCAAGTATCTCATCTTGATGGTAATAGTTGTCATGTTTTTGATAAATATGCTATATTATTGATTAAAATTGGATAGAAAATTAAGTTAATGATTAAGCATTATTTATCTGTTATTCATCACTGCCTATTCTTATTCTGGCCATGTATTCAAATATTGTAAGCCAGAACTAATTACTAAATAATGATAACATGTTTTGTAATATGTGAGTACTGTATAGTGCAATCTATAATCCGGATTTGTATAAATTGACAATGATAAAAACATGCCTTGGAGAATACTATTAATATATCATTTTTGCTAATTGAAGTAATTTGCGTGACAGCAGGAGACAGTTGAACCGTTGGATGTAAGCCGACAATTGATGTTTCTTAAAGGAAAACTGTTGTAGAGTATTTACTCGTCGCATATATTATCATTTGATAATGCCGCCAGTTTTAGCTATGATACTGTTTTAGAGCTATTAGACAGTAGTGTTCAATAATTGACTTTTCAAAATTGCTTTGTTCATTCGTCGTATCATAAATACTACCTGCAATTTGGCTTTATACTAGTATTTTAGAGCAACTCGGCAGTAATGCTCGAGAATAGGCTTCGTCATGGACTACAATCAGAAAACAGCAAATATTTAATAGTTTAATTGAGAGATGGGGCAAAATGATAAGCATTGAAGTAGTTTTACTTTTAGGATATCCACACCAGACCTCTACAAACGAAGATTGCAGAGTAGTGATACACACATTCGAGTTAAAGCTTGAAATGACAAGCTAACAGCAGTTTTCACTGTTCAGTATCAAACTGTAGTACACCACATTGCATTATCCTGAATCGTTTTGGTAGCTCAGTATGGGATTGATTGCGGATAAGTGATTTCTTTTCGGGAATATTCAGTCCATTGATTGCACCAGTCAGTGAGGCCTTGCACAAACAATATTGTCCGTGCATATTGCAGTTTATGTAATACCATTAAGTTCTACTGTATAGCCATGTAGTTCTACAATGTGTTGCAGTGTACAACAAGATTAACAGTACAGTTACATTAGCTACTGAACAACAGTGACTGAAACCAGTACACTGTTGTTACCGTCCAAGTACGAAATCCAGTCAATTCGCGAAATGCCATGCATCTTGTATTATTAACCGATGCAAATGCTTTAAGGCTAATGTTAAGTGCAATAGTGAATGTCATGATCAGAGAATTGGTAAAAATAAATAATAATTTTTCATAATCAGAACATTATCCATTCAATAATAATAATAATAACTACTTGATTGATAGTTCTAATAGTATCTGTAACTTTGTCAATTACGGAAGTAATTGCAAGTTAAGTATTATTTAGTCTTGACTTGCGATAAGAGAATTTTCTGGTATTACAACACTGAGTAGAGTAGTTTCAACTTCTTGAAGCAGCATGAAGTACAGTATACACTGTTCTCTACTTTACTATATCATGGACATGCAGGCAATTTCTGCAAGCCCATGACATGATGGTCATGGCCTACTGAACTCAGTAGTCCACCAGTAATGAATGGAGTAATCTCGACGTATGATTCAGTCCTTTCATTTGGCATCATGAAACTGCATTGAATCATGGACTTGTAGGACATTTCTACAAGTCTATGGATGTATGGTTTTGGCCAGTGCTAGTTATGTTCTACAGAATTTCAGCAGTTCTACTGAATAATAAATATTGAGTCGTCCATCTTGAGCTCGATGTGCAGGATACTTGTATGAGGTTGTCTACTACTGGCAGCAGCCCAAGGTGGTTTCTCCACTCAGTAGTCCTACTCAATTTACTGGTACAGTACTATACTGTACTGTACTGTATGCGTATGTTTACTGTACAGTACTGTACCACTACTCCATTGGTTTCGGTCAGCCAGCGATCACGAGACTGTTATTGCGCAATAAGCCACTTTCAACACGGTATTGGTGCACAATGTACAGTATGCTGTAGTACTGTAGTCTGGAGTACAATGTACTGTACTCAGAGAGAATCTTGAGTACTGTAGAACAAAGGAACACCTCACCCGCGTGGTCAATGCCAGAGTGAAAAGTGATCGAAACGGACCATGACGTCACCGAAAACGGAACGGACCGGATTGGGATCGGTACGGTCTACTGCCTTTGTCACTAGACCGATTACGTCAGTGACGACGCCTCGTTTACATCACAACCAGGTCAGGTCGAATAATATTACTCCAGGGCTGAGAAAGAAGAAAAGGAAACGACTGCTTGAAATTGCTTCCACTAATATTGAAAATCAATTTGTTGTTATTGCAATCGATCGTGACTTGGAATCATTTTATAGGGCAAAATGGAGATTAAGTTACTCAATGTCATCTTGATGGGATTCGCTTTTATGTTTATTTTCACCGCTTTTCAAACTTGCTCGGAAATTGAGGTAGGTCGAGCGATGATTGTTGCTTTCTTCATCATCTTGTTGACGGTAGATGGATAGTCGTTGTTAACAAAATCAAAGCGTACTATCGGCCTATCTATGGCTCTATTTTCTTCCTCCTATGACTCTTATTGTGCCTCTATTCACTCAATTCAACTATGGACGGTGATAAGGGTGTAGAACTGCATGAGATGATTTTTATCTTAGCGCTAGTCTAGGCTTCTTTTTCAATGAGGTTTGTCATGCCTACTCATGCCTTGTATCCGCAAGATTTTTCATCGTACAACCAAATGCCATTGTCTTCGCCTTTCATCCATGGATTCACTCTTGTAGTTATACAATTTCTATTCCATGATTAACTTATTATCATTTGAAGCATATTCTTCGACGTAGTCTTGCAATATCAATGAAATTTCCATCCTATCACGATCGCTAACTCGAAAGCTTTTACACCAGTCGTAATCCAATTTCCACACTAGGAAGATCGTCTATCACCGTTTCCTTCATCAAAGATAAAGTCCTAGCAATGACATTGTACAGATTGGTACTAGATAATTCGCCTCAATTCACCTTAATACAACTTAGGTTTCAATTTAGTCTTATAATATCGATGATTAATTTCTTTCCCAGGATGATCGAACAATACCACTTCCAATTGCCTTGCCTCAATCAAAGGGTCAATCCCAGACCTAGTAGTGATATGATTTGTTCTAGATGATTGTCAGCTCTACCAAAGGAGTAAATACAACACCTCTTGATCAAGTGATGAGTAATATGGTCACTTTGATGGAGTCTTTTTCAAGAATAGGATCCACTGATCGTTATGATGATAGTAAATGACTTTTACAATAATGAAGAGGCTAAGAATAATCCATCCAAAAGGATACAATGACTTACGTGTTTACCTTACCGTTGTCACTATGAAAATACCAGTTTGCTAATCCGTAAACGCTATATCTGCGGACTAATGGCAGATAAATTGACCAATTTGCCTATTGACCATTTATACTGTAGCATTACTATCTGGTAAAATTAGTTTTCAATGACTTCTTCATACATAAAATGATTCTATACCATGGAGTATTTTTAACTGGCAACAATACAATCCATAATAGTCAGAATCGTGCCCTCAAGAGTAGTACTGTACAGTACTATAGTATACTAATGCATCTATGGTATACATTGCTTAAAATTCCTTCCATGTCCAGCTGTAGTTCAAGTCTTTCAAATGTTGAAAGCAATTGGAACAAATCACATCAGTATAGTATCCATATTCAACTGGACCTGATAAAACTAAATGCTGCTGTTAATTAATTAATACAGCTATCCATCTTGTTTTCGTATCATCAATATTGATCATCAGGGTTGGACTTTATACAACAAGTAGATTAGTTACCTTTGATGGCTAAAAAAATTGTACCTCAGCGGTAAATATCGAATTGATCATCCTACACTAATTGATCGCTAGCCTCATAAGTACACTATCCTTGCCAATTGCAAGTAGGGAGGTATCGATGTAATGACGGATTCTCCACGTAGCTTTATGCACTTGTACACAACTACAATATTGTTGTTATTCTTATCGTGGGTGGTAGAAACTGCTCATGCAGTAAATATTCAATTTACTACACTATTGAAATTGGCGTAATAGCCTAGTCATCTTGGTATTGTTTAACTCGGAAGTGATTCTGTAGCCAGTTGTAAAAAGAGAAGAACAAAGTAGAATTACTTATGATATCCTTACCATGTTGAGATACAGTATACGCTCGTACCATGATTTTGATTTTGTGATTGGAACTTATGCTACAATCCATAAAATGATTCAGTTAAAAGGTTAATCTGAAAAAGAGCTGAAACATACTAACAACATTATTTGCACATGTACATTTTCATCAAGTTAAAAGTTACAAAGCGTACGAACTGTACCTCTAATGTTTCTTCATTCGTTTGTAGCAACGTGTGTTGAAAAGTGCGGAACAAGAGGCGAAAATGCATAATACCACTTTCACAGGTTTGTTATCCATTTATAGAAGGATAGCCTTGAACGAAATTTAGTTCATTTAAATATAAATTACGTACAGGAATTATTCTAATCTGATATTTTTCTTCCTAAACAAACAATTTTCTTGCTATGATTCATTATCAATACTCCTCTCTCGATAGCGAGCGGCTATAATAGGTACGATTAATTTACATTAGCTACATAAACAATGTTGTCATTTATAGTACCAGAATACGAGCACTGTACAGTATACTGTAGTATTAAAATGCCTATAGGTAAGGTAATTAAAATATAATTTAAGAAAAGGGCCAAAAGAATTAATTAGCTAATACAAGTGATTTCCGATTTTAATTTAAATATTGACCGTTTCCATTCTTAATTATTTCATAGCTTGGCTATAATTTATAGTGTTTTTGCTGCTTCAAATTGGCTGGGACCATCAGTAGTTAGTGTTATTGGTCCAAAATATTCCATGTTAGCTGGAGCTATTCCTTACTGGTAGGCAAATGTTAAAAATTGACTGCTATTATACCATTTATACATTGTCCAGATCATCATGTTACGCTTAGCTAATCAGAATATTTGTAACACTAACTAATTCATCTAACATTATAATATTTATGGATATTTCAGCTTATTTATCGCATCATTGATACAACCTTTGGCAGCAACTCTGTACATTGCATCAGCTTTAGTAGGAGTGGGGGCAGGAAGTATGTTGTAGCTTATGAGGTTATTACATCTAATCGACAACTGTTTGATTGATTCGTTCTTAATTTTTGTTAGTTTTATGGACGGCCCAGGGTAACTTTTTAACCATTAATTCTGATCCTGATACGATCGCTCGTAACAGTGGCATATTTTGGGCTTTACTACAATTTAGGTACAAACCTCAATAAATCTTTTATAACACGTTTGCTATGTTTCTATTATAGTATTTTATTTTCTCCATTTTTTGTAACGGATATATTCAAAATTAATATTAAATCCAATTGTTATGTCTTGTAGCTTACTATTTGGTAATTTATACGTTTTTTTGCAATTGGAAGGAGTCAGCATTATATGTGAGTATCGTTATTTGCTGCTAAGCACACGTGTACTCGTACACGTTCATACAGGTCACCTTTTCCTCCAGTTATAATATCCGTTATTATAGAATTTTTAATTCTTGTTTTAACTTTAAATCTTTGATTGTTTTATAGCTGATGAATACAGATATATCATCTATTCAGTTCTTACCGTGGTATGCGTTATCGGAACATTAGGTTTACTAACTTTGCGGAAACCAAAAGTATCGGTAAATAATGCCTGCTACCCTTTACAAACTACCGTTGATCAATGTGATAGTTATTTAAAGGTACATGATAATTTGCATATCATAAAGTAAGATTAATGTTTTATATGGACATAGGAAGAAGAAGAACTACCAATGAATATTGGGTAAAAATTTAAATTAATTTGCTTTAACGCTTAATTACACGGAAATGTATTTTTATAACTGCATCAAAATTAATTGAATATTAAAACTATTTCTTAAAGCTCAAAGAATGCATCAGAAGAAGGACCATGGCAAGCTTTTAGTAAGATCGATAAATTCATGTACAGTGCAATAATATTGATATTGATGAACTGTAATTCCATAATTATGTTTGATTTTAGTGCGATCTATTCACTTGCTTACGACTAAGGAAATGTTACTGCTTAGTGCTGTATTCGCGTATACAGGTAAAGTACCATACAGTCACCCTCTTGAGTCTTTATTTTATCAATTTTAATTAAGTAATCATCCGATTGTGTGATCTTTGTTACCAATAGGATTAGAATTAACGTTCTTCAGCGGAGTATATCCAACTTGCATTGGTAAGTAGGTTCAAAAACTATCCATCAGAAATGTATGAGAAAATATTATTATCCAGTAGCTATCTTGACTGTAGATATTCGTAATAGTTTATTAATAATCTTTTAAAAGCGCTTATTTATGATGCAGTTTTATGATATCCTTAGGTAACGCGCGGCTAATTCACGATCCAGATAGATATATTGGTTTAGCAGGAATATTTTTAGGCATTGGCGAGATCATTGGTTAGTAAATCAAATTTCCTCACTAAAGTTATGCAAAATGTCCCTTAGTTTAGCATCTAATAAAGCTGCTTCGTATTATCAAGGCGGTGCCTTCTTTGGAATATTTGGTAAAAAAATACTTCGACATGGAAGAGATCCCGTCATCCTTGTCGGTTTTATAAGCCATGCTGCAGCCTTTTTCCTAATTTTTATGAACATACCTAGTATAGCACCGATATCTGCTTCTGAAACTCATGGTTACTTAATCGAGCCAAGGTAGTAATCCACACAGTAAATGTATTTTTTGAAGAAAATGATATTTGTTGTACGTTTTCAATGTGCACCGTTAATTTGTGTTAAATTGAGTCAAATTTTGTTTTATAAAACTTTATACTTAGTGCTACCTTGGCTGTAGCTTGCTCCTTCTTACTAGGATTGGGCGATAGTAGTTTTAACACACAGGTAAAAGTGCTTTATCCAATGATAAAGTAGCATTTTTATCGTACTGCATTATTCCACTTGACCCTCCAGAATATCACTTTTTATGAATCAATTTTACATCATTTCCTACGTAGATCTATTCTATCCTTGGATTTATGTACACTGAAGATAGTGCACCAGCTTTTGCATTATTTAAATTTGTGCAGTCATTATTTGCGGCTATTGCGTTCTTTTACAGTGGGCATGTAATGCTGCAATGGCAATTATTGGTCTTGGTAAGTACAAATAACGAATTCTATTATTTTACTGCTATACGTGCTAAAATACTTATGTCGTATTTTGCATTAAACTTTCACTAATCGTGTCATTGGGTGTAAAATATATGTTTACGTAGGTGATCAGTCTTTTCTTTGGAACTTTATGTTTCTTCTTGGTGGAATGGAGCACAAGTAAAATGGCCAGACAGGGTTACATATCTATATAACTAAAATGATCAACCCCTTAGAGATGTTTAAATCGCAATAATCTTTCGAAAAATGAATGGCTACAATAACACAATTATTTCAATTTAATGCAACTCTTTTCATCTTGTCAACGATTATGTCAATTGCATACAGTCATTTTCTTCATCTGTTGATAATCCTATTAACTAAGAAGAATATAACTAAAAATTGTATAATAGTACATCAATAAACTACTCGCGAAATAGTGCATCTAAATAATATCAATTTAGAATATAATAATAAGTTTTACTACTAATAAATGAAAATACCAAATTCATTTGCTTAGAGTTTGCATCGTGATTCAAAATCGAGGTTATTATTGCTGGTGCAGTACTAAGAATGAATATAGTGATATAATGTATCGTTGTATCGTACTTCTATTAAGCAGTAAGTAGCGAATAATCCTCGATCGTGCAAAATACATTATAATACATATTAACAATATAAGTGCATATGTACGGCAAGTATATAAACACATATGTAGATAAAAAAATAGATACAACAACATAGATATACGCATACACTAAGACTTGATCTTAATTGACTGTAATAAACTTCGATCTTGAAAAATTAATACTTATTGATGGATAGCAGAATCAAGTAGACTTTACGCTTTAATTAAAGCTTGATTTCAATTCAATGCAAACATTAAAATACTATCATCTTCATATAAACAGCCATCTTGAGTACTATCTTGAATTAACTTTTCATTTGCTAAAATAGTAGTATTTCTTGTGTCTGTGAAATTATGTAACAGTTAATTCGAAGGCTCAATGATAAAATAGCTACAGGTCACGATTGTCGATTGGTGCTTTTTGATTGTGCTTGCTTCGATTGGACAGTAGCTTGTTTTATCGGAAAAGTCTTAGTTATAGTACCAATAGCTTTAGTCCGTCCTTCCCTGAAGATAAGCTTAGTATTCGATTTAAGATATTCGGGTGTTTTCTGAAAACGGAATTTAATTAAGGCACGGTCGCCTGTACGTATGTGTTCCTTATTCATTTCGACAATGCTTGCAGTCTGCCTCATACTTCCACTATGTACTACAATATTACAAATTATAGTTGTTACAACTTTAATATTTTAAATCACCAACAACTTACGATCCGTACAACAATATTAAATTACAATCATAAATATAAAAACTAATGACAAGAATGAATACAAATTTAAATGAAATTTACATACCGACAGCTTGATAGTGGATTTTAATAGTGGTAGGATGGTGCAACACTAAAATATCGGCTTCAAATTCGCTACATGCTTCTGGTTTTAAATCACGAGATGCAAGTATCATTCCCTTACGAATAGTTGATCTTTTGACCTGCGTAAGATGCACAGTCAATGTAGAATTTAAAACAACATGATTTCAACAAGGCAATAGAACAGATAACAATGTAATAACCTTTTTCAGTGCAAAAGAACAAGTTTGTCCTCCTTCAACGTACTCTACTGCCATCCTCTTCCTATGAATACCTTTGATAACTACCGGTTGAAATTGACCAAGAGAATCTGGTCCTAACAATAATGAATCATTTACGCGGATAATTCCTTGCATTACCGTCCCAGAAATTACCGTTCCAACACCCTATGGTATAAAGATATTAGAGATAGTTCTGTAGAATAAAGTTATTAACTAGTTACAATGCTATACCGGGACAGAGTAAGTTTCATCAATAAGAAATTCCGGAGGTTCATTTTCCTTGCGACTCATCCGCGACGGTAATAAATTTAAAAACTTCTTTAATAAATTTAAATTAGCTCCAGTAACATTTGATACTTGAAAAATTGGACATATCCTATATGGGTAAAATATGATATAACGTAACTATCATTTTTATCGAGTGTATCCTGCCATTGCATAGAAAAATAAATGTACTATACCAATATTACCTTTCAGATACAAAATTGGTCGCCGCGACCGTAATATCTTCTTCCTTGGTGATAAAAACAGGGATTTTTCTACATCCGGGTGACTTTAATATCTTAGCTAATAATTTCAATGTATCGCTAAGAACATTTTGAGGGCACATATCAGTTTTAGTAATAACTACATAAACAGGAACGTTTAAAGCAAGGGCCAGGCCAAGATGCTCTAGTATTCATAAGATAACACATTGGTATTCATTATTTAGTTAATGAAATAGTTATCGTTTGTTAGTGTGGACATTTATTCGCTACATTAAAATAAGACTACCTTTCGTCATTCCGATTACACCAGCATTAGCACCGACTATTAACATACAAAAATCAGGAGCGTGACCGGTCATACCAAAGATTGTTGTTTTCAAATATTTTTCATGACCAGCTAAGTCGATAAATGTTATTATCTGTAAAATTTTAATTTTAATTATGAGAACTCAAATAGAGATAGATAGTGTAAAAATAAGTGTACTTTTATAACTAGACGAAAGCTATTATTAAAAATATGCTGTAACTTATAACCTTTGACGAAGCATAACAAATTCGTTGCCAATCTAATGCTAAACCTCGTGCATCGGGTTTGTTAACAACTTCTCCATGACTATCAAATCCTAGAATATCGTTACCAACACTGCTAGTGCGTCCAGATTCAGCCTCATGCTTATGCCTAAACAACTTCTGTCTTGCAAGGCCACGGCCATTGTCTAACTCCCCATGAGTTAAAACGCCCAATAGGGTCGATTTTCCTTTTCAAGGGAAAAATTTAAATTTATTGAATTTTCGGTTTACATCTAGCCTAAATTAATTATATATTCGATAGAAAATTATAATTCAAGACTTCAATAGGTGATCCTTTACCTGCATCTACATTACCAACCACAGCAACTCTTCACGTATGCGTTCATTGTATTATCGAAAGGCAATAGGTTACCGTTATGAAGTTAATGATTTTTTTAACTTAAAAAAACTGTTTCTATTGCAATCTTTAAGTTATTATGATTAAAGTATCCTTTACTGACTTACCTAACTTCTAGAAATTCTCGTTCTTTAGCTCGATATCTAATCAAATATTTAGCAACTGTTCCCTCAGTAGAATGCTTTTCTTGTAAAAGCTGCAGGTCTGCATCACATAACTCGGCTAAACTTTTTAAAGTAGCTTTCGATGCCAGCATGTCATTATCAGATAACCCGGGATCACTATCATCTAAAGATACCAAAGAAAGATAAGTATCCTTAAACTCTACTTTCAGACGTCTTGTTGTAGACGAAGAAATTAAACAAGTTGAAAATAAGATATCACACATTAGACTTACCAGATACTCCCAATTGGTAAATACATTCCCCTCGACCATTATCTAGTCTCTCTTTCAACTCTGCGCATAATTTATCAAACATTTCCCCCGAAGGTGATACGAATTGCGTCTATAATAAGAGTGATATCAATTTTAGAAGTTATCTATATACGAGTGCAGTCCATTAGCATTCCATGAAGTTATAACGCTTCAATGGCATAGCACAGTTGGCAATGTCAACTTAATTTGCTATCGTCAGCCTAAAATTAATTGGTACAAGATACCCTACAGAACTCTATTCCATAGTAATGGTCTTATTACTTTGTTGGTATCATTATGGACAGAATAAAAATATCAAAGGCTTATTCAAAACATTACCAATTTTATTACATCACATAATTTAGAGACCTGAGTTAAGCTAGACCGATAGCACATCCTAACTATTTCAATATCGTAGAAAAGAGTGTTGAAGAATTGATCAATGAAGGATTTGTATCGACTATGTAGATAACATTGAACTTCTAGAGAATACTGTTGTACATGCAATAGTCATTTTTTTATTGCTAATAAATGAAACATGTAACTAGCACTGCCACTCGCTACTGTATTATTTTGCCACAGTGTAAGCATAAGCACCTAGGTATATGCGTATATTATTTCCTCCTACTTACAGTACAGAAAATTTAATATGCTATTCATCTTGTAATGGTGATCCATATTGCAACTATTTAAGGTAATATTATAGTTGTTACGAGATTCAATCACAGCTTTCTACGCATAACTCAGTATAAGTCAATTCTATAGTATTTATAGGTTATCCGACAGTTCCAGAGACACTTTGTATACCTCGTACTATTCCGATTACCATTTTACAAACCATTTGTAAACTGTATTATTAGGCAGCTATGGCTTTGCCGGGTCTTAAATATACAGTAATATATGATACAAAGAACAAAATAATTTTAAAGAGTGTTTCATCATCATAGACAATCCTTAATCTACAGCGATCAGCCCAATACTGTTACAATACTGTACGTATTTCGACTACAAATCAACCTTTTCTTGATCAAGTAATACACGTACAGTAGTAGCAAATTAAAGAATATTGTAGGTTTCATTTCCTTACCTTCAATGTGTCGTTATTAACCGTTTCGTTTGGTAAAGGAGGAGTATCGTCATCGATTGGCTCTTCGATTTTACTGTCATGATCTGCAGGCAATCTGTTCCTTTCCGTCTCTGGAGCTAGTGCAGACGCCATCAATCTATTTTACACGTTAGAATGGAGATTATTTTACTGTCTTTAATCATGAAAGACGTATTGGAAAATTAAGCTTTGGCGGATACATTTATTCCCTGGAATCTACTGTATATATGTGTTGGTATAGTAACTATGTACCGCAACATCAATCAGAATTGCATCATCAATAATAGCGCGCTTTTCCGTAAAAAAACAATCAAAAGTAACGTACAAAGCGAAGGTACTGCTGACAGTGCAGCGTAGAATCCGTCAAAAGATGCTTGTAAAGGCAAGTTACAATAATCTCGGATAAGGTATAAAAGAGGTAATTTACTTCTTAATATAGCGATGTAATAAGGCATGGAAAGGAATGTATCTTTATACCGCATACTTTGCCGTACAGTCCATTGTCATTTCACCACTAATTAAGTCAAATCTATAAGATCATATGGACATCGTCGAATAAGCTAATGACATTAACATTGATGATGTAATCAGAAATACAACTGTAGAATATCCATGCAATATCCTAAGAGTTTTACTTGGAAGATTAATTGAATGGAGTTCAAAATGGACTCATGAAATGTATAACTGTATAAATGTATAAGATCATATGGACATCGTAGAATAAGCCAATAACGTTAACATTAATGATGTAATCAGAAATACAACTGTAGAATATCCATGCAATATCCTAGGAGTTTTACTTGGAAGATTAATTGAATGGAGTTCAAAATGGACTCATGAAATGTATAACTTAGCGTGTATGAATGAATGACAATGTAGTCATGATCTACAGTAACAATAGGTCAAGTCTATTTTTGATTTTATTTGCTAAAATCGATTGGTGATTTTGAGTACAATCCGATGATCGTTTCCTCATCATCATTGAACCTACTGTCTACTCAGGAAATAAGCTTGCCAATATTAACAGTATTTTGTAATCGTTGTTCCTTAGCAATATTTTTAGCTAGACGCTAGCTAGTATAAGACATGTTGTCTTGAATTCAATACTACTATAAACAGTATTGATTATAAGATATTGGTACTGGATGAACACCCTCCATAAGCCTTGTTTTCCGATTGTTTTATCCTAAAAGACTATAATAGATTAACTACTTGCTATACGGAAAATCGACGATAGCTTGATGATAGTTTGATGGTGGTAATGTTATAAAATTCTATTGCATTCCAAGTTGAAATTGTCAGCAAGAAACGATTAAAAGGATATTTGTTGATGTCATAGCTACCTCACCTTGCTGTATCCGTTCTGTCTATCTTGTTATGCAAGCAGGCTCAAATTGGCGTCACGATGAGAAAGGTTCTCCTATATACTACAATCAGTATTTCAAGTTAGATTCCAAGCTATTTACCAGCCCAATAAGTTACGCCATAGTACCATGCATATTCATCATGGCACCAACAATTCTCATCATCATCATCTTCGATGGAAGGCCAGCCTGAACGGGAAGGGATCGATGTCAAGATTGGACCTGGAGCTGATCAATTCATCACAATGGGAAAATACTTTATTTGACTGACTAGCCAACTGCCCCACCATACAGTATACTGATAGCATGACCACCAGCTGCTGCTTCAAGATCGTCATGAGATACTGCGGAAGCATCACAAAGAAACAGACGGACAGCAAGCGGTACGGACTGTTTTGCTGGTCATATCCAACTCAAGCGTCTATCTCAAACGATAGTCTAGACCTGAGTGTCCCCGACTGTCCTCCAACTAGACCTGACGTCTACTATAGACGTCAGGTCTGCACTGCATCGATCTGTCATCTTGTCCCCCCTAGTCCTAGTAGAGAAGTGAAAAAAAGCATCTGCAAGTAACCGACTATAGACGATATATCTGCACTACCATGAGCATCGATATGTCATCTCTATAAAATATGAACTCAGTCCCTGACCAGACAGTTGTATAGTGAGTTTTTGGAATTGAAAGTGAATGATGAATAAATCAAAACACAGCAACCGCAAAGAAAAGAGATGCATTCTGGTCACGTGCCATCTCCACACTGGTCAAAATGGCCAATGGGGAACAACTACAGGATGACCATGATTTGAGTTTAATTTATTTGGCCCAAGATGGCCAAGACGGACAATTTGATTGCCATCGATATTCAATGGAAAGGCGTTCTTCTATTTCTCTCAATTCAGTTTTAGATGTCATTTTGCACGCATTTAGACTGGACAACAGCAGTCCGTACCGTAAACACGCATCAATGACATCACTTTCGCTACGATGGCCTGTTATAGTAGATACCCCTGCGATAGCGTACAGGGTACAGTAGTTCAACTGATGCCATGAATGGGACTGATGACTAAAAATAGACTACCGGTCACAAGCAAAAATGGTGTCACTATGAGGTCTCGACCGCAATGGAAAGAAAGACAAAGAGCTTGTTCCAATTCGGTGGTCCTCAGCCAAGAGACACAATCACACCTAAAAGTTCGTTTCTTCATTTTTGTATCATAGATTGCGGTCCTATTGTACAATAGTATCGCCATGGTATGGCCACAGCAAAGGTTAATGAAAAACAAACTCGTTGTTTGTTCATGATTGCAATGTCCAGTCGAAAATGCATTTTGGATTGGCTCCACCGTCAGCCATGAGAATGGATCCACGTACAGTATGGAAGAATACAGATCGTGTGTGTGCTAGCATGACGCGTACAGTACATTCACTCCAGTTAGCGGTCGCACAGTACAGTACGTACTGTACTGTACAGTACTGTACAGTACGTATGTACAGTACAGTGCAATACACTATGTACTGTAAAATTCGAGTACTGTACTAGAGACCTCCGCATGATGTACTTGGACTGGACCGGACTGGACCGTAGCGACAGCTACAGCATGTCGTGTGTCTACGGTAGTCACCGCTTGAAAAAGGGTGACCTGTGTGGCTTGTCAACTTCACTTGGCGCTTCTCTCGTCGTGCCCGTACTGTACCCAAGTGGAACGAAAAAGGACGAGAAGGCAAGATGGCGAGGGCACCTGAAATCTCCAGCATGACCAGCCTCAAAGTAGACAATATTACTTATAGGACTACGGTGGATGATCTAAAACGTATCTTTGATAAATATGGCGAAATTGGTGATGTCTACATTCCTCGAGATCGTCGTGGAGAATCACGCGGTTACGCTTTTGTAAGGTATCATGATAGGCGCGATGCTGAAGACGCCATGGATTGTGTCCATGGCAAGAACTTTGATGGCCGAGAATTGCGAGTAGTGATGGCGCGTTATGGCCGCCCAGCAGATCGAAGTGAACGCGATCGGGATCGATCTTACCGTAGTAATCGTAGGCGATCAAGATCTCCAAGAAGGTCAGTCATAATTGTTTGTAATGACACTTGTTCTCTGTACCAAATAGACATCCGCACTTACGATTGCTTGCATTCATTCTGCTCTTCTATTATAATATACTTTTCTTCAATGTAATCAATCGATAGTCATGACAGAATAGAAAAAAGTTATCCAGTCAATCGACTACTAGTAATCATAATATCATCAGGCAATACAATTCTACTGTAGTTAATTCACTTTGCAAAGCGCTAAGTGGCCGTTCCAGTAGCAATTGCGTCAGGTTTGCTGTTACAAATGATGACACAGTTCTCTACTCTTGTTAGCACAATGACGATCCATTACTAAGTACTGAATGATCATTTAGTACAGTATAGTCCTTTTCTGTCTCCTTCGATTTACATTCATTGAGCATGTATCATAGACAGAGAATGAGATCAATCTACCGTAATAGCATTATATTGCCATTAAAAAGGTGAAAGTAGAAATACAGTAATACTGGTAGTCTACACCGTCAAATAGTAGTCATAGTCATACAGTAGTAGGATAATATGTAGTAGCTCTACAATACGCGTACAATCAATTCTGTTGGTTTTCAAAAGGAATTGTTAGCTTTTGACAGTAAATTTTACAAAATTGATTGACTGTACGTGTTGTTTGACCTTGGGTATGACCAATAACCATGATTTTTCAATATTGGCAAAAAGAGATCCATTTCTTTGCATACCAGTCAAAGAGATCCAGTCCTACTAACTTGCTGTCCAGTAAACAATATGACTGGAAACTCCCTAGCTCTGATATCCACGTGTGTGCAGCGTTGTACTGTGTGTATAAAGCGTGCAGTAGTGTTTTGACAGCTTGCGGTTCAACAAAAATAGTTTTGCGGTTGCATAAACTCGCGACCTTCTTTTCTTTGCCAACTCTACTACTATATGAAATGCGGTGCTGTGTAGCTATGCGGTAAAATAAAAATATTGCCTGCGTGTGTCCATACAAACGTGTACGAGTATGTGGTGTATCTCTACAGATGTAATTGTTTGTTAATTAGCTAATATTGAGTGAATATTGTCATATATTAAATTATTATTCTATCGATATATATATACATGTATTTACATATATATATATATATACTGTGTAGGTATCGAAGTCGTTCCCCTAGTCCAAGAAAGCGCCGATCTTATACTCCAAAACGTTCTAGATCACCACCACCAAGGAAGCGACGTAGTCGTTCTCGTGAGGATCGCAGACGACGTACTAGAAGTCGTAGTCCATCCCCTTCTCGTCCTAGTCAAAGAAAGGAAACCAAGAGCAGTGATGGCAATAAATCTGATCGAGCAGACCGCCGATCCAATGACTATATCCCCCGCAGTGATGACGAAAGAAGTGAAAATAGCGTTAGAAGTAACAAAGATTGAATCAAGACATGCGATGCAACCTTAAGTGTTAATGAATTAATAATAACAACTGACTGTTACATTCAAGCAGTATCTTGTACATTACACGTATTGACCATAACAAAGATAAAATCATTTTCATCCTTGTAAGCCATCGAAATCTACTACCTATCGATCATAATAGCAATAAATTTGTCCGTCACATGTTGTGAAATTTATTCTGTGTAACTATGTCCATAATGGTAGTTGTAGATGTGCTTATTAATATTAACAAACTAACCTGACTTTGCACTATTTTCCTATGATGTTGCTGCCTTTTTACGATCTCTATTTTTTAAACCTAATTAAAAGTTATTGTTGGTGTTAGAGGTCTTTTAACAATCCCATCATGATGATGCTAAGACAGGACCTGGTACTGTATGAATATGCCAAAGCTATACCCAAGTCATTGCATAAATTTCAACATCTGAACTTATTCCTGACAGTGCTTGCAAATTCCCTTCTTCTTCAATTAGTGTTCTATGTATTTGGTTGAATAGAAATGACACAATGTCATAGTACTGTCAACTGGCAGTATATTTGTTATCAGTAATGAAAGCTATGCGGTAGAAATTGTGACCATTTTAAGTATATTATAACTATATTGCGACTTCCACTGAATTTTTTATCATGTAATGATGGATTGTGTTATTGTAGTTGTAGATTGAAGGATGCGTTTAAAAATTTTCATTATCCATTTCCTTGTAAACAAATAATCTACGAACATACATATATAGAAATATAATATTGTAATCCAATACTAAAGGTATGTGCATCGATATAAGGTTGTAGCAATGGTTTTACTACGAGTATATCAAAAAGTGTACTGTACGCTCATTACGCTAGAAATAATTACTATATAATAAAAAAATCCTATTAATTAATAGAACACTTCCCTGTTTGATACTATTTACTGATTTAGCGCCATTTATTTGACGTGTGTGCATAAGCAATATAATAAGATTACAGCTGGCTTAAATCTATCATGGTGTACTTTTCCATTATTGGTATGATACGTAATCACGCTCCTTAATAGATGATATCAATTGTGCACGAAAGTTGTAAAATTTTAACCCCGCCATGATGCATGCATGTAATAATAGCGAATTACGCGTATACTAAAGCTATACGAATACATCACTTAAAATCCACATCGTTAGCCGGTCATGATATCAAGTGTAATTGTGATAAGGAATAAATTCTTGTCAACTAGCAGCATGTCTTGTAACTTACAATTTCGCCATCTTAGAAATACTATCTCAGGTGCTTTATCATTAATTTGTTCTGTATCTACTATACTGTGTAATCAGGGACTACATTAAATTAAGAGACACTGTATTTCTTTTAATAATCCTTCCTGATAGAGTGCCGTGAAAATAGTTTAAGTAAGGCAATCGGAGACTTATACACGTCTATTTCTAAGCTTTCAATCCGATAAACCAATTTTTTGATAATAATAATACCTAAAACATTTACAGCAGTAAAAATTGTATCACTTCCGTACCAACTTTAGGCTAAAAACCAGTATCATTAACATAGGAAAGCAAGCATTCAAGATCAAGCCTTTAGCAATTACCAGTATTTAAATTTATTTATTTATAACGCAAACGACATCAAATACGTACAGAGCTCAATACGTCTCTTTATACTAGCAAACGTAAAATTACGTCTACAGTTGTAATTCTAAAGAATCAATTAAAACTTGACTACTACTGTTAGTACAATCACTATCACATTATATATTAGACCTTGCAATTGTGATATCGTAGACATGTACAAGGTGGTTGACGAGAAAATATCGTTAGTCCAATTTCAACTTTTATAACATTACATCTTTCGAACACAGCTTTCGCAATTGAATGCTATTTAGGACAGACCTTTCACCAACTGTAGTTTATACAAATTGAAAGTAGTCAATCAGATTTGTATCTTATCTTGTACAAAACTACGCTCATACTCTTAAATCTATTCGAAAAACATACCTCGTTGTATTTGCGTATTTGCTGTAAAAAGAATTCGCTGTATCTTGGAACTACTTTGCAGTCATTAATATGTATCATGTCCTAAAATTTCAAGCATTACAAGTATTACGTTATATTTTCAGACTGTAAATTGATAAATGTTTGCTTTAGCCTATGTACCTCATCAATAAAAAAGCTAACTCCCGATGATGTTTGAAATTCGCCGTCTATAGCTCGTTGACCTTTAGTCCATACCAAATTGCTCATTTTATGCTAAATACGATCATAAAAAGATCTTGTAATGTTAAAAAGAGCAATTGCAAGAGTTCAATAAGTAAATACACGTCGGATTATAAAGATTATAAATCACCTTAAAGGATAAGAGCTGAGCGCGAAAATTATCCTCATCCTTAACGAAAAGAATTGAATTTATTACTAAAGAAAAACAGCCAATACCCTGAGTCAAAAACATAACTTACCATATCTAAGAAGGCGGCCAATTTAGCCACTGGCATGGTGGTGTATAGCTTTAAGTAACTATAAAATAGAAGCATAATTAATTCAATCAAGTTGATCACAAAAGCTATTAAGTAATTTTTTTCTACCAACCTTCTTATAATCGGGATTGCAACTTGCTGCTTTACCTCATTTACGAAATTTTTTAATTGAAATTGATATGGCGCCTATTGATTGAGATCAGCCAAAGTATGATTTAAGTTTCAATTGATCATAAAGAAAATTGGTATATAACATACTCTGACCTTATGTTGGCTTTGACTGAGAGTATCGTAATCCGGAACTACTGGAGACACAAACTTTGGACATGCATACGCAAACGAATCTTCAAATTGTTGCAAATTCCTATTAACGAAATAACATGAAATACTAAGAATTCAAGTATCAGTTACTTTTAATTCGAAATTTCTCTCATTACCCCTGCTGAAGTTTAATGAATTTTTCTTTATCATATTTATCTCCCAACATCGACAGCACACTCTCGTCAATTCTCTATAAAATTTAATTTAATGAAAACAGTAATCTCTTCATTATTTATTTCTTAATGTTTCATCATAGTATTAAAGTTGACTTACGCATGGGCACATTATCCACGCCATCGCTAACAAAGCGTACATTTGAAGTTCCTTTTTAGCTATCTATAGAGCAAATGTCGTACATTATCTCACTGAATTAGTCTAAATCGACAAAAAACGACGATTTAAGCACATATCAACAAACTTGATCAATTTGGTAAGATTTGTCTTGCAACATATTTTTCGTTCTTTGAATGTATAAAAGTATATTGGACAATGAACGAATTGCATCCTATAAGTAGTATAGCCAAATAAATATTACTTCAATTGAATACTCGTAAAGAAAAAATAACTTGATAACCGGGCAACGTAGCCATTTATTTAGAAGTACCTGATAACGCCTCATCATAAGATATGCGAATCCGACGTAGTAATAAGTAGTAACTTGACAAGCCGGCACTACCGCATAAAGACTCTATTAAAGTAACGATCCCAATGGTTATTATATACAGTATAACATCATTCAAAAATGATTATAAAGTAATCATTATAACATGACTTTAAATCGTTCCTGCACCTTTTTGTTTAATTGTACATTTTCGAGTACTTTGATAGCTTGGTAATAGTCTCCCAAAAGTGAATGTAAACGCAATAAGCCAATTAAACTAAAATACCCCAACATCTTGTATAAAGGGCAATTTCCAAATTCATCAGCAACTGATTTCGGATCATCACCATTATTATAGGCCTTGAGCTACATTTACGAAAATCAGAAAGTTATGTAATGAATTCAAGTTGTGGTATGCATTTTCCTGATATATTATTGTTTCTATTTCTAATTAATAAAATCTCACCTGGCTATTAATTTGAGATTTTTCAACCAATGAGTGCAAGACGTTCAATACGCCGTGAACATTCCATACCTTAGAAAACAGTTCATACTAATCATTAGCAAGCATAACAACTGAATCGGGCCAAATTTGCAATAAAAGAATTATTTCCTACCTTAGGGTGGTCGCGTAGCATTGCTAAATCATTTTCCTGCTTATGCTTTAACTTATAACGATAAAGGCTAAACGATTGAAACTACAATAGAAAATAAATGAAGGCATACATCGTCATTTGTTATAATTTTGGGTTAGCGCTAGCTACACGCTCTACTACTTACTATCATTCCGTCATTACCTGATATATAAATTCATCTATAATATTCCATAACCATTGATGAGGTAACTCAAGGCGTACCGGAGCTTTGGCACCTATGAAATTAATTTTTACGATAAGGTTATTTAAGGATAATATGATTAGCAATTACTACCGTAGAAACTGCTTGAAAATCTTAAAATGTTGGAATTGGTTACCGTTTTTTTTTTTAAGTATTACTATAAATATATAGAAGGTACTCAAGATAAGTAATTATAATTGTAGCATCGGCAAATGTAGTTATTTATGTAACTGTATCATAAGTACAATAGAGTAGTTGATGCTTACTTAGAATACAGTTGAATAAATTGCAGTAGTTGTAGTAAGATTCAAATCTTTGATCCAGTGTAGGCTATATTAAAAATTAATGTAAATACAAGTTAGAAGATTTAAAACATAAATATCTATCGAAACACCATCATACGAGCACATAATGGAGCAGATGCGCGTCGATATTAGGGTCGTAAGAAAATTAATCAGCTTTCATTGCTTGTCAATATTAACAATGATTCAAACGTAGATAATATATATGCACGTGGAATAGCGTTACTGTACCTGCAACTTATCATAAATATGACGAAAGCAAAGCTCCTTGTAAAAGATTAGGAAAATTTCGTCTAGTATTTAGGGATAGGAGATATTAGTAAAATTTTCCAACGAAAAAGTTCCATAAAGTGACTTTATCTAATTTATTATTCTAGTCGTGCATGACAAATGATGAATACGCCCATTGAATCAAAGAGCTGAATACACAAAGTGCTAACCACGTCGATTGTTCCCTCACCGTTATTAACAAGTGGAGCAATTCTGTCAGCATCGGGCCACGCCGATTTGCTAAATGCACGTTCCGTGATCTTAATGAAACTAGTATAAATTGAGAAAGTACATAGACAGAACTTTAAATTAAATTTATGCACTTCTACCGGTCACGCTAGATGCAAAATTAAGACTCCTTTCTTACCCAGCTTCACATAGTATCTGCATTTCATCAACTCGCTAGATTGTCAATATTAATGGTAAATAGTTATTATAGTGCCATGATAATCTAGTTGTTTTTTAATGGACACGCATACCGTATATCAACATAACTATGTAGAATTTGAGCATGATTAACATGTAACAGTAGTCTACACTAGCAATATTATTCCCCTATAAGCTAGATATTAGACCAGATTATTTTTATTTTATTCTAACAATCGGTGCGTCAAAGTAGCAGTTACCGACGTATCATTGCAGTATTATCTATTAGAATATGGTGCTTAATTCAAGTTGAAACTAAACTTACTCTTTCCGTGAAGGCTCTATAAAGAGATCGAATAAAGTTTTTCACGAATTCAGGAACTCCATAAGTTTGATTTACGTTGGTAGTGGGCTGTTCTTCATAATCTACAAGTGGTCACGGCAAGTGAGGAAAATATTAAGTCTTTGGTAAGTATGACAACACGTCGTCTATCATGATACCAAGTGAAAACGCTAGATCTCGCGTTCAACATGATGCAATTTCACAGCATCCTAATAGCATGCACGACAAGCTAATCAAATTTACAGTATCTCCAAAGACCCTATTATTATTAGTTATTCCATTTCAAATGCGAAGTATTCTACAGGGTAGAACATCGCTGTGGTTTACGTATAACATGAAAGTTGAATAAAAAGTGATGGGAAGTTATTGTATTACAATCATCAATCATGTACGACTTGGGAAATGATGTAAGAGGTAAAAGGATATGGCATGCATTATCATAATGCACTTTCGTAAATCTACAAGACTGATACGTACAGTATTATAAAATTTGTCCCATTCTATATCGTTTTTGGCTGATAAATTACAAGTAAGCCAATTCAAGTGTTTCAGTGCTATATCGAAGCTACCATCTCGTTACCGAAATAGACAATACAACATAAATGGAAGTAAAAATACTGGAGCATAGCAGCTGTATAACACACTCTATTACTTCAAATTATACTACGCTATGCCATTTTTACTGTGTCGGCTGCGGTGAATTCTAAGCATGCAAGCAAACCATCACCGAATTTTACAAATACGAGTATAGTATACTGTACAGTCAAGATAGATAATGGACATGATTGATGAGGAGATCACATAACTCTGTATACTCTACCCTATACTGTATCGATAATTTGCCAAATCTTAGTTTACGTACGTCATTGATGATTTCTACAATAAACAATATCAAGTTTGTATCTAAATTGTTGGATCTCAATAGTCTACTAGCGAAATAGTGCAGTAAAATTGACTGATGTGCGAGTCCTAAGACTGCTGACTGAATTAAAAGATATTTTCAATCGCACATAATGTTGTCGAGTGTATAGTATTGGCTGCTAAAAGTGATCATTTTATCAAGATATAGCAGACTCCATTACAAATGAGTTATTACGTTATAATAATCATAACCAATACTACCTACCATCAATGATGCCTCCATCATAATCGGAACTAGCAGTAAATGTTGGTGGTAATGAATCAAGCTGGACAAGCAAGATTATAATAGATACAAGATGAAGAAATTTGCAGTTAGTACAATCCCCATTTCCAAGATTGAAACTGTATAATATCAAGCTACAAGTGGTACTTGTATCTTAGACAATCTATAGTCCATATTATTCTATCCCAATTTGATTGTACAAGATTAAAAGTAATCGATTAATTGACTTACTTGAGCGCCAACAAATTCCTCGGCGGCCGTATAAATTCCTTGATCTTGGCTGGCCATGCTGCTTTGCGTGTCCTCTGTCGTCGACTGCCAGTCTAGTAGTACAACACCTACGATACAGTACATTGATTCCATAGTAAATAGCATACTCGATCCACTTGAGCCGTACAGTACTCTTACTATGGATTTTAATTCTCCTCTTGTCTCTTGAGGAGGGACTAGACTGGACGGAGAGAAGGACAAGGCTATGGAGTGCAAAAGAAGAAGAATATGGCCGCCGATCATTTTTCCTGGCCATGCTAGTACTGAAACACACTCAAATCGGCCATACGACCCTGTAGAAAAGCATAAACTGCTGTAGGAACAACATTGCAAAAGCAATCCAATCCAGCAGCAGCTCATTTCCTTGAAGATTTGTTGACATGATCATTTACTTAGTGCATTATCCCGATCCGCTGAATCAATCTTAAGAGAAACATGGCAAAACGAAACCTAACCGAGCAGCTGACTATCGCGAACACAGCGACTACTTCGACTAATCCCTGATGGACAGTCTATCGCTTCAAGCTGAAACCTTGAAGATTCGTTTCGATGATTACAGACTTGGTGCATTATCCCAATTCATCATCTGAACGAATCTTGAAAAGAACCATGACAAAACCAACCCAGCAGCTGGATGACAATCGTCGACAGTGTATGCTTCATATTGAAACCGTATACTACTACTGTACTGATCCAAAACCAAATTAATAACAAACCAAGTAGCTAAAAATGGAGGTGACCATCATGGACAGTACAGTATAGTGCATCGTTTCAGATAGGCATTTCACTTGAAATGGCCAACAAAATAGTCGGCCCCCACATTTTGTGTATATTGAACCACCGTTTCCTGTCCCTCTCTTTCTTTTTAATAGTCCTTGTAGCTTTCATCTTGAAGATCTCTATTACAGTGATTAAAGTGTAAAATCGATATTTCTAGTTAGAATAAAATGAATGGAATTGATCAATCGCGCCGATTTCACTGCATGAGGGAGGGTACAGTGCTGAAAAAGACTTTGTAGCGTGAACAACACATGGAGATTAATGCAGGATGATATTAGATCGTATAACGAATATCTTATTGCACGTTTATATCTTAGTTTAGCGAATCTATTCATTGTTACAAATTAATCTTATATCGTTCAATTCGCCCTCCACTGTATACGATGTTATCATAAGTAAATACCGTCAATTTTCAAGATTGGAACAGTATACTGCATTTCAAAAATCACCGTTTGCAAAACTGCTGGATCTTTTAATTATATTATATATATATAGAAAGGGAAGTTAATTATTTATTTTTAATACGAGTATAACCTAATCCATGACACTGAACCATTGAACTAGCCGATGACCTGCTCCGAGTGGAAGCAATAGGGTGATCGATCATTTCCTAACAGTTTCCAATTGCTAAATTGTTGGAGAGAAACATGTTGAATCCGCAATCTCTTTCTTGAATTATCTTCAAGAATTCTCTGTACTAATACAACGCTCGTATTGCATAATTATTGCACTGTAGATAGAACGAGAATTGAAATCTCCGTAAAATGGCATAGTATTATAAAATTGTACAACATCTTGCGCTTAAAATCAACAAGTATGCAACATCATTGCCTATGTCATTATTATGATTGTTAACGGGTTCCCTCGTAGCTATTGCCTATGCTAAAGTTACTTACGAACATACCAATAGCATCCATTAAGATCATGATATACGAGTAGATAAAATCAACTCGTGACAAAGTATCCCTGAGTGTGTGTAATATACAAGTTGTAAGCTTATACTGTACAATCCGTGCTGTTGTACATACTAGTCGTCAAAATAGAAAACGACTTTGTACTATCTAGAAAATGGCAATGACGCCTATATCATTTCTAAATTTATCCATCCTTGCTGGCTTGCTCACCATTTTGTAATTGTCATCGCAGTTATTATTAACATGACAACGACAATATTGACGCTGATGGATAATGCAAGTGCTGCGAGTTAATTTAGATGACTTCGCAATTTACTGTTATTACAATACAGTGTGTGCTTGACAATATGGTAGATCATGCCTACAATCACAGACCAATACTATTTCAGCTACTTTTAGCCATAATACTTTACTCTCATCTAATTATACAGTATTTAACTCAAGCTAAATATCACCTATTTTATTCTCTGTTAACTCGCTATCATATTACACCATCAACTTTCCATAATAGTTCATATGTACATCGTCGACGCCTTCCAATAACATCACTATTCGTCCAACCTAAGCCCACAGGTACTTTTCTGTCACAATATCTCTATCCTACCTCGGCAACCTAAGCCCACAGGTACTTTTCTTCTACAATATCTCTATCCTACCTCGGCATGATATAAAATAACTGCCCAATCATGTAATTCATCTATTCTAAAACGCCTTGAATAGCCATATTATTCTATCAGCAACTATTGTTCAATGTCTTTATATCAATATGAATGTCTAATGCATAATATATTGCCAATCCCTTCATCAAATACGATCATCTATTCAATTTAGAATAATAGACATCCCCATTGAGAATTGCCAATATCTAATTATTGGATGACTAAACACAACGTTCTATAATACAGTTCTAGCTAATTCAATGTAAAATAAGATATACGACTCATACTCTTATTATTTCTTAATATACAGTACAATTATCTATTCTACTCCATCATCTCGAGACTACTATATACTCTAACGTTCGTTGATATCACTACCAAAATTAGATTGAAAATTAAATTAACCAATTTCGTCTGGCTCAACTGATTTGCTTCCTTGAGCGTTCATAAACGTTGAAATTATGGGCTATCTCGGGATTTCCAATATTCTCTTACTTAGCTTCTCTTTTATGTTAATCTTTGCGTCGTTTAAAGTATGCCTAGAAATTGAGGTAAGGTAGCCATCGTCGTATTAATCCTTATACCCTACTTTTAATTCAATTATGAACGTTAGCACCATAACTTAGGCCTAGTATTTTTCCGAATTAAACCGATCTTCTACTGGTGTACAATCACTGTAATTTATATTCTTAATTAATCTTTGATAGTATGATGACTTACATTACTGTTATGAATATCGTAAGTCAACCTAAAATGATGTTAAGTAACGATCCAAATTTTCTCATTCGGCAAACATGTTGATAGTGCTTAGTTAAGTTCACAAGAAAATAACACAAAATAATATGCCTGTAACTATTCAATATAGTTTGTATTGATCCGAGTTTCAATTAATTCACGCCGTCTACTTAAAAACAAAAATAATCAGTTAAATGCCATTTCTAACAACGATAGTAGCCTCTCAAAATATTCCACTCTATTTCTATCACTAGATATCCATTGACGGTTTATCATATCAAAATACACCAAATAGATACTTCTATAAATTTAGGATAGTCAACGGTCATTAGTGATCATTCATTCTATTTCCTATCACTAATAGTTGTTGCTTATTTCTTAATGGTATCCTTGATTGCATACTCTTTTCTCAAATTAATGAATAAATTCTCGACTTCCGTCTTCTTTAATGTCATAACCACGGCTTGTTAAGCAATTTTTCTATTTGATAGCCCCAACGTTTCCCATTAATTTAAGAACCTGAAGCCATTTGTCAAATATCCACACCTAACTTAAGCAACTAGCACGAAAAGCAGCGATTCAATTTTATATCTTGTTCGAAATTTATCTAGACTTATAAATATTACTATTCCAACTTAATTTAAAGTTATTTTACTGATTTTATAGCTACATTAAACAGATATATTTCAAGAAAAAACTTTCAAACCTTTATTTTACCGTCAACGTTTTTCATTTTTCTTCATGCCCGCTACGTCGTTCGTAAACCCCCTGGGGAATTTACTATAGTCCAGTGGGGTATGGAAACAAACACCAACTACTTATACAAATAAAAGAGTGATTATAACGGATTGTTATAGCATAAGCTAACTAACATCACCGCTTCATGAAGTATAGTATCATACGATAGCGTAATTTTGTATCGAGGAGATCATCGATTCCTAATACTATAATTAACCATCAGAATTTAAGTCATCTAGTGATGACCCTATTTGTCAAGAAATTTAAGAACTAAAATGAAACCCTTACATATAAATTGACTATTAAGCCATAGTAATATTTAAAATACGTTAATATAAGAAGAATTTCAATTATTTGTTCTCATCGTCTTTAATAACATATAATTAATATATTAAAATTTAGCAAAGAGTAACAATAACTTACCGTCAAGCAGCTCATAAAGACGGCATCGAATTTAAAGGTAAGCTTATCGTTGTATACTTATTTATGAGTATATATTAGTATCCCGTCATCAGTTAATAATGATAATCCATTACATTAATTTCTATGATTTTATTAGCTATGGATATAGTTTGAAACTAATTATTAAATAAGCTCTATCTTATTCCCGAATTCAGTATACTAATCAAATTCGCATAACATGTTATGTTTATTTACTGTAATTTGCATTTTATAAATCGTCAATCTAACAATATTTGATTATTGATTGTTCCGACTAACTTTCTATTTTTTCAATCTATATCGGTATCCAATATAATTTTTATCTTAGCCCAAGGCTATAATAGGTAAGAGATGATAATTTTAGAAATAAATTAATATTGCAAATAAGCAACT